AGGAACGCACTCAGAAAAAAGAGACCGGTTTTCCTGCCAGAGCGACTGCTTTTCCTGCAATCGCCGAAAATGGAAGTACGTAAAAATTCGCGCACCCCAACCAAGAGTATCAGAAAACAAAATATATGATGTAATAAGTATCTTTGCTAAAAACTTATAATGATCTTTATTGTTGACGAGAGGGACGTGCATTTGGATTGATAATTTTTTCTATGTCTGTGTATAGCCTTTTTTGTAGGACAATCATATTCTCTAGTTGTGTTGTAGATATGTTTGTTTTGTTTTTTGCAAATAGAGAAGCGACTTATTTATTTTTACGCATTGCGACTTGGGCTCATCTGCTGAGTCGACCTAATTTATCACTAAGAGCGACTAAAATTCCATCCAACCAGCGACTTAGATTTTCTTGTATCGTGACACAAATTTCACTCCTTGAACGACTTATGATTTTTGGGAGGACCGCCTAAAAATTTGCAACTGACTGTACATCGTTTGCATTGTATCGCCTACTATCAGCTGATAAGAAGGGTGTCCGAGTGGAACCTCAAAGTGATACGGTGAATGAATTATCCGGATTTATTGGCTTTTTTCAGAGCGCTGTAAATTTATGATTTCATGACAGCCTGCCTTTTCTAAAACACGACGTCGACCCCATAAAATCCGGCATATTGTTCTATAGCTCTTTTAATACTATACACAAACTCCTTGACAAAGGCTCTCTCCAAATGATCGTACAAACATGGAAGAGGACCATTAAGATGTATTATGTAGCAAGTTACATTACACATCGTTACAACTGAAATTTTGCTATCCTGATATTATTCATATTTCCAGATCAATTTATAAATTCGCGCTAAGCAGAGAACATTTTCATCTAATGCTAAGAGAGCCGATCGCACCCATGTTTAAAGTTCTTTTGAATTTGTAAAACAAAGTCGTATGTATCGTTTTTCTCTCTTATCATGAATTAAAATGCTACCTTCAAGCTTATACATCTGTTACAGTCAAAGCTACATCGGCCAAGAGTGATTTTGTATATCATGACCTTGCGTTAATCACGGCAACAACATTAAGGCAAAAGAGTCGACTTTTTCCAGTGACAGTCGTCGAAGAACATAGTTGCTCATTACGACCAAAAGAAAAGTACAACTGTTCGTTCACACGGCGAGTGTCATTAGCACATTCGTTATTCATCTAACCAATTCGACTTAAATAGCTGTAGCTTGAGAGCTATGAAGAATCGACGTGAAAGTTCGATCAAAGGAATAGGTATATTAAAGAACTGGATCAAAGGGCGAGCTGATGATGATGTCTGTATAAGCATCTGATTAAACAGTATCATAACGGCTCCATTTAGCGATAAATCATGATAACGATACAGAAAGCGGTAGCGATGGCTACTAAAAGATAGGGGAGATAATTTGTTTGGGCTTTAACCTTTGTTATCGGCCTTTTTTGCTGTTTATATAAGTTGAAATCTGCTTCATCCATACGACTAAGTGGCTTCGACCTGAACGACACAATCCATCTTCGTTCACGCTAAGTTGTTCAGCTGTTTTGCGATAAATCGATTTAAGTACTCATGACGCGTTATGTGTAGTGTTTGGTACCTACTAATCCATTGCCTCATTACGGGCCTAAATTTGGCACGGTCATTGGCGTCCTGGACCTGCAAGTGATACTCTGCTTCTTCCCGTGACCGAAGCACGTATCCATTGGGTTTTCCTTCTTCAACACAGGCGTCGCAAGCGCATCTGACAAGAGGGGAGGCAGCACCAAAACGGTTCATCACAAGAAAATAAATAAATTCTGACACAATAAAAATAACAATTCATGAGTATTCAGCGGTAAGAAAAAAAAGTAAATGGGTTGTATTAGTATATAATATGCTTCATTTACCAAGATTTTCTTAACACTAGGCAACAAAAACGCAAGAACTAAAGAGCCAGAATTGTTTTTCATTACGTATTTATATGAGCTGTAATAATAAAGTTAGGAGACATAGCACGGTCTCAAGCAGCGAGCTGCAGACGGCCGGCATTCCGTGCAGCCTACATTGTAAGTGTCCTGCATCCCCGGTTCGCTAATATATACAACATTGATCTGAGCACTGTATCCTAAACGAATACAGCTGTACTCGATACTGCCAAGGTCAACTCTCAAACATCACTGAGCGCGTTGACGGTTAGGTTTTACATTTTGCTTTGTCACAGAGATTGAAACTCATTATTGACTAGCACCACGTTATGAGCAAGTTCTCGTACCTACGTAGGTATTCATTATACCAAATACATCCAAGCCACGCAACCATCTATTTCTCGTTACAAATTTATGTATGTAACCTTCGAAAAAGCGGATGAATAAGCAGCCAAGATGTGAAGCAACTAGTGAAATGGAATACCTTTACAGAGGGGTCAGCCCCTTTAATGTCGACCCCCGATAAGGTCAACGTTTTTCTGGGTGCCAAGCCAGGGTCGACCTCTCATCGAGGTCAAACATTTCCAATCAAAAAAAGTTTATTTCGTCGTTGGTTGATCAGGGATGACTGCGTAGCATACATATATTCTATACTGATAATTACAGGATATTGTTCTCCTCTATTGCGAGCCCTTTTGGCGTCCCTTTCATCACCAAGAACTTCGGTGGATTTTCGCTTAATAATCTCGGAGATAGTGCTCTTGGTAGGGACCTAACTTAAGCAAAACTTCTTTTTGGATAAATCTGCTGCCATTTGCAGTGTAATGCCTTTCTTCGAGTCTTTATAGGCGACAATAAGACCGCCCGTTACTCGTTAGTGACGGAGACATACTCGTGTAGTGTGGTAGTTGGGGTGGATCCGAGCATTTTGACAACATCTTATTCTCTCAGAAGCTATTCCTTATATACAGTGTGTCAGGATGCGTTGGTTCAACATTTTTATTTAGTGCCTGACTAGTCCAGCCCCGGCGAAACGTCAAACCCCCGTTTGCGTCAACGCTTTCGGCTGAACTTGAGGGTTGACATTAACGGGATCCATTGTATATCCAGAACGATCTAAAAATAGAGAAGCATGTTCTTCTAACTGGACTTTGTCTCCCAGTGACCAAAGAAGTTGCTCAACATGAGTTGTGCAGCATATTTTCAACACCACCAATTATGGGCACGCTCACTTTTCAAACAGCAAAGATGTTCTTGAGCAGTATTTCACCTGCTTTGATGGTTTCCCAATTTGACGTACACCTTGATACACTATAACCTTCCCAAATGTTCTGTATCTTACTACTTGAAACTTAGTTAGGAGAGAAGTTAATAGGAAAGCCACAGCGATATGTACCATTGTTACGGAGATTTGTATTAAAACCTGATGGTGCAAGTTAATCCTAAGCCCTTGGTATACACCACTGCTGTTGATTTTAATTAAAAGAAGTGCTTTGCTATGAATGATAGAGAATCATTACAATTGTATCAAAGAAAGATGCTGCGTTGACGAAATTTTCATCAGCAATCGACGTGATATAGTATGTACTGCAGCGTTTATGACTCAAACATGGGCGCCATTTGATGAAGGTGAGAATAAATTATTTGGACATCTGAACTTGTGCTTAAAATGTGCTATTATTATGTTCTATTTAGAAGGGCTTCTGCATCAATGAAGTTGTTAAAAGTATGCAACACCTTCCCAGCAATGGGTAGTATTTAATATTGAGAAGATTATCCATATGATATTATACTACATGTACTTGTCTGTGCATGAATCCGGGGAACAACATCACGCATCACCACAGCACACTGTCAATCACATTTGTATCTGGGAGGAATACACCACCGAATATGGTTTTGCTTGTCTAGCGTAAATCTAGTTCTACGAGCTCACGTTTAAAATATTATCGTGTGGCCGCTTTTCAAATAGCTCCGTGTATATAGTGTCTTGTTTGTAATGATATTTTAACCATTAGTATCACTTTCACAATCTCGCTGAATACACGAACTCGTCCTACTGGCTATTTCCTTAAACATTTCCACTTCAAAAATTTTTGGAACCTTTCCAAAATCCAATAGAAAGATGAAGCACGTCGATAGCATTTTTCTGCTCGATTGCTATAAAGACGATTGCTTTGACACTTATAAGAAATAGCCGTAAGTTATGTAAAGTAAAAAGAAAATTTTTATTATTAATATTCTGTAATTTTTCTAGAGCTTTTGTCACAGCTTCTTATCAGTTCGGCGTACTCTCTCCAAGGTGTTTTGCTACTTCAAACGAAAGCTGATCCCATCCTTTTCTGTATTCTTAGTGGGCGTCTTGCGGTTGCTTATGGCCTTACCCAACTTACAAAAATTTTCGATCGGGTTTAAAACCCACGGCTTCTTTGAGGAGGCCAAAACCCTTGTTATCTGTCATCGTGCCTTCTTGAACTAAATAGTGTAGCTACCTCTTCTAGGAAATTGAACTCGCGCCCTGTTTCTTTAGTGACTTGTTCGAGATATGGATGGAATTTGATCGATCTTACCATCCATGTCAACAAGTGGCCCCAAGCCTCCTGACAAAAAGCAGCCCCAGACCATGACAGATTTTCCTCTCAAACGCTTACGTTTCAAGGATATGCTTGTCAAGGAAGAGTTCCATCATGGCGTATTCCTCATGCACGTCCGTCGTTTTCAACCACACGGAATCGTGACTCGTCAGATGAAACCACATCGCTCCACTAATCTAGTGTCCAATCCTTGTATTACGCGTCCATAGAACAATGATTTCATGCTTAATGCTTTCTGACAATTCTTTACGTCATTCGCAAGAGGCATTGGCATTATAGGTAGAAGGCATTTTGTTTGAAAGAGAAAGAGGTGAAAAGCATCCAAATGTGATGGATATGCTTTTATTAAATCCAAATTTGGGTGGAAGTGTATAGTACTTCATTGTATCATCCACCAGGTGATATAAATAACACCTGACCCAATGTCACACATGCTTAGCAGCAACGCCCCCTGTTAGATGTAACTGTGTTCCTAAAATTAATACTACTATCATGCTACATCACCGTGTCTGCAAACTATAGGCAAGAAGGCGTCGTGTTACTGATGTCGAACTCGGCTGTATCGTTACTGCTGTATGTATACATTTGGTCACATATACGCACGCCATATAATACGTAATGTCGACGTGATACTGGAAAATGTTATACCTGTTTACGTATGTATCTACTAGTGGCGTAAGGACGAATTCGCTGGTAAGAACACCTGATTTCAAATGGTTTGAGCTCTGTTCGTAAGAAGCTTTCATTGAATAGAAAAGATCATACCGTGTCTATTCCTGGGCCCTGCATCTGGGAAACCATGTTAGCACTTGTTGCAGCGACCCTGATAGCAAATGATGATGCTGTTTCCAGAACTTTGTTGTTATTTTACGCGCCGTGTGCACTAAAGTAAAAGGAACGCCACATTCTGTAACACCAAGCGTAATGCATGGAAACTTCGAAACAGAGCAAAGACATAACTTGCCGTCGTGTGCAACAGATGGCGAAGAGGAACAATTTAGTAGTAAATGGGACGCTCCCCCCCCATTTAAAAGCCCAAGAGTCGGTAAAATATAACGCCGCTGAATTGCTTCCGCCATTCTGGGCAAAAGTACGGAGTGTTTGTGCTGGATTCGGGTCCCGAGAGAGGGCAAGAGGCCTAGAGAGACACCGAAAGAAAGAGCTGTCAGGCCAAACCCGAAACCAAAAAATAGCCTCATCAGCCTTCAGGAACGATTCCCATAACCAGTGCTCTATAACAACAAAAGTACGCTACAGCGAAAACTGACACGTCCTTTGCAACGCAGACAACGAGATTTGACGAAAACAATGTGATTCTGACGAAGTTTAATTGTTTTTAGGGACTGTTCTTCGATGGACCACGGTGCAAGTGTGGATCCCAGCACATTAGCAACAGTAACGGGCTGTTTGCTTTTGACATGGCATGCGTTCATGATTTGTCTTAGTCTTTTGGGCCAATATGTCGGGTAAGAGAACAAGAAACACGCATGGAGGAATATATACGTATACTCGAACAAGAAGGGAAAAGAATTCACTCTCTCTCACACACGCAGTCTTTAGCCAAACGCGGTATACGCGAAAACCCAGTCCGCTATCCAGCAAGCTTGGGCAGGATGCACCTGGAGTATCGATCCTGCGACCACTCAAAGGCGTCGACCTCGAACTCACAGACAATCTTATATCATCGTTTGAACAACGCTATCCGAAATTTGAAACAATTTTTTCCGTGGCCAAAGAAGATGATCCAGCTGTGCCTGTTGTTCGCCAGCTAATGAAAGAATACCCGGATGCCGAGTGTCGACTTATCATAGGTATGCAACATAGAAATGGAAGAAAGAAAAGAGAGCAAGAAAACACAATTTGATACTCTGTGTCAGCGCGAGATATGCGAGAATAATAGTAAAATTGATGCGAGATTATGATATTCGCTAGGCGATCGTCAAGTTGGCATTAACCCCAAAGTGAACAATATGGTAAAGTCGTACGAGAGCGCTAAATACGACATCATCTGGATTCTGGACTCAAACGTACACGTGGATCGCGACACTCTTGGCCGCTCAGTAGACGAGCTGATGGAACCTGGTGTTGGTCTTGTTCACCATCTGCCTGTTGCGATGCAACCTACCAGCTATGCGGCCGAAGTAGAACATTTGTTTCTGGACACAAACCACGCGAAAATGTATTTGGCCATCAACCAGGTCGGGATTGCATCGTGTGTCATGGGCAAGTCGAACCTGTATCGCCGCTCAGACCTCGACCGTGCAGGCGGATTGGGCGCGTTTGCGCAGTTTATGGCCGAGGACAACATTGTAGGTGAAGCGCTGTGGCACCAGGGTCTTCGTCATCGCATGAGTGCCGATTCAGCTTGCCAAGTCTTGGGGCATATTACGCCTTCTGAATACTGTCGTCGACGCGCTCGATGGGTCCGCCTACGCAAATACATTGTCACTTCTGCCACACTGACCGAGCCGTTCACCGAGTCGATCCTATGTATCCTCATGGGTGCTACAGGCGCCAATATCTTGTTCGGCACGTCTATCTTTTGGTACTTTTTATTCCACTGGTGTGCATGGTTCGTGAATGACTATGCACTCTATCGGACATTGGTGCACACAGCATCGTATGCTCGCAAGTCGCATCGGCCGCTAGGTCCTTGTCGCTTTGCACGTGCATGGCTTTCGCGGGAAGTACTGGCCCTTCCACTCTACTTGTACGCCATGGTCGGGACCCGCATTACGTGGCGTGGTCAAGATTATCATTGTCTTCGCGATGGCACAGCTGTGCCCATCCTAGCAAAAAAATGACGGGCTAGATCTATAAAATTAATAATAATAGTAGTAATAATAATATCCTCTCTTTTTTCTCATGCTTTCCAATTTCTTCCATGATGCCCGCAGCTGAGACACGTATGCGTTTGTGTTTTATCAATACACTGAGCAGTAGTATTTGTTTATTTCAACACTTTGTACAAAAAAATATATTGGTATGATATTTTCTTTCGTGGTAAACAGAAGGAGAGAGTATGTGTTTGTTTGTGAGGATAATGAGAGGGTATGGTTTGTTTTCTCTTTTTCCTGTTTTGCTATTTACTGGGCCTCGAAGGTGACGAGGAAGTGGACCTCGCCGTGGTCAGACAGACCTAAATGGGCAGGAAGCTTGACCCAAGTGTCAAGGGGTTCGCCGTTGAGGGCACTGTCGAACTCAAAATCAGCATCGCCAATCTTCTCGGTGTCCATTTTGTCCTTGTCAAGAACCTTGAAGTGGAGCTTGTGGACCTTGGAGCCTTCCTCAATGTTGAAGGTGAAGGTCTCGTTCCAGGCAGGCTCGTCAGCGTTCTTCTGGACGCTAGTCTTCTGCTTGTATTCCTCGTCAAGCCAGAGCTCACTATAATTACAAAGGCAACTAGGTTAATATCACGCGTATCTCATTACGTGTAGGCCAACTTTAAGAGCAGGCATCTTGAGCCTGAGAGTGTAGTAATAGCAATAAGCTAGAGAATAGGAAGGAGCTATCCTGTTCCGCACCGTTCTAGCTGCTGACTACCACCGCTGCAAGCAATAGTCATTCTTGACCAGAGCTACTTACACGTAGGGGTCGTTCTATACATAGGAAGGAAGAAACTTGGTGAGCAAAAAGCACTGGTTTATATAGCAACACATCCCTACCCTAGTCCCTATTTTCTTTTCTTTTGCTACTTACGTGGCCGATGGTATCCTCGTTCTTCAAGTTCTTGGCCTCGACTAGAATGGTAAAATACAAGAGAATAGGTCAACATCGCAGCTACTTGTCTTGACAGTAACACCCATCCCTGACCAACAACCAAAGAACAAAACGCAGGTGCAGAGCAGATTACTTACGGACTTGAACGGTCAATACACCTTTGGGGTTCGAGCGGGAAGAAAGCATTTTTGTTTTAGTAGATGTGGATATGTGAAGAAAGAAGAGGAAAAAGAGAAGACGAATGTTGAGCCCTTTTTATAGACGAGGATAGCGGGCTGATGAGGGACTACGAGAGAACGACGCGTCTTTTCTTGTTTATTTTTACAATATATCTTCCCACACAAAACGATTGGCTAACTTCTTATTTACTGCATTAAGCCGAGCTCCTCCGAGTGAGTGTGTGAGTGAGTGAGTGCGTATGTTGTGTAAAGAGAAAGATCTCGAGGTCTGTTACATTTGCAGCGGAGGCTCTAATTTCATGCGTCCGTGAAACACTTTTGACAGTTTTGGGGGGGAGGACCTCATTCGCCACGATCGGCGTGTAGTAGGGCGGGACGATTTACTGGTCCCTCTACCTAACGAAATCCCCGCTATGTAATAGGTCGTAATAAGTGGCGGCGGTGCTCATCAGCCAACCACCTGATGTCATTATTGCCTAGACAAAACGATGCCTACGACCGGAGACTGTCACAGCCTTATCCATTTTGGGAGAACTTCTATTTTACAATGCACTGGGCTTTATCAACAAAGATTACTTATTCGTTCTCTTTGTACCTGTGGTCATGAATTGCTTGTATTGCTTTTTTTAAAAATAAAAGATAATGGAATAGTTGGGGTATTTTCTGCTTTTTTTTACATGCTGCTAGAAGTAATAATATGTACAAGGGAGAGGGACAGAGAGAAATGACATATAAAGAGAGGGGATTGGGGTATGTTGTGGAAGGAGAAGGGTTATGGAAAAGAGAAAATCAGATGAGAGTGTTTTTGTACAGCTTTTTTTTACAGTAAATGCCCGAGAATATTTATCCGTGGCATATGAGTTGTAACAGCCTCTTTTCGTGATGGTGATGCCGGTCGATCGTCATGGTGATGTGTTTTGTTGTATATGCTGGAAGCGCTACTTGAAATGGATGAAGAAAGGGATGGTATCCCAAAGGAATGGTGATGAAGGTGAGGTAATGATGATGATGGTGCTGTTGTTGTTGAGTTGTTGGATGATTCTTGTTGGTTCACTGTTCCCCAAGACGTCCGACGCTCTGTTGCATTAGTGGACAAGAAGCCTCGATACTCGCTAAAGTCATAGCCGAACACGGGATGATGCTGCAGCGCATCTTGGCGCAGACATTCATCAGAGCAATACAGTGAGTCCTGTAGTTGACGCAAAGGAAAAGTCAAAGTTAGGTTCGAATCACAAGCGCAGTAAAGCTACTGTATACATGGTAATGTGTCATGTATACAGGTTGAGGTCGCGTGGCTGCTGCTGTTGTTATAGGTAACTCACCGAGAACGGACTGACAGCCTTGTCGCAATATGAGCACCAATGTGTATCCATTTTTCTTCTAATTTGTATGGTGATTGTTTGTATATATCCGACGTAGGTGAATTGCTGGGAAAGAGATGCGATTTGAAAAGATGGAGAAAGAAACGGAAAGAGCAAAGGAGAAGAAGAAGAACGGCTTCCCAACTGAAGAAGTGAAAAAGTCAGGTTATGAAATAGGTGAGCTGTGCTTTTATATATCGAAGGCTGCGGATGGTTCGAGACATCGCCATGCAAAGATCGTCCAACAAATTTTCAATGTTGATTGGCCGAACTAGCCGGAAAAATTCTGGCGTGCTTTGCCTGTTTAGTAATGCATCGTTCTGCTGTGTTCCACCACGCAATCGAACTTTTCGTTTTCGTTTTGGGTGATCGATTATTCAGCACTGGGCGCGATCGCTCATTCTGATCGATTTTTAATAAGCAATAAATTTATACACAAAATTTTTTTGCAGCGCATCGAACTGAATGGCTGCCACAAGAAAGAAAAGAGTGAATAGCAAAACAGGCTGAAAACAACCGGAATATGCATTAGAAAATTATATTAATTATAATGTTATTACTGCTACTGCTGTTATTATTCTAAGAAGAAAACCGTCGTATGATTTACTTATTAGCCATCCCATTTGACAGGCTCCCATCTCATGATTTTTCTTGCCAAGTCTTTGCTCCTATCTTCTGTCTGCTTGTCCTGATTACTGCTTGGCCCTACCGCGGGGCTTTGTGTAATCGAAAAAGTAAAACACAAACATTGCTTTACAGATACACAGATAAGCATGGTACACATTTACTCACAGGCCAACAGCACGCTGCCGCTTATATAGTAATAATATCGACAGCCAAAAACGGAAAGGAGCTACAAGCCCGATGCGGCCCGTCCGATCTCCGGAAACGAGTGGACCGACGCCATGACCGCAACCGTGCATGCAAAGCGACCCGACACATGCGCCGTTTCATAGCATTTACAAATAAGGCCTATGGGGTAATCTCACTCTCTAATTTTTCGATGCCAGCTCGCATTCAAGATTCACTTCTTTAGTTTTTGAGAAGAAATTCTTTCAAGAAAAGATGGGGCATTAAGGAAGTGAAACCAAAACCAATAAGTTCCTAAGCCAAACTCACACACACAGCCCCGGAGTTTGGAACGCTCGTTGCCAGGTCTATTCCGTCGCTTGGATACCATATAAACTGGGCTTTTCGAGTTGCTTTAAAAAACTATTGCAACTGCTGTTCCAACAACCCCAAAATCGACAAAAAAGAAAATCAGACGGGCAAAACATATACCTTGCTTACAGACATCGCAATGCTACAAAATCTTCCTTACGACTTGCAACAAGTCATTTGCGAGATGGCCATAGGTCCTAATGGCAATGACCCATTCGCTTTCCGGGCCATGCGAGTATGCAAGCTGTGGGCTCACTATGTTTGCAGCGTTCTGTACAGGTAAGGGAAGAGGTGGACAAAGGGGGGTCCATCTATGTACAGATATTGAAGAACGACTTAAATGGTAGGGGTGCTAACTAACATTGAACCATCATATGTATATTTAGGAATTACATCATCAATGACTATTTACAGTTCGTCGGCTTTGTCAAAGTTGTCTCGTCAGACAATCCATTGTTGCCCTACGGCGCATATATCCGTTCGGTTGACTTGACAGCCGTCAATCGCTACGGCATCGACATGCGCGCACACAAGCTGATCAAACACTGTCCCAACTTGCTATCGGTCACATTGGGCCATCCTACGTCCGTGAAGCCGTCGACCATCATGATGATGGCGCGTCACTGCAAGAAGCTGCACTCTCTCCAGATTGGTGGGCTGGAAAGCCATCCTTTTATGCTAGAGTGCAATTTCGCCTGCCTCAAGAGCCTGCGACATGTTGACATTCATACTACCCCGCTGACTGGTTCTTCGCTGAACTCGCTGCCCATTACCCTTGAACGAGTCCGGTTGATGAAACTGGATAGCTTGGAAGACCAGGATCTGGCCACCTTTGTCAAGAACCGCAAGAAATCCCTGAAATCCCTGGCAATAATCCGCTGTGTGCGTTTCAAAGGGCGTATTAGTGACGTCTTGCAGCCATTGACCCATTTAGAACAACTGGAATTGGTTGGCGCCACCATTGACGACAAGCGTATGGAGGGTTTATTTGATTTACCTTTTACGCTCAAGAGCTTGCGCCTCTGTGATACCCAAATCAGTGAACAAACGATATTAGCTTTGGCTGCTGGTCGGCTCAAAGTGCATCATTTGGATATCTCGCACAATCCTCTGCTTACAGACGACTGTGTAAAGTCACTGCTGCTGAAGCGCCATCTGTAATTTGTTTTTTTTTGTCCCTTTGTTTTGGTTCACAAACGACGACAACAACAACATCAGCCCCGTATACAAATGCCTCCAGCGCTCAGCATTACTCTTACCACACAGTAACCACAACAACACACCCGCGTCTATATATATCTCTTGTTTCTATCACCGACTGTATATGTTGTCGCTGTAAATAACCTCTTTCAATCAAGCGTCCATATGCAACCGTCTTGAATTGTCGTGTTTGTGTAATTGAACGGCGTAACATCGTCTTTTTTTTTACCTGGTTTGGACACGAGTATAATGCCTTTATTCAGGGCTCATTAAACCGCCGCTCGAGAATAATGGCGCTGTGGCACCGCGAAAGCTTATTTATAAACCATAGAGTTGTCGGAATCTTTTAAGAGGCAAAGAAAAGGCGACGACAACTTCTTTTTCTTCTCTCTTCCTCCTCTCTCTACCTTTCACTTACTACCCTATCCCTTGATTATCATCACCACCCCCTGGGCCTGTTTGTTCCTTCTTTCTTTACCTTCAAACTGCCACAGCTCCCCTAATTCGCTTTTTCTGTCCTTTCTTCCTTTCTACATCTACTAATAATGATCTTCAAATCGTTCATTTCTACTTCCACAGCCGTTATGGCTTTCGTTTCGGGTATCGCTGCGACTATGGCGCCTAATTACCCTGGGCCCGGCACTATTTGGACTGCCGGCAAACAATACACTCTCACCTGGGGTAATTAATCGACATAGTGTGTACATACTCAGCTTGCGCAATTCATTCTGACGGTGTACTATTTTCTTTTTACCACTTTTGTTAAATTTATAGCTGATGATGGTAGCTCGCCCAGCATGAACGAGACCTGGACGAACTTCAAGATTGGTATGTCACTTGAAACCAACATACTGCCCCACAATCGCATTTTCTGCATTGACAACCCACTAATTGGATGATATATATCATAGACTTTATGACTGGAGACAACACCAACATGGTTCTCTTGGAGAATGTTGCCTCAGTAAGCAAAAGCACCAGAGGAATATAGAAAATCTCCCTTTTTTATTATTTTTTTACTAATGTGGAGCACATTTACTCTATTTAGGGATTGGACGCAAGCACCGCATCCTCTTACACGTGGACTGCTCCACAAGTTGATCCTTACTCCGCAGTCTACTTTTTCCAATACACCAACGGTTCGTATACAGTGCCATCGATCTCATCGTTCATATATCCACTTTATTCTGTGATCAATTGGAACGAGCATCCAGCTAACTCGGTTTGTTTTTGTATATCTGTATTTGTGGCGTAACACTGTAGATGCTGGCGCGGCTGCATGGACCACTCGCTTTGCCATCGTCGCTCAGGATGGCGATACTCCCACTGCTGAGCCCCAACAGACTCAGCCCGGCGGTAAGTTTAACATCACATCAATTATAATCGCTTAATTCAGCAAATTCGGTAAAGTAATTAAGCTGTTATGCTGACGATTTCTGTTTTATTTTTTTCCTTGTTTGACAATAGGTGAGGCCATTCCATGGGGTACTGGTAAATTAGCCAGCGGCGTTGCTGCTTCGTCTAGTGCTGCCTCTTCTCCTGCAGTAGAGTCTTCTCCTGCTCCTGCAAGCAGCTCCGTTGCTGCTAGCAGCAGCAGCAGCCCTGCTTCCTCCAGCAGTGATGATGCTCAGAGCTCGCCTGCCTCGACATCTTCGGGTGTTCCCGCATCTGCCGATTCCGATGAAGTCGCTGACGATAACGCTGCTGGATCCACCCGTGCTTCGCTTGGTGCCATGGTCGTTGGCTTGGTTGCTGCTGGCTATGCTCTTGCTTAAATCCAACATAATAGGTTATTTTGTGTTCTGTGTTGTAGACGTTGACGTTGTGTGTACTAGTACTCTAAATTATTATTGTCGTGTATACTCCCGCTACCTCTCACTCCCTTCCATCACTGTTACTAATACTACCTACTACTACCCTCTATTATCCACCATTATCCACCATCTATTTTCGATCGTCCCTTTCCCTCCTATTTCAGCTTCCTTTTTTTTTTGTTTTTGGCAAAAAGCCGAGGAAAAACAAACACACAAATTCAAAACGCTTCCTCAGTCAAAATACACAGCAATTAATTTATCAGATAACTTAACTTAACTCAATTTCAATATAAACGTATAAATAATTATTTCAATCCTTTCTCTTCTATTTTTTTATGCAACGAAAATAGCATCCTTGAGCGCGTTGTAAGCAGTCTCCAAATCATCATTAACCACAACACGATCATAGGCACCAGGGGTTTCACCGTATTCCCATTCTCGCTTAGAAGCTTCCAAACGTGCCTTGACGGCTTCCTCGGTCTCCGTGCCACGACCACGCAACCGTTGCTCCAAAACTTCAAGACTTGGTGGCCGAACAAAGATATAACGAGGGTTCAATTGGGTTTGCTTGACTAACTTTACGCCTTGCATATCAATATCCAACATGCATACTTTGCCTGACTCAACCACATCCTCAACTGCTTTGATCGAGGTACCTGCATACAGTATATAAATATGTGTACGTGTGTGAGTGGATTTGGATATATGCATTGTGCGTGAATTAATACATAATAGGTTACCCTCTTTTTTTTCCCAGATATTAAAAAAAGGCTTATTTCTCTCTTTTTTGATTTTTTTTTGGCCGTGAATGACTTACCATACATGTTACCGGAAAACGTGGCGCTTTCAATGAACTTGCCAGCAGCAATTTCCGCTTCCATACGTTCCTTGGCTACAAAGTGGTAGTCTTTGCCATTACTTTCTCCTGGGCGTGGCTTCCGCGTAGTGTCTGTGTAATTTTTATATTCCAGCATTTAGAGAAATTGTATAAAAAAACAGGCCACGATAATCTCGCTTGTTGTTGGAGAATTCAGAGAGTAATTGTGTTATTAAATACATTACGCGAAATGCTGAATCCAAAGGTGTCTGGGTATTCTGCAAAAAGACGCTTCAACAATGTCGATTTTCCGGATCCGGATGGACCTGAGATTACAAAGATTCTGGAGGCAGTTTGCATGGCTGTGTGATGTGGAATGTGGATTGTCAAGAGTTAGGGAGACGACAAGGAGGAAAAAAAAGTTACAAGGAAGGAAAGAACGTGGGCTAAGCCTGCTAACTAAATACGAACAAGGATCGACAATTTTTGCTGTTGCGTTCCCGACTCCGAGTGATTAGATGATGCTAATTAGTTTGCACTTGATTGAACTTCTGATGCATATGTGTCTGCTTTTTAACTATCAGTATTTTCCTTTTATTACCTGAATCAAAGCATAAATTAGCAACTACGACATGTGGTACCTTTGACAGACCTGTCAAACGCATGAAGACGTCATGGGATATTCTCTTGTACCATGATGACATGCGGCCTCTATCTAACAGATAAAGAAGGGATCAAAGGCAAATTTAAGCCATATACCATTTGGACTTTCACAGTACACTCTTTAGGATACTGCAGATTAGTATGCGCCTTTGCCATACTGTGATAACTCCCCCACCTTGTACCGTGCCTTCGCTGGAAAAAGCACGATTATCATTGTAGGTTTTTCACTTCCCTAAGTGGTTGAATGTGGTATGCGGACATGAGTGATTCAATAGAAATGCTTCTAGTAAATCATTGTATGCGTACTGTTAGCATGCTTTGATGTGAGAAAGTGATATATCAATAGCTTCTAGTTAGTCCATGTCGTTTGTCGGCCTCAACAGTATAGTATAAAGTTTTCTGTATCACCCGTTTTATCTTATCGCATCCGCTCGGGCCACAAAATACGACCATGGGCATCATTAAACATGCACCCGTAGGTGTCCTCACTATTCTGATTTGATCACTATCAGTACACCCCGCCATTATTGGCTTTGCTTGCAACGAAAGTAATCATAGCTTCTAGTGATTCAGACGCTACATACGGTAACTTCTAGGTGTTTGTTGCAAATGGCGATAACCACAAAACATTGCTTGTCGCCCCTTTATCGCTACTCAAGGATTCATACATAGCGACCAAGGGAAGACATAACTTCAAGCTGACAATGACCCAGTATTTCGGCTCAAAACTGAAGGGAGTGTCGCTGATAAACAATTAAGCTTACTTTTAACAGCGAAAATCATCATCATCTTTATGAGCGATTTCATGCCAGTCTGCTGGTGCGGGGCCCGAGAGTCTCGGTCTTTATTCTTACATTCATTAAACTGAAGAAGCAGCCGGTTCAATACTTATCCTCATCAATAACTTGGAAAGACGAACATGCCCAGTAATTGAGTTACCCATCTACTAAGCATGAGTGGCAATAGCTTAACCACTATCGGTTTTGGCATTTCACACAAAGTAGGGAAATTTTTTCTCCACACACTACTTTGACCTGGGCCTGAATTTTCACTCGTTTGTTGAGGCAAACCAGATAGAAGCAGTAGCAGCTTATTTTATTTACACTTTCAAACAATGTTTCGCAACATAATTACGAAATCGTTACCCATTCAACAAACAGCTGCACGACGCAATTATGCTTCTACACCATTCTTAAAAGATTTTATCACTTCTGAAGAAAAGGGTCCTGTCGAAACCTCGATTGAGGCCAAGGTACGCTTGCACAAATAATTAAATAAAAACGACGTGATACTGATACTATTTCCCTTTAACATACATAAAAGCTTATTGAAGAATTTGATCCCTCCACACTGCACATTGTTAATGAATCGCACATGCACTCACACCATTCTGCCATGAAGGGCAACACAAACAAGGAAACCCATTTTCGGTATGTCACAGGGGCAAGAAGGGAGAGTTGACAACTTTTCAAAAAAACATAGCACTAAATGTTATATGGGGAACAACACAAAATTATGACAGGATAACGCTTATCTCGAAAAAGTTTGATGGCAAGGTAAAGTTGATATATTGTTGAAACGAGTTGCGACAAAGTACTGATCCTTAAAACGGGGAACTATGTATGTAGTCTTTGATGCAACGCCATCGCTCAGTCTACAAGCTTTTGCAACAAGAAATTGATGAAGGCGTCCACGCCCTTACCCTTAGAACTAAAACACAAGCAGAGATCGAAAAGAAGGTTTAGAAACAGCAATAAACAATAGTAAACCCTCTTATTAACGAGATGACGATGATGATGCATTACTTGTGTATAAAAGTTTAATCTAGTATTAGTGAATCAACAAATTGACGAACGACTGCTTGCCCACCGGAATTAACAAATCGATTTGCTCGACATACAATAGAAGCATGTGCGTTCATTGCGTCGATATAGATAAGTACACGCTCCCATTCGAGCTGGAGCATGTTCATTTGGATCTCAAACTGCTCCTTTGCAAGATGCATGGCCGAATGTTTTGTTTTCAATGCTTTGGATGGTTCGATGTTGTACAACGACCTGTGATCTTTGGTATCACGTTGCTGCTGAGTCGTTTGCGGAGCCTTATCAGCATTGGCCTCGTTGGGTATCGTTTCTCCAGCGTCGAGTGTATCCACCAAGATGGGGTCTTCTTCGTGATCGTTGTGATGGTGATGGTGACGCTTATTATTATTATTTTTATCGTGAGTTAGGGTATCGTCGCTATAGCTATGACCACACTCTTCGTCATACTGCAGCATTTCCTTTCCGCTCTTGTCCGATGCTAGCAGTCTTGCTACTCGATACCGAGACGCGAGTCCTTGGGTGCCGATATATGTGAACGCCAAAATTCCAAAGATGGGGACCAAAATTGGGCTAAATAGTAGCAACACAAGTCTGATCACTGATCCAGTTTTGATTCGTCGCTTCTTATTCTTGTGCCGTTCTTTGTCTGGATGCCGTGCGTCAAAGGCAGTGATCACACTCGAGTATTCCGAATCTAGTGATCTAGCGTTCGATATTAATATCATTATTTCTAATATATTAATTAAAAGTTGACCCCCTGTAGAACAGCTCGATATCTTTTACATACAATTCAACTTCCTTGATGTCTTTAAAGTAGTTACATGTATCCATGGCTGCACTCCAGTAGGGCACAGTACGATCGTTGGCTACGTTTGCATATGTGCGCCGTGTCTTGAATTTGGCCAAGTATTGATAAAACTCGCGGTCTGGATCTGCTAATATGCTCAATATCGGACGCCCATTTTCATGCGAATCCAAAAGTTGTAATTGCTCGCCTGTCCTTGACAGCATATGACCAGTGACAAAATTGTACACTTTTCCGAACTTTGTGTTTGCTTCACGGCGTACGCCTAAATGAGGTGTGGCAAATGTTACGTACAGCTAGGTACACAAAAAAAGCAACGATACAGGGTGCCAAGTTAGTCTTAAAGAAAAATAGCTCTTTTGATTCCTGAGATAATCACCATTTCCGTTACTTACAAGAGGTTCGACGGTATCAAAGAATCCTTTTTTGCCCAAGACACCAATGGCATAACGAGCCATTAACCCTCCCAATGAATATCCGATTAAGATCAGGCGAGTAACGATCTTGCGTTCTTCATCTGCCAAATACTTGACATAATCTTGTATCTATTCTTAAAAGTAGCATTCCATTACGATCTGTCACTTTTATGGTTCCTTTCCTCTAAGGCTCCCATACCTCGGCAGCAAGTCTTTTACCGCAGATATCAACCTATCCATAAAATTCATCCTTCCCTTTCGTCAGGAAATGTATGATAACGTAATATCAACCTAAAAACCTCGTACCCCATCGTAGGTATATTTGCTCTCGTTACAAGCAACATTTAACTTTTAATCATGAAGAAATAGGAAAAAAGAAAGCATTAGTTTATATTCCCTAATAATTATTTTGTCATGACGATCAATAACTTACCACGGAAATGGATTTAGAATCCATGACTTCCGTGATTTGCTTTTCAATGAAGCCCATGTGGCTTTTAACTCCCCACAATCCGTGCTGGCATACTACAAGTGTGGTTTTCTCTGACATTCTTCAATCGAAAGGAAGAGAAAAAAGAAGGATGCAAGGGCTGAAACTAAGCTTTATATATATTACTGCTTAAAGGAAGCCGAAATAATGATAATGCGCATTTCGGGTAAACTCGGCCCGTTCTGATTAGAAAGTACGCGTTCACTTGCCTGATTTGCTTTCTATTCTTTATGTCTTGGCGATCTGTAGTGATGTTCTCCTCTCATGCGTGTATGTATTCATACGTAGAGAACACAAGAAAGCATTGCTCAAGATTAAATATGATGATTGTCTTTATTGCTAGTGATGCTAAAGGTGGCAGATTATGAGGCAAAGAACCGAAAAAAAGCCGGACTGTTCCAGTAAAATATAAAAAGGGGAGAAGATGCGATATATAGCGTAAGCCTATTGATCTGATTTTTATTCGCTTTTAAATATATCATGTCGGGTATAATACATGACTCATCTTCAATTTCGCGCATGCCAATGATTATTCAGTTGTTATCATATAGCAAGACCGAAGAAGCCTTTACTCAGTCTACTTGATGATGGCGCAAACCAGCCCCTTTCCTACAAAGATATACCTGGGCAAACATGGCAACATTGATGATACAATGTGGAAAGGGATAGATGAGAAATATAATCCTGATCTGTGCCTGCCATCATTCAAGATCTCATAGTATAAAGATACAATTATAGTATCATACTGTATGATCGTACAGTACATACTATTATTCATCTGAGGTCGTTCCCGACAAAACGCCAATGTCGTTGTGTATAACCCTGTGAATGACGAAGATGGATGGTTTTTCAGAACCTTTGTGTATGGACAGTGTACACATGTAGTGCTCAATCAGATACACGTGCATTCGTTGTAAATTACTCTATTTTGTTGATGTGCTATTTAACAAACAAATAAGTATGTACAATTTCGCATGAACCGCTTTTCCATTAGGCTGCTGACATTGTGAGTAGTTCATGCAACAAGAATAGATCTCATAGGAACAGACCTTATAACTCAAAGGAACGCTTACCTACTCTGAGCCCAAACAGATCATATTCTCCATTATTCGATATATACACATTACATATTTTCCCTTAGACTTCTAATTTTTATTATTATTCGGTAAAGATATTTGTAAACTTTAATCGACCTTAATGCTGCCAAAAATCTTGCGCAAGAAGAAAAGACATGCCAAGTAACCGACAGCACCTGTAAATAAAGATTGTATTAGGTCCGATTCTCGCTCCTTTGTCAATGATGCTTGACATATTTTCCTTTTTAAAAAAAACATCACTTACCAGTCAAGACCGTCAACAATATACTAATAATGGCAGAGTACCCAAGGTAAAGTACAGTACTCGTGAAGCTGTTGATATCGAGTTTGGTGAGGTAGTAAAGAATGGAGTACAAGAAGACGTAGAAGCCACAGGCACCGGCAGTCAAGAATGAGCGCCATGACCAATGGTAATCTTCATTGCACAAGTGGAAATAGCACATGAGGATGGTGACTTGGGAGCAGGTCAGAAGCAGGACGCCAAAGACGAGGAACAAGAAACCGATGCCATAGTAAATGCGGTGGAACCAGATGCTGTTCATGATGAAGTATAATTCAATAAAGATGGCACCGAATGGTAAGATACCACCCATAAAGATTGAAGGGATAGGGCGAAGGTAGAATGGCTGGTCAGGGATTTGGCGAGGGATCTGGTTGGTGCGAACGGGCGCTTCGATTCTGGGCTTACGGAATCCAAAGTAGGAACCAGCAACGCTGAGCGGGAAGGAGATGATGGCGTACAAGCCAAGTACGGCGACCATGGTGCCAAACGGAACGGCTCCGGATGAATCCGAGGCGATCAAGAAAAAGTTGAGAGCAAACAAAGAACCGAGGATCAAACTAACAGCATAACGCGATGTCAGTTTCAGTTTTCTAAAACGCATTTCTCTGTTTCTTTACCACCACTTTTTTGTCTCCTTCCACTAATTGATATAGCTTACCCAGGGAAGAAAACAGCAGTCAAAGCCACGTTCGACTTCCATGCCTCACCGCCATTCATCTTATATGTGCGAGCTGACACGAAACCGGCAATGCAGCCAAAAACCATGAAGAAAATGATCATGACAGTAGCAAGCGAACCACGATTCGATGGCGAAAGGAAACCGAGAACAGCGAACACTGTTGAAAGCAAAGATGTTTAAATGAGCAACCGCGTGAAAATTCACCCGCCTATCAACCTTATTTGCGTGCCGTTTCCTTACCAAGGGTCAGCGCTGTCATGGCAATCAATTGGGTACCGCTACCAACAAGAACAGACAGCATCATCAACTGGGTTGGTGGGCGGAAAACATCACCATGGACCAACTTCCAGCCATAATCTTCCTGGACATCCTCCTAGACATTATACCCCCATTATAATGTCAGTAACCTTCTTTTTTTTTTCTCTCTCTCTCTCTCTCTCTCTCTCTTCCATCGTAAACAGACGCACCTGAGCCTCAACAGCGTTGTAGCGAGAGATATCCTTGTGCAATGCACGGAGCAAAATCATGCCAACCATGCCGGTCAAGAACAGCACAATGACAATCGAGTTGACAAGGGAGAACCAGTGAATCGAAGGATCAAGAATATGCAAGTAGTTATCCCATCGAGTGGCCCAAGCAGTGTTTGATGGCTAAAATTTAAGTTCCCATTCAACACCAAAAATAGCAAATTTTTCAGTTAGTTTCTTTTTTTTTTTTCTACTTGCTCGTATACCAAATGTATTTTAGTCCTAGTCAACTAAAAATATCTCTCCGTTTGAACCCTTCTCTCAACGCCATCGTGAGCTTCCCCGTGCACCCTGACACACTTACCAACCAAGTGACGCTATAGGTGTAGACAACCTTGGACTTGCCATCCTCCTTCAAACTAAATGCCAAATCCTTCTTGTCGCAGACAGGATTCTTGTTCTTATCCAACTTGGTGTCCTTGCTTGCGGGAAACACGACGACACCGACAACGCGGCGGAAGCCTCCGGGACGATCATGGAAATAGATATAGATGTTATAGTGGTTGTTGAGCATCGCCTTGTCACCGTTGGTGTAGCCGAGGCTGAAACCAATGTTGTAGTACTTTTCGCCAGTGTGGTCATCTGTGTTCTCGTGTGCAGCTGGCAAGCCATCAATTACCCAATTGATTCCATAGTCGTCCGTAATGAGCTGATTGATGAACTGAGCATCTTCCTTCGGGATGGGCTTGGTTTCGCACAATAACTGGCAGGTTTCGTTGCTAGCCATACGAAGCTATATATAAAAACATATGTGTATAGAGAAAGCTTCACTAAGTATATCGCATATAGATTTACAGGGCACGCCTCTCCCCTCTTATAGCGCACTTGGCCAGGGTCCCTTCCCTTCCCCTATTCGTTTCCAACGCCTACTTACCTCAAAGGGCGAAGTGAAAATACGATCACCAAAAAGAATGCTGCCCAGGCTTTCTGATTGCTTTTGTGGACCGCCTTCCGGTTCGCAAAAATGAAGCTTTTCATAGTAATAGTCGTACGAGATAATGGACTTGACTTGCTGGTTGGACATGGGCGTTAAGCTGTTGACGTAAAGTGCTACAGGATCTTCCATAGCATAATCCTTCGGCGCCACACCGGGCAAGTAAAAGGCTGTGCAAATGTTAGACCATAGTGCCACCAGGGCTACTATGACCCAAGTTTTCGGCAAGCTGTGCATCATATAAAGATGATGGAGAAGGAAAAGATGTAGAAGAATACAAGAGAGAGAAAGAAAGCGCGAGAGTTTAAGGAAAAGCCAAGCCCGTGGCACCAAGGTACTACCTGTTCCGCCTCCGCTTTTGGTAAAGGCGTAGATCCACGATCGGGTAAATGGCATTCCGTATCGAGAATTGGCACTAAAAACCGTTGCGAGTTAGTTTAACGCTACTTCAAGCTTATTCGATGAATAAATTGACTGTGATATTTTGAGCAAATTTATGCCTCACAAAACATATGCTCATTTGATGACAGCCTATACGCGAGTAATTTTTGGCATTTCCCCCTCACCTTTCATTCGTTTAATACATGAACAAAACAAACAGAGCTCCAGAAAAAGTAGTTCTTCGCACTATAAGAATAACCAAGCTAATAAAAGAGACATTACCTAAAAGTGTATGATGTCAGCTTACGCGGGAAGTTATATGTAGTAGAGCTTAGTACTAACACTACGTGCTAAGGATTGAGAAACTTTGCCTTGAAAAATGTCAACAATGTTTTGGTTTCTTTAATATTGCGTCCGCATCTTTGGTAACGTTTACAACTGTTTATATCATAGGTTATAGACATATAAATTAAGGCAAGAGAAATCCAACCTTTGCAGGATGATGCTTTTAGCAAATGGCACTGGTACCCTTATAGATAAAATTATTGCTGTATGAGTGTAACCATGAGTGACGCTCTTGTAATTCGACTCTTAATTTTATGAATGGATTTCGCCTGCAATTTGATTAGGCGAAAGACTCTGACGCATCGTTTTCCGTGCACTTTCCTCCTTGATACTTTCCTACCTACGCAGTAATAACTTGAAGTAGGTATGTATGACTCTAATGCAACGTAGTTAACAGAAATATTAAACTTGGTACATAAGGTTTTTAAGTGACTTCGGAACATCCCAAGGACAGATCTGTAGCTTACGCATATGTAGATAGGGTAAACCAAATCAAAGATCCCTCTCCCCTTGCTCATTGAAGCCCCTTCTACTAAAATTTAAATGAAGTGAGCAGGGGTGGAGGATATCATTAAATATAAGCCAGCGGGACCTCTTTATCTGTGTAAGCTACAGATATGCACAATATGGCATGTATGGTAAAGTGCTTCGTTTTCAATGGTGCATTAAAAAAACATGACGCGAGTTTCTAGAAAAAATGTTTAGTCGATACATTCAACATATCATAGGAAAAAAGCATGACTGGTTTCGTTATGGACTGAATAGCTCACCTACAAACAACAGATTGTACGGTAATTGTGCACTGGATAGACAGTCGCAGTGTGTCATCTGTATGCGTCAACAAATGTTCAGGGAGAAAAACAACATCATTAATGAGGAACACGTTCAAGGGAGATCAATCAGCAACGAAAGCAGAAATTCTAATGTTTACAATCTGGTTTGTGGTTTGCAAAAAGGATGGGACCCCTGTTTGCAAGGATATAAAACCATAAGGACCTTCATCGTCGCTAGCGACGGATGGTGTTTGTAGTAATAATGAACAATGTGATTACGACGAATTGGATGTTTTAAGACCACGGCCAGTTTTTGATAGTAGCATATAGCGTGACCTGTGCCTATTGGACCAACATCTGCATCTTTCTTTGCGGATCTTCCACGCTCTTGGTATATGTCTTTGTCATTTAAAGGTAAGGAATCCATAACAACAATACAAGTTTTACCCTTTTCTAAGTTAGGGGCGTCAATGCAGTTGTATTTATTATGCTTGTCATTGATGCTACTGTATCATTAGATGTCATTCAAGATATTTATTTATGAGTCTAATATTTTTGGAACCGACCCTGACCATCTTACTGACATAAGTTGAAAGCTTGAATCAAGGAAGTATGTTTATATATTCGATTCCTGCAACCAACATGCTATATGTGCCCTGGGGACCTATAAAGCTGACGATTATTGGATCTTTTTATTCTTTCCTTAGCCTCATGATGCGGAAAGAGCTGCGGTATGTAATTGTTCACAATAGCAAAACCATTACATAGGCTTTTCCCCCCGTATTTCCTATGGATATACCAATATTTTTAGAGGCACTAAATGTAATGTAAAATAATTTTGATATGACCTCGAATGGCGTATGCACTGGTTTAGGTGTATGTAGGATGTAAGTACATAATGCTCAAAGCTGAAGATCTGATCGATATTATAAATGTGAGATGAAGCAAACAGTATATGAAAATGCCCATTTGCCAAAGTAAACCTTCGATAACCTTTTTGATATGGGCACAATTAAAGCGAAGGGCGGCGTTATAGAACGGCTAATAACGATGAAGCAAACCCCAAACGCCGATTTCAAACACAGTATAAGATGGTGGATTTCACGCAGCAGTAGTTGCTGTGCATCCTCTCTTTCTACTGCTCATGCTCAAGTTCAAGCATCCAAGTCGCGTAGATGCACCTTTCGTATTGTTTTGCGAGTATCTGTAGTTGCTAACTTTGACGTTTGCTTTTCGTTGTCGTTTTTACTACTATTTACTTAACAATGAGCCCTGTTGCTTGTGATTTAAGAAGGAATTGCGTTTACGCATCTGATGTCTTGGTTTGCTCCTAATTACTGGGATCGATCGCGTTTCCTGTCATGGTAAGCAAAATCTCAGGTTTATTGTATATCTCACAACAAAAGGAAAGGAGCTGCATTTTTTTTTCTTTTTAACTGAGTATAGATCTCACGTACTCACTGTCATGCTTTCGCTTTTTTATTACATATGATAGCAATAGCTTGCTTCTCGCACTGTCTTGCTCAGGTAAAGTAACGTTAAACCAAAAACAACTCAGCATCTTATTTTGTTTGTATCATGAAAATGCTAGGATAATCAAATTATACTGCTGTTATCCCTTCTCCTCCCGTTGCCGCCAGGTTTTCCATTGCTACGCGAATGCCTAACTCGCTGATTTTGATCAGGTGTGTTTGCTATGGAACACGCTTGAGGTTCGAGTCCTCTCCTGATCTGGGAGGGCAGGGCGCGGCTATAGGCTTCTCGGCATCCTTTACGGTTTGCCTTGAGAGTGCCTAAAAGTCTGAACATGTGAGGGTGAGATTCCCTCAAGGCGACCCTGCCTCCGAGTGTGGACTGAAATAAATTATTTTCCACCAGGTGGGTACCGAGAGCAGTTACCATTAACAGGAATAGCGTATATGCCGGCGAAAGTCGCGGCAGCTGTCAGCGGGTCAAGTGCCGGTGGCTTCCTGGGTAATCATTTTCCACTGAAACTAGTGCTCTCCGCCATAGGTTCTTCGTGAACCTGCGCCCATGCGACAGTTGGGCCTGTCTCCGTCCCCCATATTCTACTTTTTTTGCGCTCACTTTCTTGAGCATTAGCAACGATCCTGGATCCTGTGGATTAAAACACAATCTTGAGGTAAGTACTCATTGCCTATAGTGGGTTTATTTCCGATAAGGATGACTCACTTACTATATCCTAGTTGTTTGGATGTATCTGCTGATGACGGCGACACACGCATTTGGCACACAAGAATTCTTAGTGGATTCATGCCTTAAGGTAATGTTGCAGTTCAAATTTTGTCTTCATATAAGAAACTTCATTCAGGCCACAGAAAACTGACACGCATAGATCCTACCGTATTTACGGTTGGTAGCAGAGGAAAAGAGGAAGGAAGGATTCGGCGAATTGAATTGATACAGTCCATCCCTACTAAATTGACCTCTTTAAAATCAATCCTCGGGAACTCCAATCTTTTGGCGACAACGTCCCCTCAAGCAGATATAGCGCAGAGATCAATCCCACCAAGCTTCAACACTCGCTACTGTCAACACATTCGGCGATATTTGAGGGTCGAAGTTAACGGGGATTGACTGTACAATAAATGATTAAATCATTTTCTGCTTTCTATTATAACTTAATACTTCATTTTCTGACTTAATGTTGTATGCGATGGCTACGATGGGTACATTCTTCAATTACGGATCATATGAGCCTAACAAAGTTTTCTTCAGGTAGTGTTTTCGCTACCTTAATTAGATATGGACTTCAAGTATTGAGGATCAATGTGATAAGTTCTTTTTCGCGTCAAGAGTACGGTTCACGGATACTTGTAGCCATGATTGTTGCTAAGACTAGAAGGTGAAGTATATACTAAACATAGACATGACACTTTCCTCCAGGAGTCGCTAGCAATAGGTGTGTAGTAACTGAACAACTTCAGCTCTTGTAAGTGCGGCGACCTACTCAAATTTTCAAGCTTTGGTTGGAAACCGGTATCATACGTTGGCAAAGCTTACTTTTTCCAGGGATCGTGTTCGTAACAGAAAATCGAGGTTGTTGAACATGGGTTCAAAATAAAGTCTCATATAACCGTAGTGGTACAAGGTGAGATATCTGGGCCGCACTAGCATACCGATAGAGCTTCTATAGCCCTCTACATTTTCTGTTGCTTTGCCGCGATCCTGGATCTTCAGTTAAAGGAACACGACGTGCTGCTTCGTTGTAAAGAATTGGTTCCAGTCCCGTTGAGGTAAAGCCGACATTATCCAAATCTCTGATATGGTGTAGAAAGTTTATAACCAACAAAATTGAGAATCATTTCAATATGAGAATTTAAAATCCTGATTCCTTTATAGTAAACATTTATTTTAGGGCGCTGATGATGAAATGTAGAAACTCTTGTGGTGAAGTTGCACACCTCTTCGTCTGCTGCCCACACATCTATACCCTTACTATAAGCCTCAATGTAGCGCACACATCCATTAAAGTATATTCTAATCTTCGTGGGAGTATTACTGGGTGGAGATGCGTTACACAAAGCTATGGGTAAGTTCTTCTTCAAACTGTCAAATATGTAATATAGAAAGAGGTGAAGATGGATTTAGCGCGTTTCATGCTGCCGTATGTCGCGGATACACTTTGTACCGACTATGCTGCCAACCATTTCAATTTCACCTGCCCCAGCTAAAAGTGGCAGACTTTGAGTGCCCATACCTTTTTTTTGCTGAGACAAATGACAACATAAACGTATAACAATTGTACAGAAAGTACCTAAAAATCATTATTACAGGTTTGTTTTAGCTGGTCATGCATACAAAGGTATTTATGGAACCTCAAAAAAATGCATCGTTTATGTCGGTTATAAACTTGTTGCACCATAACCGTTTGGGCCTTCAGGGATTTTACAGGGCCGTGACGAGCGGCATGAATCGAAATTTGGACTTTTGGGATAGTAACTAAAATATAGATAGATTGAGCGAGTGAATTGCGCACTTGCCAGAGAGTCGAAAACGCGTAATGCTATTATGATTATCGGCAACGCTTAGCTCCACCACTGTTTGAACATATTCTTCCAGTAACGGGAGTAACTTCTCGTAATTGCCTTTTACCCTAGTTGTTGTAGCCAATACTTTAATCTACAGACATGAACGACTCGTTTATTGTTCGTTTTTCAGTCAAAATACTTACACATTATGTAGCGCATGAACACGTACGTTCCATGAATTTTATCTTGCTTTCCTGCACAGTACGCGGGATGGATCTTTTGTGCTCGGTACTAGGCGACAACATTATGTAAAGCATTAGAAAGGTTATGGTTGAGTCTATAGTACATCCGAGCACAGATGTGCAATAATGCGGTGGTGCTTGGTATATACAGTAATGCAGTGAGTGTCCTCATCTCAGGTCCTGCTTGATGCAAAATTCACGGTATAATACGCTGATGACTTTTAAATGCTGCACCACACAGAGAGATCTAAATATCAATCCCAACAACACAAGTTACATAGATAATAAGTAATAGCTTTTATGTATTTAATACATGTATCAATAATATTCTATTTTGAGGAAGAGAGCAAGCTAATGATTTGTTGTTTGTCTAAAAATGGGCGAAATACGCGTTTGAAAAGGATGAGGAATATGATACGAGAGTTATATGGGTACTTTAACATAAAAAGAATCTGGTATGTGTAATAATATGCAGAGAAGAATATATATGCCAAACTATCGATGATTATGAAATCTGTACAATCCGTCTAGCTATAAGGGCTTTGATGAAGATGCTTTTGCTGCTATTGATGTCACGGTGCATCACTGTACCGCAACCGCGGCACCGGTACAGTACACTTCTACACCACCCAATATCCACGCTCCTCCACAGCTCAAGCAGGCCACTGTGGTATGCCTTTTTTCTAATTTAATGATTGTTGCACCACGTACAGCAGCTATACAACAGCGAAAAATGAAATCAGAAATTATTAAGTTCACAATCAACCTCGTCCGTAATTGTTTTCCTCTCATGTGTGTTAAACCTCTCTCTTTCAACTTCGCACGAAACTAGTAGTGCGACCATGTGAGCATTGCTCGGTCTGTTTTATTGGTAATGGACCGTGCTCGACACATGGAAGGGGGGAATGATCATAACATCAAAATTGGCGAGCAACTAATTTATGGCTTGGTTTTGATACTCGTCTCGCAGTTGGCGTATGCGTCGAAACGACCGATGCACGATCACGCTTAAAAATCAGATCATTGAGCTCCGTAGCCAATCGGTAGAATCGCTTCACTGCATTTGGTGCAAGCAAACCTGCCCCCAAAGTTGAGCTATACCAGGCGTGTGGGGTTCGTACGCCTGGCTCCAAGGCAACGACATGCATCAAAACGAGGCTTTGCTGGGCCTTCTGGCGGTATGGTGAGGTGCATATCGAACCAAGTATCCCAATGTTCTTCGAACATGTCGACGTATTTGAGAGTGGGTGTCCACAAAACCGCAGCAAGCTGCTGGGTTCGGAGATCCCAGAATGATCGTGGTTGGTGTTGCTGAGATGTATTGCCGAGGTTCGCGTCAAAGTCAAAGGCACCTGACCAGACGTGTAGCTTGTTAGCTGCTGCGCAAATGTAGCAAGGGTGTTGATATGCGGAACAAGCGCTTGCAAAGGTATGATATGGTAGACAGCAGTGATTGAAGGACTTGTATGTGAGCCTCATGTTGCGCTTGTTGGTGTCGAGCTTGTGCCTCAAAACGCGATGCAAACTGATGGTTGAGATCAGAGAGTTGATGTGCGATTTCGGGAACAGTTCTTCTCAGTCGCATCTGCTCCGGCTCTTCTGTCTCTTGTACAGCCGCCTCAACAGAACTAACAAATAGGCGTTAAAGGGATAAGAACACACTTTATATGATTCTCAATATAGTTACCTTTCGAACTGCTGATACAACTCGCTTTGGAACAAAGGATGGTTCCAAAGGTAATGCTGAGGATACTGTTTCTTAATTTTAAGAAGAACGGAATCCTGCAGAAAGACAACACGCAGCTCATCCAACAGCTTCAAAAGCATGTCGGCGGCGCAAGATACTTCTTCAACTCTGCCTTCATCTAACCTTTGACGCCAGTAATCGACAAACTTGAAGATTTGCTTGCGCAGTTCTTCCGGTGGTTCAACATTGGCGCGAGGAAGGTTAAAAAAAAGCCGCATTCCATTTGAAAACCTGCAAGAGTTCGCAGGAGTTCGTGGGGGAGGTTGGTGAGGTAGGCGGTCGTCAAAGAGCTGGTGTTCCAACGGCCTGCACGACGAATTGCGCCCTCGCTCGAGCCACCAATCTCTGCCATCCGAGCAGCGGCGCCACGCATAGCATGTGTCTTGGCTTTCGAATGAAGCGAGGCTCCCTCGAAAGCCTTGGTGATTGCTTTGAGGTGCTGGCTGTATGACATCTCCTTTTCAGGAGCTGTCGGCGACGCCTTGATCACTTTGCGTAGGAACCAGTCCACGTTCTTGTTGACACCCGGAAATTGTTCCCTGGTTATCTCGTAGCGACTGAACAAATAGCAAGCGAGCATCATTTGCGGACAGATGTTGACGTTTTTGTTGCGCATACAGCCAGCAACCTCCACACGCCCAAACTTGTTAGTCTTGCCTTACTTTAAAACCATTACGAGGGCATGGCAAGGACTTGAACCTTCATCCTCTAGATGTAATGTTTGCAAATCTGCAAACTCCATCTTTCGAATGCTCTCGCCACGAAGCAAACCGTAGTGCTGCAAAAGGAACGCGGTGCCGTTGCGGAGGCCGTTTTCAGTTCCCTTTGCCCAGAACTGCTCGACGATCTTTTCCATCTCTGTATGGGTTGTGTATCCGTCTGCTGCAGTGAAGGCACCCTTTAAATGAAAAGCAGATCTGTTAAGTTACTGTGCTATTAAACATCAATGGCTTCTTTAACTTACCCTATCATCGGAATTGGCGCGAGCAATCTTCTGATCCTCTCTGCGCAACCAGTCGAGTAACGCTTCAACACGTTTTCCGCGAGGGCTCGGGCGGAAATTTGTCGACTAAGCATTGTTCGGCCCATAGGTCGACAATTGCAGCAGCATATGCTTCGACGGTTGTGTATCGCACCCTCTTTCCAGAGACGCCTGCAGCAAGTTGAGCATACGCTGCGAATTCTGGATTAATGAGCGGCTCGGTAGTGGAGGAGGAGGAGGAAGCGGCAGCGGTAGTGCTATTGGTGGTTATGGTCGTGGTAGTACTAGTTGTGTTGATGGTGGTGCCGATAGTAGAAGCGACCGTCGATGCTTCTCTGGCCTCGTCCATAGTGTCCATCATGTCCATCACTTCGTAAGCTGTATCGACATTGGACAGTGTGTTGAGCTCCGTAATGTCGTCATGGTCATCAGCATTGCTGCCATTATTGCTCTCATTAGCGACTATCGACATCGTGTGCAGCTCATGGGCAGGTGGAGACAAACTATTCGCGGCAGCAAGTGCGGGTGAGGTCTCGCTTCAGGCTGATGAGGGTTCTCCGGCGCAGCTTTTTTCTTCCTCGCTTTTGGTGAGCTCGGAAAGCAGCCTCATAGAAGGTTATGATCAATAAAATTGTGTTTATTTCTCTATACGTGTTATATCGTGAACAAGAGAACCAACCTCTTCTTTCGGAAGAAGGTGAAGTTTTCCATCGTCAGGAATGGGATTCACACCCATCTTGGTACACCATCTTTTGAACTCTTTTTGACGGCTCAAGTACTGGTTGGTGGTGTCTGCAAGGCGGCTTTCACGCGCCAGCCTAAACGTCTCGAGAACAACGCAATCTCTGGCCTCTCTGTAAACCACATCTCCATCGTTTTCGACAGTTGCTGCAGCAAGTTCAGCATCGTTCTGCAGAGACAATTCGGTCAAAGAAATCTCCGTTTCTGTTTCGACTTTGTGCAGGAGTGCTGTTAAGCTGTCTTCGTCCGCTTCCAAGACCACCCATGATTACGAAGATATGAAAAGTAAAGTGTGTTTAGTCAAGGAAGAAAAAAGAATCTTTTGAGGGCCGGGTGCCTAAACCACGCATTCCTGCAAAAATTGAATTCGGGTTTTGGAAAAAGATTTTTTCCAAATCCCCGATGTAGTGCGTATCACGAGACATCATTTGCCAAGCTGACGTCTATGAACAACAAAACTTTCCAATATAAAACTACTTACCATTTTCATGCACAGAGGTTTATTTATAAAAGCTGTACTGATCCAATAAAAAGAGGGGTACTTTTATTGTGTGTAGGAATAAAACATGTGGGGTATCATCTCAGGGAAGTTGAGGATCGAGTAAGCGTGAATTATTTATACATGCTCTTTTGATGGACTGACAAGAGATTTCAAGACTATATATTCCTTCAACTTCCTCACTATCTAGCAAATCCTCTGCAAAGTCATCCGCCATTGGCCGAATACCCAGCACCCTTTCATCATCTCTGTTTCGTTGTTGTGGTTGGCGACTATTAGTGCTGCTAGATGGTTCGTTTGTGCGTCGAAAATCATACCATCTCCTACTAGTGGCACCCAAAAACGCGTTGCTTCTTCCTTCTTTGGTTGCTGCTGGCTTGTTGTAACACTGAACAAGCCCAATAGCTGAGAACTGCTGGCCACTTTGCTTGAAGATCTTGCGCACTGAGTGCTGTCCCTCGAAAAGCATATGATTCATGACGAGCGTTTGCAAACTAAGGCTTGGCATTAGAATCGAGGCGCGATACGGCTCTGTTCCAATGATGGCACTGTCTTCCACAACCAAATCTTCCAGAGACGATGGAATGTCACCAAAAAAGGATTCTTTGAGAACTGTTTGTCGAATTGTGAGCTGCCGCAGCGATAAGCATGTAGCCTCCAATGCTCGCTGCTGTAACCGTCGTTGGATATGCAAAAGTAGACTAGCACCACCATTGATGTCTCCTCCGCCCTCGGTGTTATTACTAGCAACGTTGCTATTATATGTGATGGCCATATGTTCAAGTGTCAAAGTTTCTAGACCAGGACAAGCCTCAAGCAAGGAAAACAAGGTGAAATGCTCATAGCGTGCAAGGTTCAGATGTTTGAGATGTATCAAGGAGCCGAGAAATTTCATAAATGAGTCATTGTTGGCAGGCGGTGTGACACATGCTTGGAGTGAAAGCGATACCAAACTTTCACTAAAGCACCAGTTGTTTTCAGCCGTCCAAATGCTGTGAATGTTACGTGTCGTTCCAAAATGTTGTATGGGTAATCCACAGGCAAAGATGGTTGAGAGTAAATGGCGTGTGAGATAGAGCTGGAAGAGATTGACGGTTTGTACCTTGGGGCAAGAGCGTACAAATAACCCAAAAGCTGGGACCTCGGCCTGCTTCCATGTCCGGCTCGCCCACTTGTATGTCATTAGCATGTCCAGTAGATCGTATTCAAATGCTCTTTCTCCAACGCGATCAAGGTGCTTGGGTCTTGTTTCAAGTGAAAAGGATTCCAAATTAGGATAATTCCGCGCAGCATAAACGAACCAGTCGCTCATGTGCTCGGGAAGGCCGCGATAGATGGATAAATAGAAATGCGTAAGCTTCTTGGCAACACTACCACTACTTGTAAATTTTGCTGTTGTTGTTGTTGCTTGTAGCGGTGATGGTGGCGGAAATAGGCGGTTGATGATTTCGTCCGGCGTCATATCGGGCCTATCCCACAGATCTTGATCTTCTTCGTCGTCGTCAATGGCAGCATTCGGCTCGCGCTGTCGTTCTCGTGCTTGGCTCTCAGTATGGAAAGTCTCTGCAAACACCCACACGTGCTGGAGATCTGGACAAAGCTGATGCACAGCATCCATGTAGCTACACGTCCATGAGCCATTGATCCAGTTAAGGTACATACTTGTCAAGCGTGGCACTTTCCGCAGTAAACGAAGTATTGCTCCTTTTTGTAGACGAGGGATTGATAAATGCAGTTGAGTCAAGGTGGTAGGCAGTGTCCAAAACGTGTCAATGGACGTTCCGAGAAAGCTTCTGCTGGGGGCGAGTTTGCCGCAGCTCAATGCCGGTGCTGTTGTTACTATTAAGTTATCGGTGTCATTATCATTTGTGATGTGATTATCAGCCGACTTGGGTAAAGTAATAGAGTGGTTGCCGTGGTCACAACTGGTGGTGTTATTGTTGCCATGGTGATTGCTTTGATGATGAAACGAGGAGACAGTAAATGATTTAAGGAACGGCAAGTGCCCGGGTAACCGACTCGATGACGGCTTTTCCAGGACCTCAGTGCCCAAATCCATATGCAGCTCCTTGACAGCGTGACCCAACTGCAATAGCTCTTGTTGTTCCTCCTTGCCTTGAGATTGCGCGATCGCGTCAAGTACACCGCAAAGGTGGGCACACTGGTTTGCAGTGCGGATAGTAACGCTGGTGTAAAATTTGGCAATAAAGGAGAGGTACCACTGGCGGCAAACAAAGAGGCACGCATAGCAGTCTTCTTCGCAAAGGTAATTGTTTATGTTCAATAGTATATCCTGAGGAAGCGACGACGCGGCGGAAAGAGTTGGTGTGGCGGTGGTGGCTACTGTTTGTGAGCTGCCAGCCGCAGTGCTACAAGTAGTACTAGCGTGGAGCATACTGGTGTATTTGTGTTTAGAAGATGGGCAAGAGAAGAGGAAAGTAAGAAAAAAATAAGAAAGAGAGAAAGAGAGGATGAAATCCGCATTCAACTGTTGGTGCTATTGCTGCTGCGGCTGCTGCTTCTGCAAGTCATGGGCTAGGCAGGCAGACAGGCACTTGGTGTATGTGTGTATGTGAAAAATGGTCGTACACGGCGCAGACCCAGCTGTGCCATGACAGGCTGCTGATTCATTATTGTTGCTCTAATTACATAAAAAGGCAACGCACTCCTTACAAAACGGTTCCCTCTCGCTTTCTCGTGCCCCGCATACTGTGTATGCGCTGCAGAAGCTGATATCTTAGACTCAGATCAAATTTTGATGTAACGACGTACCAGCAAACTGCAATCAGCATTGCTTGCCTTCCTAAAAAGTACCGCCTTTCTGTTTGCTTTTATTATTTGCTTTTCCTCTTCCCTTTCTTTTCGCTCTTCCTTTCTCATTTTTGAATGCTGGAGCTCGTTGAACCATGGTCTTGAATAAACCTGACGAATATAAAAAGGGTCTTGATTCCCCATACGGCGATGAGAAACCGCCCACATCAGCTGGTCTAGTAGGCGATCCTGAAGCGCGGTCTAAAGACGTGTTTGCACAACTGACCGATTTAGATGTAAATTTAGAACAATGAAAAAAAAAGAGGAATCCTTCTTTTGCTTCTTTGCATTTGATGTTTAAAGTGGTACTCCTTATTCGCTCACGCTTATATAGAACGGCTTTCAATGTCTGTTGGACAAAGTCAAGCAAGATATGCAAGCTTCCAAGGTAAAAAATACTATTGCTAACTGAGTGCCACATACATATTTTCACCTCTGACACATAACAAACCATATGCGTATTGAACAAACTTTCGGTCTTTAGGATGCAATGCTGTTCCTAAGAAAGCGAGCCGCCCTTGAAGAAGAATACGGGAAACAGATGATCAAACTCGCGCAATCAATGTCAGAATCTTTTGACAAGGCACATCCGCGTTCAGGGTTTGTGATTCACTTTTTACACGCACACAAAAAAAAATAGAGAAAGGGGGAACAGGGGAAAAGGGAGAAAGCGGACAAAAGGAATGGCGGTTGGTGGTGAATACAGAGAGTTACTGATATGAATGGTCTTACAACTGTAGCACGTACGGTGATGCCTGGACATCGTTCCTCAAAGTACACGAAACGATTGGTGAACAACGTTTACGGTTTTCTTCTGACGTTACTGAAGTCGCAGACGATTTGCAACTGTTAGTCAAGGATACTGAAAAGGGTAGAAAGCAGGTAACGCTTAATTGTTTTTCGTTAGTACAAGAAGCGAAGCGATCAATTAGGAGAATTAAGCCGGTTTTTCTTTTCCTTCACTCCTCCCCCACATAGGTCAAAGATGTTGGTCTGAAGCATGAAAAGCAACTTAGCGACGCAGATCTGACTTTGGAAAAGGTCCGTTCCCATTCTACACTAAGAAATAAGGAGGAAGAGAGCAAGTGCGAAATAATTTACTAACAGACAGACACCATTTAGTGCAAGCAAAAGTACGAAATGCATAGCGAGGAATGGGAGCGAGCAATTTTACAAAAGAACAACGATCCGTTACATGTTCCTAAAAAAGGATTGTTTAAAAACAACAAAACACAAGCCCAGGTACCCGACTTTTTAATACTCGAAATTATTATATATCGTGCTAATTGATTTATCATATGATAGTTGAATAAAATGGAAGAAGATGCCCGAGTCAAGGCAACCATGGCAGATCAAAACTATAGGCAACAGTTGCAGGCAACCAATGCTTCACGGCAAGAATATTTCCAAACCCATTTGCCAAAAATAGTATCGGTACGTTATGGAGTTCTATTTTAAGGAACGAATTCAAGCTAAGGAGCAATGATAATAGCGGGAAAAAAATACTTACTCTTGCTATCTTTACGTAATAGAGCTTAAAAGATGTAGGAGATGAATGTTGCGTGGCACTTCGATACCAACTTGCACGCTATGCGTATATCTTTGAACAGGCATTGACTGCCGACGGTTTGGCGCTCGATAATGATGATGGATTGGGATTACGGTCTTTGACGGAGAAGATTGATAAGGATGCAGATATGACCGATTTTATAAAGTCATACAGCAGCCGTGGAAATGGCAGGGCATACAAAAGCGAGATCCCTTTCAAAGAGTACAGCATGGTAAGAAGGATTGGCAGTGCGACCAGTGTCAAATCGATGGAGAACAGTGGATAGGTCAGCTTACATAGTATGAAATGTGCTTTCTAGTCTGCCAATGCCCTTACTGTCCTAAATCCAAATCCAGTGTTTGGCGTGGATCTCAACACATTGATGGATCGTGACCGAGAAGAAGTTCCATTAATTCTTATAAAATGCGCTGAAGTTGTCGAAACATACGGCTTGAATACCGTTGGCATTTACCGTCTGTCTGGAGTAAATACCCAAATCCAAAAACTCAGGGCAGCATTCGACCGCGATTGTCGTGGCGTAAACCTCCTCACGGAAGAATACATTTCGGATATCAACAATATTACCAGTGTACTGAAGTTATGGTTCCGCGAGCTACCGGATCCACTATTCCCACGTTCAACTTATCAGCACTTTTTGTCTGCAGCCAGTAAGTAAACATTTTTCTTGTTGCGGCGTTACTGGCTGTAAATAGGGCGCTATTGCTGCATGGGAAATGGAGCGCACATTTTATTGACGTGATCAATGTTACACAGAAATCGAGGATGAGCGGATGCGTGTGTTGGGTTTGCATACAGTCATCAATGATTTACCAGATGCCCATTATGCCACATTGAAATACCTCATGGGTCATCTTGACAAGTAAGAATGCCTCCATTTTAATTCTTTTGACGGAAAAGAAAAACCAAAGAAAAATGTCCAGATTACTTATTGCAAGCATGTATGTTTATCGCAGAGTACAACAACTTCAGCGATATAACAAGATGGGTTCTGCGAACCTGGCGACTATTTTCGGCTTGACACTGATGGGCAATGAGTCGGGAGTGACAGGCGCAAGTATTGATTCGCAGGATAGTGAGCGGTTAGCAGAAACACAATGGCAGGTCAGGGTTGTTCAAACAATTCTGGACAACTACCGGTTGATATTTGAACCTGATGAGCCATAAAGGTGGATCCGCGATGTATAGTATTTCAAGACACACACTGACGCATTTATATAAGATATCCCTCTTAATAAAAACCATCAAAAAGGTTACTTCATCTCTTGTATTTAATCTCCTATAGATTATCCCAAACAAATCACACAGTCATCTTCTGTTGTTACATATGTGTGGATGATCTGATTTGAGAAGACCTGAGTACTGCAGATTGCAGAGCCTTGATTTAGGGCTGACAGACAAACTATGAAGCTATTTTATATTATGGTAGGATTATATATGATACTCTTCGTATACCCTGTGATGGATTTCCACTCTTATGCGGTAGAAGATGGCTTCTGCCCGGGTCCCTGACCATATTTTGTGTAATCACAGCAGATACCCACTCTCCTTGCCACATACTTATGTGGTCCACTGGGCCACAGTAAACATGACAACAATAACGGCATGATATCGTTATACGAGCTCAATTTGTAGAGCATTAACATGACTTCTATTCTGATGACTCTTCTAGACCATTACATGTTGTTAACTCACAGTAGCTGCTTTTAATGTAGTAGGTGTAGTACATATTGTGTTACATTCCTCCGAAAAAGAAAGAAAAGCACCAAGACATATGATACATACAGTTATATACATTTCATGGCTGGAGAAAGACGATGACAATACCCGTTCGGAACTCTCGGCCACCCGAAAAAAAAACAGAAGCCCCTACATGGTTTACATATAAGTAATATGTATCCCATTTTTTTTTATTGTTTCAAAAATATTCTAAAACAGATGCTTCAATAATTCATCGTCTGGTGATCAGCTAAAAAGGCACCCAAACCGACAGAAAAGCTACAATTAACACTATACCTTCCTTCTCTCTAGCACATATACAAGCACACGTATATCACCTACCATCAGACCGCTTGATGGTTCTCTTGGCATTCTTTGATAGCGCATTGACGATAAAAATAAAATATGCATATACTTTAAAGTACTGACCTGGAACACTCGAGCATATAAACAGCCAGCAATTCTGTGTTACCGAAATCGGCCACGTACAGAAACGGAACTACGCCTTGAATTTATTGATTGCTGTTGCAACAAGCAACGTGCCTGTAAGTATGCAGCACGTAGTTGATAAAGAAAACGTGGGCTTTTTGTTTCGCTAAGAGTACGAAAGTTTCTACTGCTTATGCTCGTACTAAGCTGCTGTGATAACAACATCATCGTCAGTGTTGTTTGTGCTCCATATTAGGGTTCAATACAGTATAGTTTGACTTGTACACTTTGTTTTTACCAAGAGTACAGACACAAACAAACAAACAAAGCTCCATTTTTTATATGTCGAGAAATCCTTAAACGAAGGGGATTGCACGACGACAAGGTAAATATGCAACATAAGACATAAGGGCGATTCCGATGTCCCTGATGACGATATTCAGATTACTGCGACGAGTATGATTTCTTGCATGGTTGTGTTAGCAGTAGTAGCTTATACTATATTTCGGCAATGGAAATGGCTTGTTGTTTTTTGTTTCCGCGTGATGAAACTGCATTTCCTTGGCTATGTGTCTAGAAAGATGCCAATAAGCGCCGGGGCATGAAGAGTGGAAGGTGAGAGGGGCTTGAACTGTATGATATGTAGATAGTGAGCCGTGCATGCATTACTACTGCCACATGAGACGAAGGTTGCAGCAGCGTCGTGATATATCTTACGTATTTAGAGAGATTGTTCTTCTTTCCGTCCTACCAACCTCCTCGTGATAGCAGTGACAGTAGTGTCGCAGCAGTGGCAGTATATAAACAGAGCATATTTTATTTTACCTGGCGAAGAGTAAGATTTTGATATCCTTTGCGCACATCGATTTCAAAACAGGACGGGTTCGTTCACTTCTTTTCATTCACTTTGGTGCCGTTGTTGTTGTTGTTGTTGCCGGTTTGACCACCAACGGGTCTGTGCCCAACAAATTTATTTACCCGGATCTCGTTTCTTCACCTCTCCCCTCTCCCCTCTCTTTCTCTTTCACTCACTCTTTCTTCTTTTTCCCTGTTTCTCTTCTACCTTCTTTCTCGTCTACCGTCCTAATGCTTGCTTGGCAGTGGGCTTTGATAGCGTTGGCGATCGCAGCAGTTGTTTCTTCAGTAGCTTTCACCATTTACTTGCTATGGAGGCGACGTGTTTGGCATAACAAGCAGCAAATACAAGCAACCCGCTGTTGCCCGGGGCCCCACGATCAACGACGACGACGGAGAGGAATGGATTTTGGAGCCGACGAAGTACGAAAAAAGGACAGCGACTCTGCCATCGGACGGGTATCGCCAAAGTTTCCGTCTTCGTTTTTACTGCAGCAGCATCGGCAAAACAATACGACCACAACACCATCAACAACGTCAGATTCTGTTTTTTCTGCAGAAGATCTCGAAAAGGCACAGCATCTCGTCATGATGCCACTTTCGGCACCGCCACCGCGAGCAGGAAAAAAACCAAAATTATGCATGCCACAACAATCAAAAGCGGACATTGATTGCCCCATGAAGAGCGTCTCATCTTCGTCGGCAACACAGCAAAAGAGGCTGGCACAAAAAGAGGATAACGGCAGTAGTAACGTCAGTAAAAGCGAAAGTGAGTGCAATGGTAGTGGTGTTGTTGATCACGATGACGGGAACGTTGAAAACTATGGTGACCAGACAAATATTTTACCAAATACAGCAGCGTCTGTTACATCAACCACCTCCGCAACAACAACAACACCAACACCAACAAAGAGATCCTTTGTATTGACACCGTTTTTGGAAAGTCCCACAACAACACCGACATCCGGGCGATCGACGGCCGAGCATATTGTGGCCAACGCTATAATAAGTGATTCCAACATGGAGCCTCACTACCACCACCATCATTATAGTTTTCCACAACAGCATCATCAAAATCATCAAGAACATCGACAGCAATACTATCATCGACGTGGATCGTCTGCGACAACAACCGCATCGTCTTCCAACAATCTAACAGCTTCGTACTCTTCTTCTAATGGCAATATCATTAGTAGCAGTAAAAAACAATGCAGTAATAATAGTAGCGGATGTGGATCATCACCAACACTTCCTCCGCCATCATCTTCTTCTGTTGCTATGCGAAATAGCACTACTACTACTACTACATCTCCATTGACCACAGGGCAATGGCGTGGGCCGACACCGCCTTGGACCCTACTAGGAAATGACTCATCGAGCAACAATAAAAATTGATGCATTATCTACCTCGGTGAATTTCTGTATATAATATCATGGTGTGTGTATATCTACGACAATATGTATCTGGCTGTCGGGATCCCTCCAGTTCTTTTCACTCTTCTATTATTCCCACTTTTTACTTGTTTCTATTGCATTACGTTTATACATAAATTATTGATATAGAACTATGATTCGAGAGATAGTAAATGACACCGCCCGTAATCAACGATTAATAAATGAATATCGACGAATGACACAGCTGGGTAACGAGTACGAACGGAAGCAAGTATATCAAATTCGATGCGGTCACTGTCAAACGATGCTGACGAATCGTGGCATGAATGTTCGTCATCAATTGTCTGCCTTTTTTTCATGACTGCTGCAAAGCATACCATATTATACTCAAATACAATATCATATAGGCCGTGCTTTTGTCAGATCGATCCGTTCAATTATTCTCAACAGATTTATTACCAAACACGTAAATCACATCAACATCAAATGATTGAAAACAAAAAGGAGCATGTCGCATCTAATTTGTTGTATATAGTCTCGGATTTGTACAAGGAGACTATTCTGCAGCATCATGTACATGCAGGGTTCGAGACACAGCATGCCTTAATTGGTAGGTCTAGTCAGATCTTCAATTTGATTCGATCGCAATATGTATTTATCTATTCTTTGTTCTAACGAAAACGTAGTGGTAACGTAGTAGGCTATCATGTCAATGTCCCTTGTAAAGTGTGTTTAAGTCAGCCGAACAATGGGCATTACTGGATGTTTCGAAGTGCGGATATCAAGCCATACCAGATCTTTGCACACTGTAAGGAAGAGATAATTATTACAAGGACGAACGCAAGTGATTGTCATGCACCACTTACAAATGATAAGAATCTAAAACAATGCATTTGCCTTTCTATCCCAGTAAACGGTCCTAAATGTTCAGATTTGCCATTGCTATGGGGATTCGTACATGGTGCAGGAGACTTTGTTGCAGGTTATCATCGTTTGGGAGACGAAGTTGCTGCATTTGAATCGTGTCAATTGTCAGTTCACCTGCCAGCATCTGTGCCACTGATTGTTTGTCACCCTAAAATTACACGAGTAACTGCAAGGACGCCAGATGAACATCTTAGAGATCAATATGCGGAAACTTGTAGATAGCATCTGTTTTCAACCTATAAAACATATTTATTTTTCAGCTGCCATCCATGCTTCATCACTATGATGAACGAGTCGATTTTATATATGCATCAGTTAAGCGGACTACTTCTAATAATAAATATGTGTTGTTGCGTGTCATACTAAAAGTTTTCTGTTGAAATAAACGTACGTTATTACATCCATGCTTCTTTAAACGCATAGGATGTATCTTTTGTGCTGAAATGAAAGAATTTTGTGGAACAAGGGGAAAATGTTGATCGCCGAAAAGTGGACAGCCAAATAGATACAAGCGTCTTGGCATTAGCATGTTTGTCGGACTGCGCATGTATTGATAAACTTTGAATTAAGAGAAAATCGAGCCGTTGCAATTGCAATGGGTGGTACAACAAGTTGACCTGTCAACATTCCGAGAATGCCTGAAGATAATACCACCTGCATATGTATCACGATCAGTGTACAAGTAGTTGATATTCTGCTATACTGCAAATGGCGATATAAGTTGAGTTTGATCTTTAGATTACAATAGTTCTTTACGCATTTTTGTTTCCCTTTTTCCTTCTCGCGTCTGGGCTGTATACGCTCCTTTTTTATTCTTATTGTACACAACATCGGCTGCGACCGACCACCAATAATCATTATCACGAACGATGAACATTGGCCGCTTTAGCACATACAGCAACTTGGTCAGGCATTGGTACCTGCTGTTTCTGTTCAACATATTAATACTTTTATTGCTACTTGGATACCGTTGCCGGCCACTGATAGGCGGCGGCCAGTGGACAGCAGCAAGTGTTGGCGATCGCTTTGCCAATGGTGTTGCGAATGATCAGATCCCAATCGCGGACTACCTGGCTGCAATCGAGGGCAATGACGATTATGCAATCGATGCTGCACTGATACGACTATTCCCAACACGAGCATATGAAGTTATACAAGAGCTGGAGGACTACAGAGCACAATCGTTTCTATTCAGGCCGTTGTGGACCTGGTGGCATGCAAGGCAGTCGTGGAAACGGATCACCAGTGCAACTTTGCCTGCCTTTGCGGGGAATGAATCCGTGCCCTGTCCAGCAGATGAGATACCGCTGCCACTTTTGCGACGTATGGTATCCAACAATCTCGGCTTGCCTGATCCAAGAGACGGCCACACGATCGATGAGCCCTATATTTTTATCACACAAGCTCAATCAAGGCTCTGTGTTCGCGCAGTCATACCAGAGCCATCAGCTTTCACGACTATCAGCAGCAACGTATCCGAATATCACTATTTCTACCAACCTGCAGATACACAACAATCGACGCTCAGATCACCTTGGTGGGACTCGTTCATGGTTTATGCATTCAACATGGACACAGATGGGACTATTCCAGTTCACATGGAGCCTTGGAAAGGGCATAAAAAGCTACGTGATGAGTGGCTCCTGCACTCACCCGACAAACCGCATTTTATGCTTGCAGTTGAAGTCATGATGCACGAGCGCAAGCTCCTCCATATCTACGAAGGCAGCCTAGCGCTCCCCGATCCAGGCCTTTACAAATTGGATGCTCGACTTGAGTACCAAGGAGGGGAGTGGAACTTTGAAAAAGGGCCGATTGTACCTTACAATCCAGATAGCATGGACGTGTACCCGCATGGGCTGTTTTCGGTTTCAAACCCCATGTATGATAAAGAAGAACGAGAACATATGAATGAAGAGAATGATGGCAAAGATACCGAGGTCCGACATATTGTTGCGCACCACATGTCATTGCCTCTTTGCACACGCGCAGATTTGCCAGGACGCTGGTTACCATCGTTTGCATTACCAACGGATCGATCAGCCGAGCCGGCAGCGCTCGATCGGAACGACAAATTTTGGGCTCCATACGCATGTCGACTTCGCCGCATTAGCTACGAGGATTTTGGTGCATGCTTGAAAAAAAAGTTTCCCCGAGGCATTGACACGTACGGCGACTCGAATACGCGTCGGTCGATTAAAAAGATTATTACGCACGGACGTTGGTGTGACGACTGGCATTTGGTAGGTGATGCAGGAGCATCATTTCCTCCGAAGGAACCCTTTCGAGCGCCCCCGGTAGCAACAGTAACGAACACTTCGGATACGTACGATGATCCGCCACTACGAAATCAAAGCGCCGATCCACTCAACTGGGATTATATAGGCAGCATGTCACAACTACGGTCATGTTACTGCGAGGACTTCAAGGAACCAGGGTGGAACAAAGAATGGTTTGATCCAGAGAAGCGAAGTTCGGTGGTATGGGTTGGCAACAAGACGACAGGCGTTAGATTACACAGCTACAAGTGGGATGGATTGACCTATCTCAACAACCCTTCGTGGCGCACAGCACTCGAAGCGACCACGCTCGCTGGAACAATCGGTGATGCTGCTATAATTTCCGTCGGCAACTGGGATGCAGCCTTTATGAAGGTCGAACAATTTGAAAAGCAACTAGATATTTTGATCGAGTTAGTACGTCGACGTTATAGTAACAAGCTTATCATATATCGGACACCCCAGTACTACTGTTGTCGCGTTGACCATTCCGATCGAAATCGTCTCGTAAGCGGACCACGTGTACAGCTTTTTGATCAGCTAGCGAGAGACCGATTTCTACAAGCGTTTAACAACTTGATGGTATGGGATACAATGACCATGGGAGAGTCAAGGACCTGGGAAGAGAAACAACTAAGCAATGGCTGCGCATCAAATCACGTTGCTGCTGATGTTGTTGAAGTGGAAAACCAACTACTTATGAATGCACTTTGTAACGCCAACTAAAAAGATTGTACATACCCCACATTTAACTGTTATACACGCAATAAAGAGCATTAAAATATTAAAAAGAGCTAAAATCATACATCCACCATGGTATCATATTAAGGTTGGATAAGTTCATAACGACAAGGAGCGCTTTTACAAAATTTCATCATTTAATTCTACTAGCTGGTTATGCTACGGTTTTAGGCCGTTGCTATATATCGAGACCTCGTTTAGAAACTTGGTAGTGCTCAGAGATTATAGGTAGCATATACAAAGCTGGTCCGCTTACAAAGTCGATCTAATGTGGGCTACTTCGATATCATATTTGCGCGAACTTGTTGTGCAGTAGCCTTCAAGCTCATTTCTTAAACTTGCTACGCACCTCTTTGTTGAAAAACTACACCTAATAACCTTTTCTTCGTTAATATTTTCTATTCAATAGATTCTTTTCTCATTATTATGTGATGACTAAACATAAACTGCTCCTTTTTCATTAATCCCGTCGGGTTCAATCCCTTCAGCATGCTTAAAAGTAAAACAAACCCAAGTGTGAAAAATTTATTATTCCCTCTATACCATTGCTGCGAATTCCTTGAAATAATGAGGGTTGAAAGTTGACGGATATATAATGAACGGGTGAACCACTGTATGAACCCAAAACTATCAGTATATTAAATTATAGTTATATTTAATGGATACTCAGGGCACGGAGTCTGGGAAAAAGGCTACAGTATCCGTGTCATTTTGTGCAGATGTTTTACGAAAAACAAAAATATACAGTATGCGGTACTGACCCATTAATGCAAATTAAAAGCTAAAAAGCAGCTGACTGACTTTACTAGGATTGCGTAGTTATTATAGTTTTCTTAAGAAGGATCAGCTGAAAAGATAACTCCTCCTTAGTGAATGAATGACACAAGACAAGTGCATTTTTCATCATATCACTCAGTAAGAGCACTATACACTAGAGTGCTTGGTATACTGACGTTTTGGAGCATCTTATCGATCGTTCAGCGTCAAATAGTGAAATCGGCATCACACGCGAGAATTCTACCGTCATATTAAATTATTGGAATAGCGCGCGGCCACGGATGATGCTTTTTCTGGCAATAGCACCATAACAAAAATAGTGGAAAACATATTTGATCCATTGATCGTCGAAGCACAAGTACAAACGAGCGAAAAATGGCTCCTCTTGATGACCCAAAAGTTTTTTGTGTGATAGAAAATGAATTGTAAGGAATGAAAGGAGATATATATCTATATTACATTTCTTCCAATTCATCATCAGTAGCCATTAAATCCTCCTCCGGAAAGTCGCCCACGGTCACCTTGATTGGCCGGACAAACGCACCATACTTAGGAGGACAAGAGAAATACCGAGTGCCTTGAACAGTACCATCGTTTTTACCCATGGGTTCATCATACTGTACACCAACCCACACACCCGGCTGGAATTCCGTCGTGCCGACGAAACGAACTGTTCCACGCCGCCGATTAAGAGCATCTTCTGACAATGCGACCTCGCACCGATCGCCTATTTTGATACTGGCTGCTGCACGTTCATTTTCATTTGCAAACTGTGCCATTTGTTCTTGTGCTTCTGCTGAAAAACGCCCCAATTTGTTACGTTCCTTAAATGCACGGACAGTATCCGTGCGTTTCTGGTACTCATCCTCGGTCAGTTCGAATTTTTCCACCAAGGATACGTCCGTGTATTGGTTCTTTATCCGATTTGGGTTCGTGTCAACGACGTGTAGCCGCATGAAATCTTCGATTGGATAGGATCCCACCATACGCTCGTCGTCGTCAATAGGTCCAACAAGCGATTCTCCCTGGTACAGGCTTAGTTTTTGGGTATCAGCCGGGACGCCCGTAATGGGCTCGAGTTTATACTGGATCGTGCAAGCGGAGGAGCTGTCTGTCAGGTTGCCCATATGTTTTGAATCCATTTTCTTCTTTCAAGATCTAAACGAGTAAATTTACCTTGAGGTCCAAAATGGTCCATCCTTTGTCAAGTCTTCTTTCAGCGTTGATATTTTCGGGTGTAGTTACAATGACTGTTACGATTGACATAATTCTCTCTTTTTCTTTTGTAGAGTGTGACAAAAAGAAGACGTGTGTTATAATGGAACGAAAAAGAAAGGAGACGAAAAAAGACAGCAGCACGCGGTTTGTGTTACAAAGGTTCCAATGAAAAAGTTTAATTTTAGACACGGCGTTCAACCATGCTTTGAATCATGCCAAGTGCAGAAGGATCATATTCTTTGAGTACAACTTGTTCGTTCTCAATGAACGTATTGCCCTGTACAAACACTTTACGAGGCTGTTTACTACGTAATACAATATCCCGAATGCTCTTCCAATCTTCAGGTACGCTGGTTGCATCCAAGTAGAACTGTGTGCCTTCCTTTTCGTCTGCAGTTGCCTTGTAGATTTGGAGTTTTGCCAAAAAGTCAGCCACAGCAGGTGCACCAACAGACCGAATCTTGGATCGATCCATGTTGATTTCTAAGCTGCCGTCGTCTGTCTTTTCAATGACCACAAAATCTTGTCCAGCCTTCAACATGACATTGAAGATGGCGTAACGACCCTGCATGTGTGCTTGGCCCCACTACACAAAAATAATAACATGTCACGTTGGTAAAATCTTTTGAGATCGATAATAACTGAGAGATTTCCCACTACTGCCGTATCAACTAATCGATCTCTCTTGCTTACCTTCTTTGCCTCTGGATCGTAAAACTCCAACGCCATTAAACCAGCTCTAGCCATATTTAAATACATGACATAGACGACATCCTCTGCCTCTTGATCCCGGTATCCAAAGATGTCCAGGATATCCTTGTGATGACTGAGCGTCAATGCAATGCACTCTGCACGACACTCTTCATAGCTACTGGCAATAGCCTTGAAAATGGAATTGAACGTTTGACCGGGTTTGTACCATGTCTGAACAGTTTTTCCAGGCGTGAGCGGGTTCTCGACCATTTCCTTGTCAAAATTGAGCTTGCCATCCGCGTCCTCAGTGAACAATTTGCCAGTTCCGTGACCCAACTCGTGCGTGCCCACCTGAACCTCGAATGATGGATTGCGGTACTTGCGGTACAAATCGAGATCGCACTGTTTTATAAACGGAAATTTTTCATCCGGAGACTGCGCCGAAATCACGTTGCCCAGTGACACGTTCTTGGATCCCAACACTTGGGTGATATTTGTGTAGTTGGGGATATTGATTCCCGCAGGGACACCACCGGTAGCGAATGCAAGCACTTCGAGCGAGGTGAAATCAGGTTTGTTGATGGTTTCACGCTCGAACGTAGATGGCCATGGCAACCGTGAGACAAATGTCGGTGCCTGGTCGACTAGGTTGCCGAACTTGATCGTTTGTTCCTTGTTCACCATGGCAACAAAACCTTCCCATTCCGCACGGACACCTGTGTGTAACGGCTCTTTATGCTTAACACAAAATCCCAAATACTTAGTTTGATAATAGGAGACATGACACTTTACCTTGTGGATCGCGGTAGGTCTCAATAAATCCAATGTTGGTTTCCACGTTAGGTCCAATATCCTTCAGCCAATGTCGCTGTGATTCCATGTGTGCTTCAACGGATCCCGTAGTAAAGGACTCGTAGTAGGCTTCCAGCATATCGGTTTGATGTTCATTGGCACTGTATGCAGCTGCCTGACGTATATTCTCGGAAACCTTTTGCATCTCTTTTTGGAAGTCACCAAAACTAATTTCGAGCTCCTTGCCATTACTCAAAGCATACTTTCGAGAGTCTGCCACATTGCCTGATGCGGTCACCACTTTGTATCCTTCGTTTGTTTTGAAGATTCTATACCAACCAGCAAAAAGCATGTTTAAATTATCTCTTGAAGGGAGGTGAGATCGCAATAATCGCTATTACCTTGTGTTCAATGGTTCGATCTTATGCTCTTCTAAGAAATCCTGCACAAGGCGGATATCAGCCTTAGTCATGTCGGAAGAATAGTAACCAGATAGATGGCCGTCTTCTGGGAATCCAAGAAGCGTGTTTTTCTCCACATTGTAAATCTCTTGTTGGGTCTCCAGTGAAAGCCTTGCACCCGCAGCCTCTACAATCTTCTTCAAATCTTCTACGGGAAGACGTGGGATGAACTTTTCGTCACCAAACGACTTGTAGTTGCTCAAGTTGCCCAGGAACTGTGCAGAGTATTGCAAAAACTGTTCAAATGATTCTTTGGATACACCACTACACAGATGATATAAATACAACACACGCATCAAAGAGTCAATAGCAGCAAAGAGTAGATATTTTCCTTTAACTGTTTTTTACCTCTTGGCGGCAAGCTGTTCTACGTTGACCATTCCGCCAGTCTTGTCGTCACGGAAGATTTCAAGAATCAAGATATAGATGGGAACGGCGTTGGGATTGGTTTGGGCGACGATCACACGAGTACCTTCAAAAGAAGCGCGCGACATGTAATGAGCATAGTGCTTTTCACGGTTGGAAAGTGATTCGAAGAAGGGCTTTGCCTCCAGACGAGAGTAAGGGGGGTGTTCGTCAGCAAAGTAGCGCGTCATATTAGCTTTGTTGGCAGTAGCAGTAGCAGTAGTAAAGCGACGGGATAATAAAGTGTTGGAATAGTGGTGTTTTGGGGTAGAAGAAGAAGAAGAAAAGAGGCGCTTGACAATAGGAGCAGCAGGCGATCGAATTGCGTAATAAGAAGATAGCATCTTTTTTTTGTGTGTTTTCGCAGGCTGCGTGTGATGATGCTTGTGTTTTGGTGGACCTGAAAATAAAAAAACGCCTTGCACTAAAACAGGCAATAATTGTCAAATGCGACAAAAGTTACCCTATATTTCACATTGAATATGACCGAACCACCGAAACCTGTTAATTTAACCCCGTCTGTCCGTGCTCATTAGCCTTGCTTGCTTGCTCTTGCAACAGGACGAAGGAAGCGGATGTGGGCAACGTTTCTCAATACAATAAAATCCATAGTATATACGCTCAAGAACTTGTATGATACAACTTATGGCGCCTAGATTTGTTTTTCAGCTTGGCGTCACACGAACTTTTTGAACAGGGCAGGTGATACTTTTCTTTTTTACTTGGCGATTCAATACTTTTTAGGGTTCTATCTGTCACAGTAGTAGCTCTTGTAAGTTGCTGAGCTGCCAAGTAACTTCTGAGCTTAAGTATGTGATTGAGCAATTGAAGCTTTCTGCAGAAGTGTGTGCGTGTAGTAATGGAACTATCCATTCACTATGGAAGCTTTATTCTTTGAAAAAATGTGTCCTACATGGTATAATACAGAAAAGACAGGCAACTAATGGTAATACGTCAAGTATAGCAAATGGTAATCCGCAGTGACTATTTTCTGAAAACAAATATTGCTGCTATGTCTTCTCTATGCCGGAATGATGTTCGGTGCACGCCATCCCGATTGACCTTTCGAAATCCACCACGTCAATATAATTGAATACAAAGCACATCTTGAAAAAAGCCAGGTCTGTCCCCAAACTCGGCTACCTAAAAGTCTTACTTAATTTAGTGCTGTCATAGCACTTTGCAAGAAAAAGGATCGTAATACTCTTATTGCTTGAAATAGGAGCAGGAATGTTATTATACATGTACAAATACACCTGCCGATGATATCATTTTCTTATTGGTAAAAAAATTGTTGTTGGTGTCAGAAAATACAGGGTTACTGAAAAATCTTGTCGCACATTTTGAAATATCAAGTTGTATTGTAGTAATAAATAATGTCGCATTTTTTAATATAGATATCGCCTGTTTTAGTAGCAACATAACGAATTCTGAATAAAACTGTCTAATGAAGACTATTTTAAATAGTATTTGCATAAAGCTATGATGGTTCACTGGATATGATAAAGAAAAAAGAGATTCTACTTACCTTTTATACTTACAATTTACTACATAGGTAGCTCTCTTTTCTACAACACTTAATTAAGCATATATATATGTGAATGAGAAACGAATCCTAGAAATCCATAGATTTTACGTATTACATGCCTCACGGATTCTTGTAGTCAAGGTCTTTCTTGTTGTGAGAAATCGCTGACGTTTAATCTTGCTCTTTGTTACAGACCAAAACTGTTTTACTGTACATATGTATTGGATTGAGCTCAGGCGAATATGAAGGAAGATATGATATGCACATTGATATCCACGACATTGAATATATTCTGCAGTATCAATGGAAGTGTGGATAGGTAATGGCCTTTCATATGTGGATATTCATTCATTTCATCTAAGTGCTCCCTTCAAAAAATTAATATAGTGACCTGTAACAGTCCCAGTACTCAGAACTTCATATTTTTGCCTGGCTTTTCTCTTCTTTTTAGGACGAAGTGTTCTCACATTAACTCTAATTAAACCTAGGCAGAAATGGCGCCCAACACTGTTATAGCTTTTGCGCTTGTAGTTGGCATCGTTACAACAGCAGCAGTAACCAACCTTTGACCAAGCTCTTGTACGCTTCATATTTATAAGGAATGTTGATTTATCCATAGATACACAATTAGTTAAGAACTTCATATTGGTTTGATCTTATTCTTAAAAAACATGATCAAAGCGTTCTTCAAATATCTGTCCTATTTCTTTACAGAGAGAAACTCTGCTTTTTTCAATAATAAGTTGCATTCTGTCCTTATAAAATTATGTACATACTGTGCTACTGGATACTTTTAGATCACTACAGTAGGGCTAAACTCAATTCAATAAATGCTCAGTAATATCCACGACTGCAGCAGTAGGATTAAAGTCAATGTACTTAATAATCGTCTTTCAATGTTCCTCATTAAGAATGCATTTGCGGCCTTATTTCTGACTATCTACATAAATCGAATACAAATTCTCTTGATATTGCTTTACCCATCTCTGTGCAGCACGAACATGTATACATAATTGCTTCGCAACTGCTGAAGCACTCATACATTTATCAATCTTTATTTTAAAAAAATTGGCCTTGTCCTCATTGGCATACGAGTATATAAACGTTTCACAGCTATTCCTCTCATATATACGTCTTCATATCTTTCCTCCCTTGGATGATTTAAATGCTGTACATTGACGTGTGTAGTACTGGCAGATATACGGTGTGTGATGTGAGCGATCCAAGTGCAAAATAATTCTGATGAACTATGTTATCCATAGGTTCAGGTCTGCCATTATCATCAACAGCACTTCCCTGCCATCTCCATAGAAAATTTTCTTATCATACTATGATGTAAAGTTCGATGATGTATAGTTTGATTGTAAAGCCTTCCAATAGTATTTATATTTTTACAGTGCGCAAGTATCTGATATCGAAGCAGAGCGACATCAATTTTGAAACATGTGACACTGATTGTGCTGCCAAGCGACTTTGATTTTTATCATTTATCACTTCATCCTCAAATCTGGGCCTTTTAAACTTGCATAACATTGATCATCAGTACCGCATACTTTTGATTAAAAAGCCTTCTCAATGGAATTGGGAAGCTATTGCTTACAGCTATAAGTGTAGATGCGTAGATTCCTGATTACAGTAGCATTTTTGACAGAATATAAGAAGTTTCAGTCGCTGTAAGATAAAGTTATATTGTGTTGGGGGCAACACTTTATTTTATCTCATCACAGTATTATAAAATTGAAGCCACACAGATATGAATATATACCATTGTATATCAAGCGAATGGGTTTATATTGGCGTGTCTGTGACATACTTACGATGCTACTGGCGTATATACGTAAAAAAGCGTATCTGGTCGTATCTAGGATTTTTTCAACGTACTGTATATAGCTCCGTATATGCCATAGATCTCACTAGAAACGTATGTTGGCGAAACTGGTGCAAGAGAACCAAATGATCTCCAGACAGTGATTTCGTTCTTTTAGTCTTTGCACGATATGTAGCAGCTGTTACAATAGATAATAGAATGACCATTAATAAGTAGGTATTCATGCAAGGTGTATCACAATCAGGCGGAGGGTCTATATATAGACAATCTCATCATGCTGCTGCTATTGCTGCTGCAACAAATTGCGCTATAATTCGATGATGGTTGCACAATTAATGTAAAGCGTAGATTTTTAGGCTCAAATGGCGTGCGGATTTTCGTTTTAACTCCTTCCTTGTCAATCTACTTACCCAGTGCGTGCGACAGCATGAATGTGCTTGCCACATGGTATGTATTTTTAATGCTTCAACACTAAAGAGATGCAACGTCCAATGCAAGTACTAGTATAGATCATATAACACGCTCGTATATTGGTACTACTATTGCTAGTAATGCTATTACTTTCTAAGAAGATGATGACAAAAGTAGTGTTGTGATGCGCATTGATGTACATACCTTCCTTATTCGTGCTACACTCATCATGGGTTTTTTTTTCAGCTTTTCGCTCTCGTGAGGCTTTAGTAACAATGAATGATTCGGTAGGTTTCAAATGCCTTGACCCGCCAACCAGGCCGAATAAGTAACCAGTACTTTGGTGGTTTCTTAACCCACCTGGAAATCAAGTCACAGCAGAGAGTAGAAAGAGGCGGGCAATGCTTAGTCGCCGAGTATTTTTTTTTTTGTTTTTCTGGGACCGAGAAAAAAACATCTGCAAGCCAAGCGCGGAGAACTGTCGCATTGAATGATCTGCTTTTTTTTGTGTGTTTGCAAATCCTAATAAGCAGCATTTTTTTTTCTCTCGTTTTGCCTCTCTCTCACTCTTTCTTTTGAAGCACCTTTTTTTATCTTCTACTTTCCTTACCTTTTCTCTCTCTCTCTCCCTACCACCCTACTCACCGTTTTTACTCTTTGTAAATGAATATTCAAGACTATATTCCATCTAATGCAAAGGAATCCCAACCTTTGCATTATGCAAACGGTGATGACCTTATTCGCTCAAATAACTTTGAGTCCAGCAGACGCATAACGGCATCTTCTTCGACAATGCTTTCGAGTATCCCAGAAAACGAGGCTGCTACAACCACTATGGCTCCGGCGGTACCGTCCATAACGACAACACAAGGCATGAGCAACGCTAATAATATGTCTTCGTCGATTGCTGTTGGCGACGACTTTGGACAGCAACCAGCAACACAAGATTTAATTGACAGTGACACGCAAGATTCAGTACAAGACACATTGGACCCAGCATTGCTGCTTTCTCGATACTCTCGGTACGACAAGCGCAAAAGTAGTCCTGCAGTATTGGGCTTATTGCCAGGTCTAAGTCAAAATCAACTGGCCATGCATTTGTCACAGCAACGAAATTCGATTGAGGCTGCCATGTTGCTCGCCAATTTGAATAAGCTTAGTACGGAAGCCACTACAGCTGCCCCCACAGCAAGCAACAGCAGCAGTAGCAGCAGCAAACCTGAACAAGGCAACAAGGGTAAGATTTGAAACAATTTAGTGCGTTTTGTTGGGGGTTGTTGTTGAAGAGTTTGAAAGAATTGGGAAGGGAGAAAGGAAAAGACGACGCCTGTAGTCTGGTTTTTGTATTATTGTGGTGTGTTTGCATTGTGTATTTCATGCCAGAAGATGAGGGCGTGTATATTTGTGTGAGGGGGGCTGGTTGGTGGGATTCAATCTTTATGCGCATAAAAAATTTTCATCCTACGTTACTACCAAAATTTACACGCCCACGCTAAATCTCCCTTGTCTTTATCAAATGTATACTTTGCAGGCACACCATGGCAGGATGACATGTCTCTTGAGACACAGCAAAAGTCTAGTTGGGATGACGATCTCGGCACCTCTTTGGAAGCAGAAAGTATGCGGCGCCACTCGTATGATGTGGGCATGACCTGGAACACCATGCCCGAATCTTTCCTTGGCCGGTCCGATCTCATGCCGAATCTTGGAAGCTCGTCTTCCTCCACCGAAAACGAAGAAATGGAAGTGTCAGCATCAAAGCTTACATGGACGCAAGATGGTATGGTCGTGACTGGGAACGACACAGGCTCTTCGACGACAGGCGAATATGCACACATGTTTGAATTCATGCAGCATCCAACATCTCCACGACCGCCCTCTTCGCCACCATCACTACCACCATCATCATCACAAACGCCCTCGTTTCCAAAACACTCGCCGTTTTATTACCAGCAGTTACCGCCTCCACCCTATCCGCCTCCACATCCATCGTATCCTGCATACCAACAACAACTGCAACACCCGCATCAGCAAACCCAAGGTGTTTCACAACCGCCTCTGCCACAACATCCTCAGATGACTGCCCATCACGACCAGTCTCGTCCTTTACCGCCACCTCCACAGCCGATGGATCCTTACTATCGTCCGTACAACCAGCATCCAATGCATCCTCCTCCACACCCTTACTATTATCATCCTCACCAACAGCCACCGCCACACCAGGGCCCTCCACCGTTGATGCACCCAGCACAGATACCCGGATCGATGCAAGCTGCACCACCCCCTCCTCCCGCGGCACCACGAACCACAAAACGGAAAAAGGCCAAGGTGGATGAAGACGAAGGCGATGTGGTGGAGCCAGGCGACCCTGATTTCCCTGACATGGCACAACGAGACGTTGAAGCTGCTCGTAATGATCCAGAGGCTCGTCCAAGACGTCAAAAAATGCGTTTTGATGATGACCAGTATACTCCACGATGGGTCCGTTATAATGGTCAGGCCAAGGAAGGTCTTTGTGATACGTGCACGCCGGGCAAATGGTTACAGCTCAAAAACAGTGCTTTTTGGTAAGAAGAGAAAGAGAGAAAAGACGTAGAGGAAAAGGGATCCTCTTCTTTTTTGGTCCTTCGTGTAGGAGCTGTTTTAACATGTCATTTCTTTTCTTAACTCCCTCCCCCTCCCCGCAGGTATCACAAACAGTTCTTCCACGGTATTTCTTCAGTTTCGGGTAGACCATTCATCCAGCCAGTGGAGACTCGATGGGTTGACCAAGATCTAGTGGAAGGCCTATGCCATCAATGCGGTCAGTGGGTTGCGGTCAGCAATGTCAAAAGGAAGAACAGTGTTCTGTGGTATCGTCACGCACACAAGGTATGTATAGCTGTCTAGTATCGTTGCTGCTACTAAAAGGCCTACTATGTGAGCTAACAGAGTGATTGCTTGCTATGTAGTGTCACGTATATCACAAACCTAAAACGGGAACACCTAAAAAACGTTAATATCGTATACCTTGTCCTTCTCTTTACTGCACTTTCAAAAGCACACTCTCCTAGCACATCTCGAACGCACACAACCACACAACCACACACACACGTACACATATTACCATCACACTAGCAGTAACAACATCAAAAGTTTTTTCCTCTTTATTTTCATACACTTTGCTTATCGTTGTGCTCTGAAGTATTAGTAGAAAACACATCACACACAAATTTTATTTTCTCTTTGTATATAATATTGTTATCCCTCCCCAGCCTTTTTTCCTCGCCCTACACTTTTCCTTTTCATTTGTATGTTGTAAAAAAATAACGCAAAAATAGCTATAATACACTCTTTATCTCCTCTTGATAGTTCTTCCTTATCATATAAATAAGTACTGTACCTTACTTTTACCCCGGCATTGAATTAGCCGGAGTGTTCAAACTAAACATGTAGTTTCATCCCAAGGCTGAATATTAACACCTTTTCGTACCTGAGGAATCTTACCGCCGTGTTACACATGTTCTCGTAGTACTGCACGACTGTACATACCGCTAGCACACAGTTTTGGACATTAGTACCATGCTTAGAAACATTTGCCAAAGTTAGTCAAAGGAGTTTGATAGAAAGCTGCTCGCTGCTAAATTCACTACTCATGAAGCATAAAAAACATTTTACAGTTGGCCACATTAAGATTTGAGCTCTTTTGAGAGAGAGAGAGAAAGAGACTCTCTGTGCAACTAGGCGCGGCTTGTTTCCTTCTTTCACTTCTTCTTTATCCTTATATCATCTTCAGACTTTTGGTGAGGTTACAAACGGATCGATCTTCTCACTTACATCCTTCCTTTTATTATTATAATTATTATTATTAGAAGCATATAACTAAATAGGCAGCGATCAACATCAGCTAATGCACGTTGACCCGTTCCACACTACTATATGACTTATTCTATGTACTCTGATGATGACCATCTGTATGTGCTTTCGCTCTCCGTTCTTCTATCTTGTTTTATTAGCATGAACAAGAAGTCTGTCGCACCATAAGCATGTATAATAGATACTCTTGTACACAAAGAAGGATCTGCAGCGATTGGTCATTCTGTTATGTAAACATTCCCCCCCCCCTTCACACTTGTTCCTTCGAGTACTTCACGAAAGGACAGCGATGTGGCTGCTTGTACGTGGAGAAAGAAAAGTAATCGGTCAGCCGTATAGCCGCGTTAGGCCGTCAACTAGTTCAATCACAAACAGTCAATTTCTAGCTGCAACGTTGGACAAATGTAAATATGTAAACTATCGTTCCAGAAGGTTTCCTGGTTACATATTTCCGCCCACTTGGTGTCGTCGGGGCTTAACACTACATTCTTTTCCCGAAGAGCCGTAAAACACTCGAAAAACGGCCTATTCTGCGTCTGCATTTAAGACCGGTGGCGACGCACTAGTCATATGGAGCGTACTGGGAGTCATTAGCAAATATAGAAATCTTTGATTGAGGAAGATAGACGATCTTGTCAATAATAAGCAAGTCCCGGTCTTGGTTGCACTACATATTTGGCCCCTGTGACAAACAAGAACCCTCTTTCTCCTACCACTTTTTAATTATGTAAACTGTTATTAATTAAAACTTCTATTAGTTACTGTATCAGGTATTGACTTAATAAGAACATGCGTTGATTAGAAATATGCATGCTGATGTAGCGCCGCCTCTTCTTGATGATGCACGCGTACAAAATTAATCCTTGCTGAGCTGGGAATTGATACACAACATCGGGTTAGTTGTTGATAATGATTCAGAATCACATCATAATCATCGTCCAATGCTATCAGAGATTAGTACGTCCGCAGGTTTCGCTCTTGGTAACGTGATGGGCTTAGCATTGACGCTCTTATAATATGCTCATCAATCGACTTATTATATATGAATTGTGGTGTCACGTTCTACTACACCTCCAAAATTGGAAAACTTCCCAATAACAGCTACTGCGACAAATATATCTGGCAAGAATGAAGAGAGCTATTTCATACTAAACCATAGTCGACGATGATTGCTCTTTTTCTGTTGCCGGTTTATATGATACACATGATAAGTAGGGAGCGTTGCTGTGTATGACAATCTCTTCGTCTCCAAGAACAGAAAGATTCTAGTTCGTACGACGTTGAAGCAGGTGGGCGAGGGATCGGAAAGGGATATTAAGAAGACATGTTGTGTGGAGAAATAGGGTCATTCTCTTATGGAACGGGATACGAAAGGTGAAGCGGGGTGAAAACGTGCGTTATCGGCTTGATACATTTTTAGCAGCAATCAAGACTGTTGGAAGAACGTCAACCCAAAAGAGACTCAGCAACGGAGAGCGATAAGTTTGAAAGAGATGACCAAGTTTTAAAAAAGGTGTGTATGCTTTATTTCTTGCTGTGGTACAGTGGTACAATGTGGTAGTAGTTGTAGCAATAGTAGTAGTAGTAGTAGTAGTGAAGTGCGCGGACGTTGGAGATGAAAAGTCCAGCTCTTCTTGTAAAGGATCTTTTTTTGGCGTGTTTATATGAATTGTGATTGTGTACATGGGAGCGTGCTTATGTGATTGTGTGTGTGGGTGGGTGGTAGTAATGATAAATTATTTTCTTTTTGGATGTGGGAGACTGTTACAAATTGGAACGTTGTTCACGCATGCGTATGGCTTGCCGTCGGTTCTGGAACCAGATCTGTACAGTCCTCGGACTCATCCCTAGCTCCTTTCCCAGTTGCATTCGTAGCTGTGTTGATGGGAACAGCGTCTGCTCAAATACTTGATTAAGCACTCGTACTTGCTTTGCCGTTGCTCTTCGTCGTTTGATTTTCTTCTTTTGCTGCTCCGGTGACGACAAGGGTGAGGATGTCGATGAGGATAATGAAGTTGCCGAAGAAGAGAAGGATTTGGGTGATGCAGGTGGTGATAACAGATTGCAGATGTCTAAAACTGCTGGGCGTTGTTGTTGTTTTGTCGCTGTTAGCGGTGGTGACGGGAGTGGTGGTATCAGCTGCAGCTCATTCACTGCTGTTGTCAGCAGAGATGAAGTAGAAGATGATGAAGGCGAGCCTTGGTGGTATGGATGATAATGCGACGAGTTGTTGTTGGAGGAATGTTGATAGACACATGGAGGATCTCGGTTGAGTAAGCTGGTGACTGAAAGCATTTTGTGTATGGAAGTGTGCAAGAAGAAGAAGAAAGAAAGAAAAGAGAGTGAAAAATGGCAGGTCTATGTTTACGATTGATAGATGAGATAATGGGGAGGTGATTAATAAATAGCAAAACATGTTTTGCGCGCGCCAAACAAATAAATAGCAAAGCTACTTATTATCATAAATAGCAAATGCAAGGTTGTTGGCCGGATCACCGAAAAAAGGGAAGAGCAGGTTATTTTTATTTGATTGGAGTAGGCGGCGGATTTGGCGAGGCGATGCGCAACTTGATTTGTCTTAAGCATATGACACAAGGAGGATTGCTAGGACAGAGCGGAGACAGGCCAAGGGTAGAGAGGGGGCAGGCGGGTTACATAAAATTCTTAGTTCCGGCTTTGGGAGCAGTAATACGGACATAATAATACACAGGAAGCGCGGATAGCAAGGACAATAGAGCGCTGTGAAAATGGCTATTTATATGACATAGAGCTATCACATATATTGCATCCAGCCCTCAGACAGATCACGATTAGCGAATGTAGCTTAGAGAGAGATCGAACTGGTGGTAGGTAGTACACCGTCATTTCATTAAGATTTCACGGTGCGGGTTACTAAAACGCCGTGCTCCGAGAAAACAAGTAACGTGCAATTCTATATATATCAACTACTACTCTATAAGGGTTTTTGCGTCCAGCTTCGTTTTGCTTCCATTCTCCCGTTGTGTCTGTGCATCTCGTTCTTCCTCCTCTCCGGGCAATTTTTCTTTCTTTGTCGACGCGTTTTTCTCATTCGTATTTACGCGCTCGTTCAATGTCGCTTTCTCGCAAAGGTGCACTAATTGTCCCAGCATCAATGCTTACAAACACTTCACAGCTGTAATCGTCACGTTAATGAATCGTTTCAAGTTGAAGTGTGTTTAATCGCTCGAGCAACTATCGTAGATCCGGAATTATTTACACATATCTGAGACAAGACATTGGGCCCATGTCAAAACGTTATGGCTTCGAGGTGGATGGTATCTGACAATCGTCAGAAGCTGGAAGATCAAAAAGCAGTGACTTCTAAGGTGATGGAGTAATAAATGCATGATTGCTTTTGGCGGGTGTGGTCTCGATATGAAGTTAGGAGATGAACAGTCATTACTGCTGGTCAATATCGACTTCATACAAACACTCTAGGCCCGGTGACAAATGCATTTTAATGACCTGTGCGACCATTGCCTCAGCGATTATATATTTTCAATCGTGGACTTTTAAGAGCAAAGATGTTTTTACATGGCCATTATGATGACGGTATATATTTTGGACACACAAAAACGAATATGACAACGCTCTTTTATAAGCTTTTTTTTCAAAGGGTATGCGTTGAGGGAAAAAGATTGTTTACCTTCTAACTTTTGCGTATTTAAGGTGAAACCACAGTTGTCCACCCTAGGCTTTTCTCCGTAGTAAAAGTATGTAAGCGGCCACAGATGTTTTAAGGGAAGTAAGGAGTTCTGTCGACAATTTATGGGATCCGAATATTTAACCATCCTGTGCCAAGCATGTGCTACCTAAAAACTGAGGGCTGTTTTTTGTTTGTACCACACTGCTGTTACCGTTATTTGCCCTTATCCTTTTAGAATAGCATTTTACGGTAGGCTCGCGGTCAGGCATCTTTATAAAAGGCTTGCTGTTGTTTACTGTAATTTACCGTTATTAGCCTATGAAACAGTCTTTATCATGGAAGGCTAGCCGTTGACTACCTTTTGGTAGCCGTTGTCGTTCGTCTACTAGCTCTAAATACTGAATAACAGAAAGGAGCGTACTATTGGTAGGCTTGCATCTTCTTTTGACCATCTTTTTGGCTATTGAATTATTGAAATAACATTCTTGAAGTGTGTTCTTTTCAATGATATCTATGGCGCTGCTACATTGATTTTTTATACATATGCTATGTGCTGCTCTTGGGCAGATACTTCCACTACTACATAGGATTGTACTCTTCCTCAATTGTGTTTCAAAACACCTCCTCATGCGGATCTTCTTCTTCCTGTACATTTGCACCCTCTGGAACTACAGACTTATCAGATGTTTCTTGCTACATATCTCTTCAAAACGTCGCTCAATTAATCTTTTCTGACACCTTTTTCCAAATGGTACGTCCGTGCTCAGAACAATTTGGAAGAAAAACTTCGGTGTCGTCTGCTTGTGCTTGCACGTTTGCGCTAAAGCAAAGTAAAGCTAAGTATCGAGGAGAATTATACCATCCCTATATGAGATTACTCCACTCTTTCATATACCAACCAGTGTAAAGCTCAGTGCTATTATCTCCTGCTATGAAATTTGACGCAATCATGGCTGTTCCTTTGTCAAAACTTAAGCCAAAAAAAGCAAGCTTGGATACAATTCAGCATGGTAGGGTTCTATATACAGCCACTCTGTCTGTTTGAAAATGTGGTCATTGAAAGCTGAATAAAGCACTATTGCTGTCAAGGGTACTCATGTACTACAGTCAGGTATACCATAGTTCAATGCTGCAATACGATATGTAGCAACAATAACTGGAGCTGAGAAGAACAGAAAGACTATTTACGTAAGTGTTCGGTTTGTTTTTGTAGCTATTGCTCTCCTCATCATCGTTCATCAGCTTCTTGCTTTCTTCGTTGGTGCGGCACAGCAACATTAAAATGATGTCCTTTGCTTTGCTGATATATGTACTACACTAACTGTGCTGGTTACATATTAGTGGCAAAGCGGAATGTTGTTGGGCGCGACTCCGGGTTTAAGTTATTACGACGTCGCAATACAGCTATTCGTCTTCGAGCCTAATCATTGCTTAGTTGAACTTTCTAATTTTTTTTTCTAACACCAGTATAGGAAAGCTTACTCTAATATTTTCACCACCAGCAGCATACAGAGCGCGTGCAGCTTCGTTTCTCTGGGTTTGATTTTGAAGGTTAGAACGTCTATGTCGACCGACTTTGAAAAGAAACAAGAAGCTAAATAAGTTGCACCTTCTCTCCGCCTCCTGTCTAATTTGGGTTTTCTTGTTTCTTTTCAAAGCTTTGTGATTGCTCCAATACAACAAATCGACGTCTGCGAATCCTATGAGCACAAAGGTGACGCGTTAACATAGCTGTGGCAAGAGGAAAAGGCCAAGTTTATCTTTCTGCTATAAAAATGATATAGAGAAAGAAGAAAAGCGGAAAAAACGGGGAGGTCTGTCCGCAAAATTCAAGTTTTGCCAACGGCAAAACTTGTTGCTCCAAACTGCAGAGCTCTTCCTGATTTGAATTGATGTGCATAATAATAAACAATTGATAGTAGTAAAAATCGTTTTAAAAATTGGAGCTCCCTGTTCTTGCTTAACAGATATATATAATTAAAACTTATTTACTGTGAATTGATGTTATTTTCTCTGTGAATCATGTTAAAACTTGTTATTTTTTTTTCTGTGGAAACTTTATGGATTTGCCATTTTCATTCGGACTCACATAAGAAAACTTCACACAGAATTATATTTTTCCACATATTCTTTTGCCGTGGTGTAAAGCCGGCTCTTGAGAGCATATTTGTATATAATGATATTGTTATTCTTTGACAAAAAAGTGGCAGGAGAGAGAAAGAAAGGAGGGAGACGTAAGCATGGAAGAGAATGGACTAGATATTAAAAACGAGCAAAGAAAGAAGTACATAGCAGGGCTATTTGTTTATAAATCGACGATCCATTTGTTGACGATGCTGCGTTTGTTGTCGTCAATATGCAAAAGATCCACCATTCCTAAAAAATCGATTGTGTATATAGAATGTAATTTTAAGATAAGGTATATATTATGCCTAAAAAATACACTAAAAACTTACGACTTTGTAACGGAAATTGATACTGTGGATTTTAACCTTGATGAAAAAGAAAAAGGTCGTATCATGACATCTCTTTTCGGAACATGATGATACTACATACCTCTGTACTGCTTGGATATCCGCCAGTAATATCCAACAAATGCAATTGCTTTTATCAGGCTGCATGGCATCTAAAGAAACGTGCTTGTCGACCTCTTCAAAGAGTTCATTCTTTTCAGTGGTATTTTGGAACCTGGTTGGTGGCATTATATATCGTTAGTAAAATACATTTTTCTTACAGTATTTCCATCCTACTGTAACTCTCAACACAGCACGTTGGTTGGTGGCTTGCTTACATTTCCTTGATATCGGAAGAAGTACACCGTAATATCCAAACAGGTTCAAGGTTGGATGATGATTTGGCTGCAGTCTATCCCAGCTTTCTTGTCGAGCAGCCTTGACTCTTGATACTGTAATATATGCAATTAAGTCGTAAAAGTTGGAAGTATAGTTTAACCAAGTCTACGTTACAACATTGTAATTTTTTCAACTCTAAGAATCTTGCCGGGCAGGCTTGGTCTTGGAAACATTTATCAGCGACATCCAACTTTGGTCTCTTATAACTTTTTATAGCATGATTATTTTAGCAATCTGATGTGTACAAACTACTCACTAGCATCTAAAGAGTATGCTCGACATTTTGTTTCTTGAAAGAATTTATTGGATGCTGCCTGTATGTTTCGAAAATGGTCGCTCACTATGGTGGTTTAAGATGAGCTGCACCAATTTAGAACTTGATTATTAGCATGTTCGAAAGGCCATAGCAACTGGCCGTTATGGACGAAGCACTCTGCACTGTTTTGACGCAGGCGGAAATGCTTTGCTTCGCACTTCCCAGCGCCTTAATCTCGTGATTCTGCATGATTGGCGCAGAGCATTGGTCCTGCGAAAGTTGCTGGGTTTTTTTTTTATCTGGCGTTGGGTTTTCTACCTTTAGCTTTGATATAGCTTATCACACATTATTCGCAAATGTGTAACTGATCGAAGGCGGCTTTAATACAACAAGCAAATCAGTCGTGACAAATCGCGGCTATCGATGGGTAGAGCAAGAGCAAGAGCTAGACAACCAACTTCATGGTAATTGTGAAGGTGACGAAGAAGTACCGATAGGCCTCTAAGGATGAATTGGCCAGCTTCAGTACATACTGGGATGAAGTGTATGATTCTTTTGAGGAATTGCGGTATGGCAATCTTCTTTGATTTATCTCTTTCCTCTACTTAGTACATATGATATACGTAGTTGTAATTATATCGTTCACTAAATTTTTTCGATTCTCCTCTATAATTATAGAACATCACATAAAGAACATGAATAAGACTTATGACAATCAGGAACTAATTTACTCCAAGTACGAAAGTATGTGGATAATGGGTTGAATAGAAATGTATCGTTTATTGAATTAGCATAATAAAAAACGATGGTTAAGCAGATGAGCCTGTATATGTTACAGACTGCGCTGGTGTAATGGAAAGACTTGGTGCCTCTGCAGCAGAATACATATATCCTTCTGTTTCCATCACTGCAAGACCGATATTGTTCTCATCAGTAACGCCGTTATCGTCGTCGTCGTTATCACCACGGTCGTAAACAAGGCCTGATCCCGAGTCATCAATATAACGAGCATCAATAGCATTATGACACGGTAATTGGGTACCAAAAGCGTTTTCTTGGTTCATGCCGCTGCTTTTTTTAAATTTGCAGTAATTGTATAGAAAATAAGAATAGCTGCCATAGCAACAGATGAAAGAGCTGCGTGCCCACATGAATGAAGCAAATTTCAGCAAAGCGTCAAAAAGGAAGCCAAAAAGAAGATAGACCGGGTAGGCGACAGCATAGATTGGTATAAAAGTAGCAAGGAATAAAGTTTCACGCCATCCGCTTTCACTACCTATGATATTGATGACCAAATGCATATTTCGATGAGAAGCTGTTATCTGCTTCTTAATTTCAATGTTTTTTCCCCTTTACACTTTTCCACACGATGTCTTTATTTTCACTTTGATCGAGAGCTGACTGATACTTACTTGTTTTCCAAGGTTTTAAGATACAAAAAATGCACAAAAACATGAATAGATATATCCCTAATATTATCGCGGGCAAATAATATTTTAATTTATTCGTCATCGGCACTCCATCGTCAGCGGGGTAACGATCCATGATTTAGGCTTTAATTTTGGGCTTTTTTTTAAGAAAAAAAAGAAGAGGAAGAAAAATAAAAGTATTCGGATTGCAGATAGACACTTGGACTCAATATGTAAGAAATTGAGATTGCATAAAAGCCATCAAAGATTCGGGATCGATTGCCTCTTTTATCCTGCTGAGTACTTTTGGTGCTCTGCTAAGCATATATACAGTATAGTGCCGCATTACCGTTACATACATATTCACCTCTATTCATGAGATTGCAGAGCGATAGTGATAGAGATAACTAAAGGAAGCAACTAACTGATGCTTTCTATTGTGATTCGTAAGTCATGCACTTTGTTGTTGATTTTGGACACTACATCATATACAGTAATGCTATTAAGTAAGCTGCTAACATGCGGTGATAACGTTGGTCGAAAAAGCTTCTGAATCTGCTACTAGCTGATATATATATATATATATATATATATAAGCTGTATGTATTCCTGTAACACCAAAACGTTTTAGAGGCTAAGCCTTTACACTAAAACAAAGCCTTGTGTAATGACGACGATAGAGCTGCTGAAGATGGATACACTATTGTCGGTGAAGACCAAAAAGAAGCACATCTGTAAATCAATAGGACACCTGTCTAGAAGAGGTCTTTTATTTTCACTTACTTTGTCTGTCCACTACATCATTGGGGCTGGTTAAGCATGATGGGAGTGAAAGAAAGCAAATATCTGACATAAAGGTGTTCCAGTAGTAGCTTTACGCTGCGGATTCTTGTTTAGAATTATACTTGAAAAGAAGAAAGCTAGTTACTGTACTATGCATGATATCAATGCTGCTTGTAACATAAAAACATGTGTAGAAACCACGACATGCATCATTCAAACATGGTTAGCCCGTGTACTATAGTGATAATCTGGGATAATCACTTTGTTCAGCATGCATGTTGTATTTCATCAAATATACTTATTTGGATGACTAGACTAATCCGCTTATACATATCCTACTTTTGAAATGTGAAAGATTGCAATTACAGCCCAACCCAAAAACGAAAAGCGGAAGGAAGGGACGATCGACTTCCCGGGGCATTGTGTCAAAAATGTAAACAAAGCTGTAAGTACATAGAGGAATTCGCGGTGGCCTAGTCCATAATAAAATCACGTCGCACCAAATCAACATTCACAGCATTCGATTGGACCATCATGGCGTCCGTCGCTCTGGGCTTAAATAGAGTCGAATTATTTCCACAGGTGGCCACCATTTAGAGGTCGAATAAACGTAGTCCAAGGCCAAAGTCGTATGCCTCGTGGTCTTCCCGCCCTCTTATTCTTCTTCGTGTGGCCTTTCTTACCGCTCGCAGTTGCTCCTCCAGTTTTTGAACGCGAGTTTTTCAATCGCAAAATGCTTCTCCCTGCACCACTCAAAGAACCCATCGTCGCCCTTATTGGCGATAAATGCTACGTCTCATTAGTTGAAGATTTCGATTTAACAGATGTGCCTTGCATCAAGTACGCCATTTCCAAAGCCCTCGGTTTCGGTATCGTTCTGGGCGGCTCCATTGTCAAAATTCCGCAGATCTTGACCATTGTCAGCGCTGGTTCCGCACGCGGTCTTTCGTTGACCTCCTATATTCTGGAAACCCTAAGCTGCTGCATAACTTTCTCATACAACTGGCGTCAAGGCAACCCGTTCAGCACCTATGGCGAAACCTGTTTCCTGACAGCGCAAAACATCATTATCACGCTCCTCATTTTGTTTTATGCACAACGGCTCTCTGAAACAACACTCACATTGGTCGGCTATGCGGCTGTATTGTATGGCCTGACTTGTGTTGTGCCATCCTGGGTGATGGCCAGCCTCTATGCTGCCACGATCCCTTTGAGCCTCGCGAGCAAGGTGCCGCAGATATATACCAACTTTGCCAACAAGTCCACGGGCCAACTGTCTGTGTTTGCCGTCGTCAACTATTTTGCTGGAACCACTGCTCGTGTGTTTACTACAATGACCGAACTGGATGATCCGTTGATGCTTACTGGGAGCGTCTTGGCTAGTGTACTCAATGGCATCCTGATGATACAAGTGTTTTTATACTGGGGCAAGAAATTGGAGGAGGAAAAACCAAGAAAGGTTGAATAAATTCGTATATAACTCAAATCACAAATAAATGAGTGCACTGGCTCGTGTTTTGCTGGATTCATGCTGCAAACCTATCGGCTCGCTCTTTCCGGTTGATCCGACCAGGGGCCCTGTTTAATCACCACAGAAGGTTCCACTATACCAGTTGTTGGGGAATAGGGGAGAGACGGCAGCTGACTTTGTAGCTAGGGGATATCGTGTATATTGCGTGCTTTATGCAGTTGATCAACCGTGTAACCCACACATACAACTGACAACCTAGCAAGCTGTAGCTACGATCGTTATTTCTGGCGAAACGGAAGAACAAATGCTTATCCAAACCGGGAACGATAATTTCAAGTAATATCTTCGGAAAACAACTTTAGCCATCATTTTACTCCGATGATACAACTCTTGGGCATTCGTCAAAAGGAGGGGTGATGAACCTGCGTCTGCTGCATCGACATCCGAGTCGCCTGGCGTCATCTTGCGTACATAAGATACGCATCACTGCTTCGGCTCTTTATTGCTCGAATTGGATAAAGAAACAAACGTCGTTACACACAGCTGTCATCTCTGCTGATAACAGAAAAAGTACGTGCTTCTAGACAACAAAAAAAAATGATGACCAAGCGTACCGGATATTGAAATCCGGCCAATAACCAGTACCAAGTCAGCCCAAACTGTATGAAGCCAACACCCAGCAAACCCAACTCTTTGCAACAATAGAATGCTCAGCTTATTGCGACGATCCGCAATTGAAACAGCGGCAAAGAGTATATATAGACGGGGTATCGTTGTCCAGCGTCCGAGATCATTTTCTTCAAAGCAGCAATCGTCTCTCTCTAAAAAGAAGCAAATCTCTACTACCCTCGGCTGTTGCATTCTTACCGGTGTCGCTCTTTATTCTACAATGTCAGCACAACATGCTACCGAACTTTATGACCAGAAGCAGGCCTTGACCGGTGCAAGCGACGAACACTTTACTGTTGCGAAGGCCGAGCAGGATGCTCTTGCTGTTGTCAAGGCAGCACGCGAAAGTCCGGATTATTTCGAGATTGAAGCTTATGGCCAGCTGAATATTAAGGGCAAAGCCCAGTCCTTGACAGCTTCGGTAAGCTTATTCCAGAAGAATCGGCGGGAGCAGAGAAAGGGGAGGGATCAGAAGCAAACAGTTATTGTTCGGTTGGATGAAATGCATGCAAGTGTAACTAAATTATTCTGGTGAGTGTGCCATATCAGACTTTGCGTGGTAAGGACAAGATCATTGTGCCTCCAGTCCTGTTTTATAACAAAGAGCAGAGCGAAGTTATGGCTGCCGTCCATCTCGGCAAGGATCTGTGCGGACACCCATCGGTTGTGCATGGAGGCATGCAAGCCACTCTTTTGGACGAAATCTTGGCATGTGTGGTAAGTGATTGGAGAGGTGGCAGCTATGTTACAGAGGGAAATTCAGCAGATGAAACCTAACTGCGCGTAAATTACGGTTATTAGGCTATGCCTGCGCTGCCAAACAAAATTGGTTTCACTGCCAATTTGAACATTGACTACCGCAAACCTTTGATGGCCGATCAATGGGTCATTTTGCGTGGACAATTGGATCGTGCTGAAGGTCGCAAAGCGTATGTCAAGGCATGGATCGAGAGCCCGGATGGTAAGACCGTGTACTCTGAAGCCACGTCGTTGTATATTGCTCCCAAGACGCCAATTCCTGGTGCCTAAATATAGAAAAAGCTCGACATGTACACACACCGCATTATTATTGCCATCATCCCATCCTCAACCAAACCCACTGTTACCCAGAATCCATTAGAAACAACCACTACAAACATTACACACGCATACTTACACACCAATACATATCTAATTAGTTTGTCGCTTTGGTACACATGCTTATGTACTCTTCCTCGGGGCTGGGGCGCATGTGTCAAAAAGTTTAATTTTGGTGTTTCCAGGATACACAGTGTGCTTTGCTTGGCAACTAGCAATAATAGATCATATACATTTAATTAAGATCACTCCCAATAAGAACTAATTAGCCAAGCCTGCAATCTTCGAACATTCCAGTATGCCCTTTGCAGTAAACATGAAACTGCCTTCACCAATGATATTAGGCAGAGATAGGAAGCCAAGACTAATAAGCCTCTTTAAAAGACGTCATGAATGTGGGCAAGTTTCAGTATATTTAGTGGACCACAGCGGTTTCAAATCGACATTGGAAAAGTCCGCATTGTTGTTGATCCCTCCCGTCGTGTGATTTGGGAAAATTCCGCATAGATCGATCCCTTTCTTCTGTTTTTTTACTCATTTTTCTACAGCGCTTCATACCCTCGTTTCTCCCTTTTCTTACATCATTTCCTTTTTTCTTTTTCTTCAAAAACTCTTCTATTCTTCTGTCCAAAAAGTCCAGCGAACAAGCTCTTCATACTCTTCTTTCGATGTCCCATTTGACCTCACCCTCAGAATGGGTCGCTCCGATTGTTTCGTTACTATCCCTAGCGATCCTGCCTTTGGGCCCTGTCTTGTTTCCTAGAGCTTATTTGATCCTGCTCTTTGTCTATTTCTTTGTATTCCTGTATTCCCAAGTCAACCATTTATGCAAGTTCTATTTGACCGCTCGCCGTATGCGTCGTACGATCAGCAAATGGAACGCACGACTTGCAGCAACTTGCTCTTCGGCCTCCGCCTCGTGCGATGACGATACCAGCGGTTATGGTGACCTCATTGACGATGCCAAGGCAAGCAGCAGCGGCAGAATCGAGTCACCAAACTTTACGCGCGGACGCATTGTGGATATCGAAGAAAAGCTGCAGTACTACGAAGATCCACGGTTCATGCATGCCTTCATTATTCCCAACTACTGTGAACCCGAAGGCCTTTTACGTGACACGATTGGCCGTCTTGCGAACCACCGGTAAGAAAGGGTCTCACATTACTATGTATATTCATCGCTCTTATTATAAGCAATGATTTGGATATAATAGAAACGCACAAACGCATTATATCATCATACTTGCAATGGAACAATCTGAAGCTGGTTATGAAGAGAAAGGGCGACGCATTCAGGAGGCTTTTGCAGGTCAATTTCTCCAATTCATCGTGACAGGCCATCCTGCGGACATCCCTGGTGAATCCCGTGGCAAGGGGTCTAACGTTGCGTATGCGGCCCGGTACGGTTGTTCAGAGCTGTCAGACCGAATTGATCGACGCCGGGTGATTTTGACCGTGACTGACTCGGATTCTGCCATCCCTGAGCTCTATGTGCGCGAGATGGAAGATGCGCTCAACAAGGCAGACAATCCATACCACCTCCTTTTGGCCCCACCCATTTTCTTTTCGCGCAATTGTTTTGAAGTGCCTGCAGCGGTGCGAGTGACCGACATCACTTGGTCTGCCATGGTCATGGCCAATTTGGGCAACAGTCGCGGAATCGCTTTCCCTTGCTCCACATACAGCCTGAGCATGGTGCTCGCAGAACGTGTTGGGTATTGGGACACTGGTGCCGATGCCGTGGGCGAAGACATGCACATGTTTCTGAAATGCTTCTTCAAAACGGATGGCCAAGCACGCACAGTACCAATCCATGTTCCTATCAACCTCACGAACGTTCAAACAAGCGGCTATCTTTCCAACATCAACGCTCGTTATATCCAAGCCAAGCGTCATTACAACGGCGTTGCCGATGTCGCCTACACTTTACGAAATGCAATGCGAAGCCGCACAATGTCCTGGTATGATAAAATGCTAGTCTGCCTGAAGGTTTTGGAAGCGCACATGATCCCTGTCACTTCAGGTTGGCTCATGTTTGCGGCCGTGCCATTGATGCAATTTATCCTGTTTCCGCCCTACCCATTGTTTGCTATCGTGAAACCTCTGGAAAACCCCATCTTGACTTCCGACTTTTATGCCAATCTTTGGAATATCGTCCGACTTGTCACGGTGTTTTTGCCATTCCCTTTGTTTGGTACTCTCGCTGTGTATGAGCACATGCATCGTTCTGTCGATCGTGAACTTTTGCGGAAGGTAGAATCGAGACGATGGACCAACTTGTTCGACTATGCTACCCTGCCCCTGGCTGCCTGGCTGTTTATGACCCTACCGTCGACGCTGGCGTGCGTCAAGCGCCTGAGGAAAAGGGAAGAACAATATATAGTCGCGGAGAAGTTTTTCAAGGATGACGGTGTTGCCGCAAGGATTGAGGCATTGGCTGTATAACAACAACACAAGAATGGGAAAGAATCCTGACTCTATATTTGGGAGGAAAGGAAAAATAACAGACGAGAGGGAAGGGATGAGGGACAGGATCCCTTATTTTGGTGATGAACTGCATTTATTGATTTTTTTATTTATTTTTGTTCCTATTATTATACACTCTACCTACTTATTCATGTTGCATTTACTCTATTTTACCATTTACAACTGCATAATATATTATTCACGTTACAATTCTGAACCTACTCCCATAGTGCCCATGTAACAAATGTTTGTGTGACAATGCTAACATAACAAACTATATGCAGCCCTTAAATTGTCTAGTGTCGTTAGCTCAGAAATCTGCCAACATATTGACACTTGCATCCATACAAGGCAAACATAATTAAACGGATCGATTACTCTATGCACCGTTCATACAAGTGTTCGTGTTTAATTGTATATCCAAGCATCATAAACTGAACGCTTGCAACCGATGCCTCACGTTGGATGAGTGCTTCTCTTCCTGGAAGTTGGCAGCATATTGTGACAATCACATTATTACACTGTACGCTTAGAACTTGGATGAAACATTCTACACGTCAAAATTATAGAGTCTATAAAAATTCGCTTTTTAGGAGTTGCTTTGTTTTTCTTGAGATGATACTGACTATGTCCTTCTGAGTTTTAGTCTAGACGCCCTTGACCCGGCCTCTTTTCTTGTAGCTTCAATCCGTGAGCGATAGCTTGGTCGCCGCTTGCCGTTCTTCGCAGCAGCGTCTTGGTCTGCATGGTTGTCTGAAAGTATTTTTTCATATGGACTAGGAAGCACGAGACAGTTCAGAATTAACAGTAGAAGTTGGTTAGGAGACCAAATTATATAACATTTTTTCGAGCTCGTACGATGAACGAATGTGTCAATGTATCCGATAGTAGAAACAATGTTGTTGTCGAGTAGCTCCAATGGCTTCCGTTAGGTACTACGGCGATAATAATACTTAATCGGGTTGTAAGTCGAGTTGTATACCCCCATGCGATGGTCCGGACATTGTAGTTATTTTTGTTTAATCGTACTTGATGTATTGATCTATATATAAAGATAACCACTACTACGACAGTACTTGATTGATCATAAGAGAGGTCTCGCAGTTTTTGGGAGCCGCCATATGCCATAATGTAATAGCAGGCGGCGCTTTTCACTCTCGAGAAAAGCAAGGTTTTCCTTAAAGACGTCAAAAAAAGCAACTGAGATGTTGTCTTATACTGCGTACTTATCGATGACGTTGAATATTCACTTAGTATGAAAACCCGAACAAAAAACTGTTGCGCATGCTGAAAAATAAAAGTATACATATTAGATCAGCCAGTTGTATACGATATAGTGCAATGTGTGATCATAAAGCCAATAGATATTGCAGGTGTGTCATTAGGTTCATAAGGAGGGTACTTGTGCTTATTTAGAGGAACAGCAGTATCTAGATTATCTCGTTAATTTAAAGAAAACGCGCATATGCTTCTTGAACAGTTCTCCATGGAATGTCGAATTGTTAAGTTAAATCATGGTGGTAGTAATACTTGTTATCCAATTCATCTTTAAATATAGTCACCCATATGATAAGCTAATAATTTGTTTTTTCGAACAAACTGTTTGGTTAAAAGTGTGCTTGTACATAGCCGACCGTGTTGCATCTGAATGTGATGACAGTATTACTCATGATTTGTTGGAAATATTTGGTACTGCTCAACGCCTCAACAGAATACGACTTGGAAAACTGACCATGTTCTCGCCCACACCGAAAAGTACATATGACTTAGAAACGCTCACAAGACTGACCAAACATTTCGATGTAAGCATCTCGTTACTTAAATCAATACTGTACTGTACAACTCGTTGCTCGAACAGAAAAATTCGGTTATCTACCAATCTAGGGTTTAGGTGCGAAAAACCAAGGAAGTGTTAATAATTGAGAAGGCTTTATCGACAATATTACTGACACTGGGAGAGATGATAAGCAAAGAATGTAAATCCCTCAGAAACCTGTTTGTAACGGCTATCCTGGATTCTAAAGTACATTTATTCGTTTTGACTCAATGATCTATTATAGTCTTAAAAACTGTATTAAATAGCGTCACTAGTAGGAAATACTCCAGAAGTGGATCTATGCAATAGCTAACTCAACATCGTCCTGGCAGCATTAATCACCAACCGGGAGCAACGTCTGCAGTAGTAAGGATCAGAAGTGTAAAAAATGAGGAAGAGATCGCTACTAAATCCACGTGGTTTATAGGGCCAAGCTCTAGAAGCTCGCATCATATATCAATTACATCTAATCCCAAGTTACCCCTTATACCACAGCCTTCCATGCAATTAACATCGCCGCCATCATTTTGCCCCTTGGTTTTATTCTCTGATGGATTCTCTGAGATCTTGACCGTTTCAGAGGCAACCTACGAACCACCCGTTAAAAAAAATGATCTGTTTACTAGCATGCTCTTGATATCCTCGGGATGATTATGTTACTCAATCAACCACAAGACCCTCTCAATTTCATTTTTACAACCAGAAAAACTCCTTTAGTAGCGAAAATCATTGGTCACATTAGAAAGTAAAAGAAAACGGCATCATTTTTAGGACGATGAAAACATATATAAAAACAGTTTAATAATGTATTGGTTTACAAGTAAAGTGATAATAAAAATGAAACTTATACAGTACTTAGTGAGGCATGGGTAGCTGATGACCAAGCTGATTGATCAGTGGGTCAAAGCGGGTAATAGCAGTCTGCAGACTGATTCCTCCTATACATCAAATAGAAACGACTGCACTTGGAATATCATACAGAGGTTACCCATTACTTTCTATCTAGGTATGATATTCCTTGAAAAGATTGAATTATGAAGCGATGGAAGTTAACGAGGTGTTGGGAATTTGAGTACAGTACGTAGTCGGCATGATAGCCTCAAGGCCTACTACAGTAGATGTAGTACAACATATACATATATATATGTGTGTGTGTTTATAAAACATTACCTTTCTAGTAACCTTTACACCACTTTTTCTATTCAAATTACATACTATAGCTTATACTATATAAGTTGAAGTACACAACTATACAAGTATAGACAAAATAAAAATCTTTGACTTATTGCCACTAAACGTTTTATTACTATTTAGAATTAAAAATTGAAAAATATCGAATAAAGAATATTATTTGATCTCAATGAGTAAATAGGCCGTTCATTATAATTAAATGAGGAATACAAGTAAAACGCCGAATATATTAATCTATTGCAGTGTGTGTGTGTGTCATATTCTCGCTGGCATTTCTTGCATAAGACCAATAATAGGCGACAATTACTACAAAGCGCATACTGTATATTTTCTCTTGTAAAACATTTGCCACTATACCGTTTAACCATCCTCCTCAAGGATTCGAAGTGAAAGAGAGAAATTGATATTAAACAGCCCCATATCATGATATGGGGGGAAAAGACTGAAATAAGTGAGCGATTGAATTTAGCGTAGGAGTAATTAACGTGTAATCTCTCTGATAGATTATAACAATCGAATTTGGAGAGGCCACACAATAAAAGACAAATTTTTGTAATGGCTGCACCAAAGCCAGAACGAGAACAGCGTAGGCAATATCTACCTACGGCGCAACCATAGGAAGCCTCTTTCCCAATTGCAAAGCGAGAGCAGTCGCTGCTTAAAATGGTGATCAACATATTCGAGTAAGATCGCACAGAGTAGCATCATCGTTTGTCCTGGAGAAGTCGCGAAGGCAGAACAGCTGACCGCGCAGACAATATTCATCCAGGGTGGAGCCATGAGAAGCCTCTTTCCGAATCCCAAAGCGAGAGCGATGGCTTACTTAACCATGCGGATCAATAGGCGGAGGTACTGGTCAGGCCGATTTGGTTCCGCATTCCCCGGTGATGTGTATGATAAACAAAGAGGAGCAAAAGAAAGCTTATACTGGTTAGACTCATGGGAGTAAAACAAAATGTGAGGCATTATAATGTGGATAATATAACGATTGAAACGTTGTAAGAAGATGATGGTATGTTTACGTTGCTTGGGATCATGACATATCCGGTTCTTTAGTTTATCCATGCGAGTATAGCGGTACCTGCAAAGGGTGCGGAGCTTAGTCCCAAGGTGAAACCTGGGTGTAGTGCAGACGAGGCATAAACTGGAAGACTTTTAGAGATACTCGATGTATGTGTAAACCTCTTTTCTCTCTTTTTTGATATCCCATGCAGCAAAGCAGAAAGGCTTAGGCAGTGCGCAGTGGTTGTGTCGTTGTTTCAGTAATTTGGCAGTCAAGTAAAGGTTTTTTCATCACCACTCTTGTCTCTTTCTTCAACAAGAACCGTGATGGCAACAAAACTGGGCATGTAAGTAGAGCAAAGCGCGAACGAGTTACTCCATTCATTTCCTCACTCGCTCTTTCAAAAGAGTTCTTTCTTCTAACACATACTCCATTGGCAATTCGCTTTCTTTATGAACCCTTGTCGGCGAATCTGCTTTTGACACACGCGGTGTACTATGGAACCTTTACAGTGTAAGTTTTTCCTCCTACTTTAATCTTTCTCTTCCCCCCCAAAAAAAAAACACCTTTCAAATTTCAATGATCTCCAACTTGTTTTTTTTTCCAATGCGTCACCAACGTTTCTTTTAATCATTGTCATTGATTTTGCGTGTGTAGTAGTAGCGACGGCGGACGGATATGCGTGACGACTACAGGGTAATTACTTTTTTTCTGTGCTTCTTCAACTAGGGTAGCATTCTTCTGGTATTTACTTCTTAATGACTTGTTTTTCTACGTGCTTTCGTTGCTGTAGTTGTTAAGATTTATCAGGATTGGTTCGCGGATTGGGCGATGCCTAACCTTTTTCTCTTTTGCCGGAAGACCTGAAAGAAATTTTGGTTTACCTTGCGAGTGGAAGAGCGAAAGCATGGTAAGTTCGATTGCGCATGCACCTCTCCAGTAAATCGTGACCTGCGCCCACCTCTTGATCCTGTACTCCCTGTGACCGCTTGCTGAGTCCTGGAAATGACTCGTATAAACTGACCACCGGCCGCGCATAGACGTTAGGTTCGGGGCACGGGTCGGCAACACGTAGAGACTATTTCAGTGGAGCGCGGCCACAACTAAACGCGATGACTGTCAGGGTCATGCCGCCGTAGCAGGCAGCCATACGGGATTGGGCAGTATGGTGAGGTCACGTACACGGATAAGAGGAGGCGTCACAGAGAAAGGTTAGTGGCAAAATATACACAAGAAAACGTTTGAAGAGCGAGCGAGGGGATGATTGTTTTTCTTTTTTTTTTCTGTATCTATGATAAATTCTGAAGCCAAGCAAAGGTGATGGCTTTCCAGCAATGGAGGGTAGTGAATGGGCCGCGACGATCTGTTCTGGAAATACGTGGTGAGTGATTGAATTGAAGGTTTGCTTGCTTACACATTATATACTCCAAGTGTAACTTTCTGATTTTGTCTGTGATTAGGGGCGCGTCATCTTCCAGTGCTGCCGTGTGTATGTGTGGATGACGATCATCTCTTTCTACCCAAAAGCAAGATCATGCAAATGAGGTTTTACCGATGTTAGTCTATTGCTGGGCCGGTTTTCCGATTTTTTGGCCGTTCATCCTGGGATGGCTACTATGGCGAGCGACGGTCGTTCCACTGCGGGTCGCCTTGCTCATCTGTGAGATGTTTGCTATGGTCGTTGATTGTGAATATGCGAAATAGACATTGCGTAATTCTGGACAGTCGCTGAGCAGTACAGGAATGCGAGCGCAAAATGGTGAGCCATCGTTCCTCTCCGATGCTAAAACTGGATAACCACAGCTGTTGCACCAAGGTTTTGTAGGATCTCGCTCAACTTAATATCAGAGCGTAAGGGAAGGCATCGAATCATTCTCAGGTATGTAGAGGAGAAATTTGGTTTTGTGTGTGCGATTGAAGGAAACGCGTATAACTGACTCTTCTTCGCTTGGATGTAGGCGCTTTCTACTGGAGATTTTCACGTGCCTGGAGTTTCCTTCGGTCTTGATCAGCGGTCGCATAGTAAGTTTTATCAATTAATTTAAGGGTTATGATCGAGAAAAAGCGCGGCATAAACTTATAAGTTGATTTGATCATATTGTGGTTCCTTCCATAGAATAAGCGATCGTTTTGTAGGGATATATCAAAGAAGCCGGAAGATTGTATATTTTGGGTATTCTGTTGATCGATTGGTGGCGCCTGCACTTCGCTGCCTTTCGCGACAGCGTATTTTACAAAGCAATCCCGAACCACTGTTTCTATCACTAATCTTCTGGGTGCATGGCCAGGAGCTAGAGACAGAACCAGTATCCGTTTGAGTGTGGTATTACGGCTTACCACTACGAGTTTGATCAGGCGGCGAACACGGATGGGGATCGCTGACGCATCATCTCCTCGCGATGAACCCTGGAAACGCTGCTATATATTGCAACGGCTAAGAGTGTGTCATTGTTCTTATTTGATAATCTTTGACGTTTTTTTATATCACATAACATTAAACTGATGGTTATACGACGAAGATGGGTATATTGCAACTGATCTCTACTCTCTCTTTACTAGTTTTTTTGGTACAGAAATCATATTTCTTTTTACCGAAGAATAGATTGAGACGTTTAAATAATTATCTCGATCAATGTCGTGTACTGAATATATTACTTTGTCTCAGGAAGGTATGTTTTCTTGGATAGGAATTTAAGCGACAGCAGGTTAATTTAGTATTGAGGAATTCATACTTATCTGATCTCATCCGATTTGTAAAGATTCCGATAAGGCCTCGAAAAATTATCGGCGAGCCTTTGGAAATTAGCAAATGACTCTTGCTTTAATTTAAAAAGTGCTTGTAATTAAGGGTTTACTGCTATAGCTATGTACTTAATATTATTCATCATCATCTGGTAAGAATCCACCACCAGCACCACCAGAATTTTCAGGCTGAACTCCACCTCCACCAGCTATATCCTCACTAGGCCGATCTTGGTGTCGGTTCTTCAGGAAAGATTCCCATTGCGTCTCTTGGTGATCATCCTCTGCTGTTGTTGTACTTTTCGAATCATTGTTATCGGCAACAGACGAAGTTGAGGATGATGGCGGGTTGTTACTACCATAGTCTCGCTCCAGTCGAGCTTGGATCAGCGTACCCAAAATAAGCTTTCGCCATCGACCATACACTTCTTTCTCTTGTTTTTTTATTGCTTTAGTGGCTTCAGTATGTTGGTGCTCTTCCCATGCCTATTTTTTACTCAAAGTTTAGTTTTATTTAAACAAATTAGGGGGGACATGGCCGGTAGCCTCTTTAGTGACGAATACATACCTCGAGAAGAACGGCTTTATTTTCTTTGGCGACAACAATGCCAGCTGTGACAGGAACAGAACGTCGTTTGATGAACTCAAAATCCACCACTGCTTCTGCATAATTGATCCCTAACCGTCGAGCAATTTTCGCAATACCATTGACTAGATTGTTACGAGAATCCAAGCATAAGTATACTTTGTAAGCTATGGTCCTCCCCCACAAGCTCACAAGAGTGTAGTCTTACTTGGAATATGAGCTGCTCCAGGCGGTAGCATTTCTGGGGTGTATAGGTCAACTCTTCCATATGCATTTCTTGGAACAATACCCTAAATTTTCCAGCAACATAATATTTTAGATGAGTATATGATTTGTATCCGTAGACCTACGCTATAAAACAGACTCGATAACTTACATCAACCACAGGCGGAGGCTTGTAAACATCTGTCTGCCATGTGCCATAGCACGCAACTTGTAGCGGCGCGCCTTCTTGCTTGGCCAACTCCTGCGCTCGTTTTCTCTCCATGGTTACTGCTCTTGCATTCACACGCTTGACAGGCTGTTCACCATCCTTTATGACACGTCCTTGCTTGATCCACGTTTCTGCTGTATGCACCGGCTTGACACACGACCGCGGATAGATCGACTCGCCTCGAATATGACCCAACACGGGTTCCTTTGGGTGCAACACTTCAAATTTCTTCAAGTGGCGTTCCAAAGCATAGAGTGGATGATTGTTGAATGCACCTATTGACGTCGGCATAGGCTCCCCCGTATTCAAGTTTTCCAATTCATCTTGTTCTTTTTCTTCACGCTTACCCCAGCGTTTTCTCTGAATGATCCTATAACATCCTTCCCACCAAGAATTGAATCCACCTTCCTTTTCCCGTTTCGTGAGTTCTTTCTCGCGTAATCGCATCGCTTTGCCCATGTTGGATGTGTAGCGGCGTGTCACGTCAACACATCCATCCTGGTCTGCTGGAAAAGCAAGTACGATTGACGTGACGTTCCGTCGATCTCCGCTACTCGGTTCCATGGATTTGCGCTGGTTGTAGTAGCCGCGAATCGGATCGATACAGACCCACTGCTCTGTAAATGGATTAAACACCTCGGCCCACACGGTGGGCGGTTTAGCGTTGCGCGCTTTCAGCTCTTCATCTAGGGTAGTGTCCTTTTGTAACTTTGGTCGAGGAGTTCGCATAGGGAATTTGAGTTTTTCAGTAGTAGTGGATGTTTCAGCTGAATTCTCTAATCAAAGTTTCATAATCAGCCATAGTGTATACAAGTGCATTTGTGTTTGTGTTTTGTGCGTTGAGAATATATAGCTAAAGTCAATGTCCCGTTTTCCTTTCCTTTGAGTACGTAGTAATGCTTGTGATAATTGAATTCTTACCTGGTTCTACTGAGGGCTCTTTCCGCTTGTTGGTTGGTATCCGATACGGTAAAGGCTGTAGTGAGCAAACAAGTCGCGCATCAAATGACAGTGCACGTAGTATAGCGACAAAAAGCTCGCCAGATGTGTCTCGAAAACCTTCCTGGGAAACTAACTTGTCGATAAACTCCATGGCCGACGGGATATTCTCACCATCCACCATATCATGCTTTTCCAACGTTCCTAAAATAGGCTTTAAAAAATGTATGTATCAGCAACTGTGTACATTATAAGCATACCACACAAGAAGACAGCAAAATACTTACAAAGTTACCCGCTGTCAAATCAGCGCTTTTTAAGAACGCGTAGTCATCATATGCTCGCGTTACCAAACCGGCACCAACAAGCGTAAAATACTCGCGCCACCATGTTAGTAGCCATTTAACCCCTGTTTCAAAATCCTTTTCTGATTCATCCTTTCGACCGCATTGTTTTTGAATATGGTCTGGAACCACCGATAAACAGACAGCCTTTAATATTAGCGCGTTGTCAGTCATACGTTCGTACTTTCAACAATGGAAATGTTTTGGATTGGTTTAGAAGGAGAAAAGACATAATCTTACTTGTACTTCGTTGGACGCGCACCACGCGTTCCTTATCATATAATGTCCAATCAGCAGCATGACATGACTATGATGCATTGCTTCACGTAAACTTCGATCGTATTCCGCTTGCCACTTTGATTTTCTACATGTCCACAAAACGTTGCTGCATAAGTCTATCACTATCCATCCTGCAGAACATGGCTAATGCTAGTAAGCTCTTACTTTAACACTGCACGTGGCGCCTCGAACACAACTTCAACGTCCTTATACTGAGACGCCTCTTGGGTTTTATAACCAGTACTGCCGTCTTCTTGCTGTTGCTGTTGTTGTTGTGATGAAATCACTTGTTGTTCAGGGACTTTAACATCCTCCCAATCAATATTGTCTTCATCATCCATATCACTGTCGCTATCTTCTTGATCTTGCTCGTTTATAACCATGGGTATAGGTGGTGAAGAAGGTGCAGTTGCCATGTTTTTGAAATCTCTACCTCCCCTGTTCGCTTCATTCTCTTCAGCTTGCATGAACTGTTCAGCTAATTCATCGTCTTGAGTATAAGCTCGCTGTTTGCCCTTGCGAATCTTAGTCTCAGCACCTTTGTCAGGGCGGTGGTTTTTGTTATTGTCATTACTGCTGCTGCTGCGGCGGCCGTGATCGGCACCAGTGGTGGTTGAAGCGGCTTTCTGTCGTCTCGTTTGTCGCCGTTTTGAGGATTCCGCAGGCGAATCATTATTCTTGGATGAACTTTTTAGACGCGTAGATGATCGCGTTGATCGTCGTTTTGTAGGTTCGGTTTCTGGTTGATCGTTGGCTCTTTTAGTACCGCGTTTTGCCATAGTGTTACATACAAAGAAAAAGAAGAGCAAAAAAAAAAAAGAAAGGCGTGAAATGCAGGGTTTGATATTCCGAAACAAGTCAATTTCATGCATGGAGTCTTTTATATAAATGGTTATATGCCACACCGTCTATCAAGAGCTGCTAACTTATTGACCATAGCATTTGGCCAACAGCGAGCTACACCAATATTAATATGCACTATAGCGTGTTCTATCCAAGAACTATGTCATTGTGTGGATTTGTCAATTACATGATTATGTACTTTCTATAATTGGTCCGCTCTATAATTACCACCCTGACAAGGACAATCTAGTATGGTTGTAGAAGGGTAAATGGGTACGATAATAGCTATGTATTTTCATAGCTGCTTCTAATAGTAGTACGCGAATGCTTAAATTATTCTGGAAGCGTATAAAGCGATACAGCATTAGTAGGATCATGGTTAATCAGAGCTTACTTTTGTTGTCTGCGTGCTATTGATGTTTCTTGTCATCCTCACCTAACTAGACTTCAGCAGCAGCAGTTTGCTATTTAACTCGAAAACACATTATGTTATTAAATGAAAACGAGTAATACTACACATAAAACATCATCATCTAGCAGTACAAGACACACCGAAAAGACATTCATTATCCATGGCATTTTTGAGCTTGGGGTTACACAAAGCAGCTTGCAAATCTGGTTCGACTGAATACAGCAGTCACGACTATTCAATGTTCGAGACAGCAAGGGAATAAAAAGCAAAAATACCAACAACCAACCTTTACATATAAAAGTCTACAAAAATGGGTCACGACATCAAGCTCGATCCTGCAATTGAACGATGGGCCCATCTCCGTGAAAACACCCATCTTTACTTTGGCTGGAACAAGAGAAACACAAGACGCTCCCTCGTTTGGCTCGCCATTGTTCCCGTTGGTTTGACCGCTTTGGCCTACGCGACCCAGGTATATATACATATATACATGTGAAATTCAGTGCGAGTTTCTATATATAAACGGAAACGGAAAGTTTTTTTTTGAAGGGCATTTTACTTACTTACCTTACTATTTTAAATGCATTTTTATAGGGCAAGTGGAATCTTACCGCATCACAAACCAAGGCTGAAATGAACAATCAGAAACCCGAATCTCAATAAACAAAACTTGAAGCGTCGACCCTTTTTAGAAACGTTATATTCCAGCACATACAATACACGCGAAAAAGTAACACCAGTGGTGTGCTCATCCTATTATGATTCTGCTTATTTTGTGGCAGGAACGTGCTCTCTCTATGGTTTATTTTTATTATGATTGTTATTATTATAATTACAAAATAGTTGGATATACACATGATTTATGAAAAGTCGAATTCGAACAATACTCGCGGACGCAACGGCCATTGATCGAATTTGATCGCAACCTCATCCAACTGCTCAACAGTCATATCACCCACTTCGACACGCGCATCAAAGGATAATCGGTCGAGAAGAATTTCAGCACCGGGACCAAGTGTCCTGCAAAAAATATATAGAAAACCGCCATGATTAGTGTATGGAACTATACACATATTTCAAAGAAATCGTGTTGATGGGAGGAAAGCGGGAGGAGATGAAGAAGAAGGGGCACTTACTTTATCATCTTGGCCAGCGGTTGACGTTGCATGACAAACAAATGCTTCAATACATATTCAAACACATCCCATTGTGCTATCATGAATCACAATTTCAAAAGTTAGGGTGTTGTGGACAACAACGTAGAGGGAAATTTGATATGCTTTTAAGTGAGACTCGAGATACTTACCAGTAATCCGTCGCTTCTCGTTAGGCAAAACATTAACAAGATAGTATGGCATCTATACATAAGGATAGCCTGTCAGTTTGTCTTCTATGTATCTTCGCTACCAACACTTGGCTACCAACACTTGAAAGTGTACGATGCTTTTTACCCTTCCCGTCCTAAGATTGTGTTCTTACATTTGGGAACATTCCACTTGGCTCAGTGACATACACACATTCCACACTTGCACAGGCTTCGATAACGATGCTCATCTTGCAACGCGCCATTGACCCTGGTGGTGCTGTAAATTTCTACATTAAGCAAAAGTAAAAAGACATTTCAATTCTCCACGTGCTAAGTCATACCACCATCATTACTGATGGTACTCTTTATTCCCCCCTCTCAAACGCCACCACTCACCTGATACAATTGCTCTGGCATCCACATGGCCATCTGGATACGACCGTTAGAATGCATTGCCATCCGATTACTGATACACGAAGCAAACTGGGCTAATAGCTGTTCACCCCTTGATGATCTTGGCAACGTGCCGGTGAAGAATAAATGTGGATGAACTAGAATAAAGTTTTTAGAGTTCCTTCTTATCCCAATACAAATAATCCCAAAAGAGGTAGACAGACAATATACCTCGACTCCAATCAGTATCAGCTATATCGCCAATATAATTTGGTTTTTTGAGTTCGAGGTAAGTATCCCAGTCGTAACCATCCTTCTTCAACAATTCGATCACGCCTTTTGACTCTTTTGCCATATCCTATATATTTCACCCCACAGATTTGTTTTAGAACTCCAGTATCGCGTAATTTCTCGATAATAGAATTTCAACATACAGACATCCACTTTGCGTATTTGGCATTGTTCTCAACAGTAATGATACGCTTGAATCCAGCCTGGACCATGCCACTTGTCCACGCACCAAGTCCTTTCGTATGTTTAAGAAAACGGGTTTAGTAAAAGTCATGTTTTCTTTCCGCATGACACCCAGTACAACTCTGATAGCCTGCCACCTTACCAGGATATAGCTCCACAGCTGTAACATCTCGTGGATTTGCAATTTTTAACTTTTTCAGGGCCATTTCTATAACGATTTATTGTATAAACATAAGCATATTAAAAAAAATTACAATGTCAAAACAGGGAATTCCGCCCACTAGTTACATGTATACATACGTGCAGTTTTGACATTGGCAAGCGTTGCTCGAGGAGAAAGTAATGAGCCCTTGGGTCTGAACGTCGTGTTCCATTCGTTGAGTTCTGGAAGTTTTAGTAATGGAAGCCTTCTCATTATTTTTAAATTATGTGCAGGAATAGACCTATACAAAAATGATAACACCGAAAACTTTTTTTTCGTTGCAAAACTCCCAGATATAGAATTCTGACAGGGGCGTGGCCGAAAATTAAATTGATATGCTCTCGTAAAAAAAAACGAGCAAACGGACCTTGTCTTTTTAAATGCAAGTCTAGGAGGATCACATGGCTCAGCTCTTCATGAAACTCAAATAGTGGAAAGGAGGCTGGTTGCAGTAATAAGTTAAGTATAGTGATCGCACTGACGTCAATCGACGCCATCCTAAGGCTATGCATCTTATTTTCTTTGTTGCAGAAACAGATACAATGAAAACATTTACAAAAAAAGGCTTCGGCTGGGTACACCTGTAACCACAACAATACATTTAGCATTCATCTTGTCTTACAAGTTACAGACTCGAAAGCGGCTGTACAAATCAGAGAAAGAAACAAAGCATATAAAAGCTAGGAAGAAGTACGGAAAACGTGGGAAGCATGATGATGACACATTCGAAACAGGGTACATGCTAAAATAAGAGCGGCAATGATCAGCTCCACCTGTCAAGAAGACCTTTGGCGGGAAGGGAAGAGCGGCGCCATCCTTGGTGTAACGTATGTCCGATGCACATGTGTGTACTGCTTTACGTTGTCGAAGAAAACAACAACACACACCATGGCGCAAACCTTCACGTGGAGTAGTACGAGCAAACTCAGACTGCTAAAACAAGCAACTCGCTCTATAATTAAGGCCGAGAGACTTTTTCTTTCTTTTACCCTTCTTCTTCTTTTCCGAGAGTCACCCTCTTTTCCGCCACCCTCTCCCAACGCATCCTGTCTTTGTCCTCCGGCTCTTCTCAAACTAGGAGGGACTGTAACGGGAACCACAATTAAACGAACGGGAGAAGAAAGAAAAGGAGCGCACGCGAGCACGCGAATAACCAACAGCAACAACTACGACACCACACCACTATGGAATACGTCGGCCGTATCAGCAATCTCATCACCACTGTCCATCAGTTCTACAATGACATAAATCCGGCCACACTGTCGGGTGCGATTGACATTGTCGTTGTCCGACAACAGAACGGTGAACTTGCTTGTTCCCCGTTCCATGTTCGGTTCGGCAAACTTTCCTTATTAATGCCTCAAGAGAAAAAGGTACATTATCGGAGCTACTACTGCTCTTTTTTTTTGACATGTAGGGGTATTGGGGCCTGGGGGGGACAAAGGCAACGACGAGACTTGCCCCATTTTTTCTTTTTGCTGCATTAACGAAATAAAGAGTTCCCAGGGCAAAGAGCTAACAATAATGATTTTGCTAGGTCGAGATCGAAATTAACGGCCAGGTAATACCGTACATGATGAAATTGGGTGAGGCTGGCGAGGCCTTTTTCGTCTTTGAGACAGAGCATGAAGTACCTGAAGAGTTCCAGACGTCGCCCATCATGCAAGCTGAAGAAGAGACCCAAGAAGATGAGGTACTACTAGTGACTAGTTGATGTGATCAATGGTGATATAAATAATACTAAAACACTCACTAATACAGGAACCGCCCTATCTCGATATTGGCGAATCGAAAACCCCCACAAAAGGTAATGATGCCTCTTACAACATTTGGGCGGATTACTCTTGTCTAACTATCAGAAATACTCACATGTTGCTCCTGTGTAATGTGCGCTCTATTAGATCAACAAAAATCAAATGACGTAGCAGCAGATGGCTTCGATGACGAAACAGACAAGAAGCACACAACATTACGGATCCCAGCAGAACTTCAGTCGCCCAAAATGATCATTGAAGAGCAAGTCGATAAAGTCGTGACAAAGATGGACCCATTCCTGCAACAACAACAACAACAAGCGCAGGAGCAGCAACATGATCAAGGCGACAATATTAAGGACTCGGATAACGCGACCCATGAAGCACAGAACGATGTGTATCCCATGGAAGACGGCGCCACTCTTCTCGAGCGCTGCATTCCTGAAGCCATCACTAGCACGACCGTTGCCAAGGAAACATTCATCGTTCGCCCCGCTGACGGAGACATTTACAGCACTTGGATGGATGTTACACACACTTCTGTCCACACTCGGAACGCTCCCACGGAACCCACATCGCCTCGCCAGGGCGATGCAGAGTCGATCTTCTTGGATATTGCTGGCTACAAGACCGAGAACGATGACGACAAGATCAAGGCAGAGGATTTATTAGCAACGCCAACTACTGAAGTCGAGCGATCATTAGCTTCGCTCCAAGTAGACACGACGGCGAAAAAAGGAGTAGAGGAGGAGAAACAGTCAGCTCAAGAAGAACAAGGCATCAATGGGTCTAGCACCGAAGCTGTTACAGCAGCCACCACCACTGCTGCTGCTGAAGAGAAAGAACTTGGATCATTAGAGGAGCAACCACAAGAAGCACTCCAGCAGCAAATAAATGACATCAAACTTACGCCTGGGGAGACTTATCGGATCGAGCTGAGCTTATGTAGCCTTGTTGCATTGGGCTCTGATGAGGAAAAGAACGCAGAGATCTTTGACAAGGAGCAACTCACCTATGACAACTTTGTCCACAATCCCAATCTGCTCAACGATCGTCGCTTGGTATTCCGACACCGCAACCGCTATTATGCTTCCAGCCACGCTGGCCCCTTGTTCACCTCATTATTGCTGTTCCGCAAGCCGCTGGCTGAAGTAGCCGATGCTGTTCAAGAGGATCCGACACAGCAACAAGTGTCCGACAGCAGGGATACCTACTCGTTCGGTCGTGGTTGGCGACAATGGCTGAGTCGATCATCCATCGCCGCAGGTGGAGGAGCTGCACCTTCTGTTGCAAGCACACCAGCAATGACACCATCCGTGGAGGGTGCTGCGGGTGACATGTTGTCAATAGCAGCAGCAGCAGCAACAGCAACAGAAACAGAGGCCAATGAGACGACGACATTCACGACGACTACCAAAACGACCTCTGTTGGCTGGTCTCCCAACCACACGCATCCCGATGAAGAGCCGCTCGATTTCCCTGTCAAGAACTATGCCAAGACGCTTCGACTGACATCGGAGCAGCTCAAAAGTCTGAATCTGAAGAAGGGAGCCAACAATGTGTGCTTTTCAGTGACGTCTGCCTACCAAGGCAAGGCAACGTGCACGGCCAAGGTGTTCTTTTGGGACTATGATGTGAACATTGTGATATCCGACATTGACGGCACGATCACCAAGTCGGATGCCCTGGGCCACATGTTTAATTTCATTGGCAAAGACTGGACGCACACGGGCGTGGCCAAGTTATATACGGACGTTGAAAAGAATGGGTATCAGTTTTTGTACCTGACCAGCCGAGCCATTGGCCAGGCCGACTCGACACGCGACTACTTGCAAAGGGTACAACAGAACCAATACCAGCTGCCCGAGGGCCCCGTCATCATGTCTCCAGACCGTCTGTTCACATCGTTCCACCGCGAAGTGATCATGCGCAAGCCCGAGGTGTTCAAGATGGCCTGCTTGCGCGACGTGCTGCGTCTGTTTGGCGGTAAAAACCCCTTTTATGCGGGTTTTGGCAACCGAATCACCGATGCGATATCGTACCGAAGCGTTGACGTGCCTGCATCGCGCATATTCACGATTGATGCGAACGGTGAGCTCAAGCTGGAGCTTTTGACCGGCTTCAAGTCTTCTTACTTGCACTTGAATGACCTGGTGGACCAGATTTTCCCGCCCATCAACAAGGCGATCCATGAGGAATTTAGCGACTATAATTTTTGGAAAGCGCCGTTGCCGGAAATTGAGCTGCCTGATGAAGAAACTCAACCAACCCCAACCTCTCCTAAAACCAAGCCGAAACCCATCGTCTCCGATCCATCCGCGCTACCGCCCCAATCTGTGGTCGCTTCTACCCCACCACCCTCTCGCCAGCGTGGTATCTTGCGCAGCTTCACTTCAAGATCATCGACAACAACAACAACAACATCCTCATCAACGTCATTATCATCAACGGCTTCAATAACAGCAGCAGCGACTGCAATACCCGCATATCCCTCCTCCTCCAGTCTTAAAATCGCAGCTTCTTCGAGCACGCCAGCCTTGTCAACAACCACAACCTATTCTCCGTTATCTTCGTCACCTCCTGCTCGGCATTCGGCAACAACCCCGCCGCCTGTCGTGGGCAGTCCGATCGAGCCATCCTCGCCGCTGACAAGCGTTGCTTCAACCGACGATCCAACCACACCCGTCGATGGTTCATCCGGTGGTATTGTAAACAAGGTACTGGGCGGTGTCTTCTCGCGCACGTTTGCAAGCAAATCCACGACAAATGTCAGTTCAACAACGTACGAAGACTATGAAGAAGCCGACGACGATGCGTTTGACTCCACGCTGGACGCGATTGCAGACGAAATCGATATGGACAACATCCCATTCATATAAACTTCATGCACACTCCATCAAGTCACTCCACACACGCATTCTTTAATGTGTACTACTGTATTAGATTATTTCTGCAACTAATATATAATTTTATCACCACTGCCACCACCACCTGTTTGTATGTACAGCATAATCATCCTTCGTTATTCTCTACCTTTTTCTTTGCAACCCATCTCCACCATACACAATGTAATATATAATTCCCCACATGCACAAATATAGGAGTGTCCTTTATTCATCAAAAACTGTATTAAAGGTAGGACTAAAAGTGTCCGCAGAAGATCCAAATACATCCGAAGCAGCATCGTGTTGAGGAGCAGAGTGGCTACCTGAAGCAGCATGTGCAGTAGAGGCATCGAGCATGGATTGATTCTCAGTGTTGTACAGTGCATGAATGGGATTGGGATGGTCCTCTTCCCTGCTGATCATTGGCTGTGCTTGTGCTTGTGGTCCTTGTTGCGGAGTGGATGGAATCAGAGTATAACACCGGTAGGAGGCAGGGACACTATTGCTGCCGCTGTAAGTGGTGGCCATTCGAGAGATCATGGTGCGACGCGCTGCTGGGCTAAGCATGATGGGATATGTATGAGAGTGGATGTCTGGTGAGTATTTACAAGTAGTGGTGTGCGAGAGAAAAGTGACCAGTCAAGAAAGTGGAAAGGAAAAAAGGTAGATGAGGAAGTCTCGCCTACTTGGCTCGCATTATATACATTTTTTGAAAGCAGATGTGTGCTGTATGCCGTGTGTGAGTGTGAGGGGGGGGGTATTGGTTACCCAGGACCCATTGTTGTTTTCCTAATAGAAAAAAATACACAAACACTTTGGGCGTATTGCGAATCTTGTTTTAACGCTACCACCCCCTTCTATCTCTTAGATACCTATACTATCTACTACATACTATACTTTCTTTTTTTTTCATGTTGACAACTAGAACCAAGCATATCATCACCCTTGCCACTGTCCTTGAACTTTCTGCTGCTGTTTATGTCCTTTGGTCATTACTATGGCGACAACAGCGATCTCATCATCTTCACAGATAACAACAAATATGTAGTAATGTGCTGATGACCACAGTATCTTTTTCAACGGATGCTACTACGATAGATCTTAATGATTCACCATGATGAACAGCATGCTTCACAGTGATAATATTAGCAGTTAACTGTTACTAAGCTGCTCGTTTCGAAACGGCAATTCTCCGTTTCTTGATTTTCATTTTGTTGTTATATCCATTCTCCCCCCTTACTCCCCAACAAAACCTTGGTTAATTACCTTTATCGGTTCGATATCCATGGCTCCATGTACATATCAAACATTGGCTCTCTTGTTTTTGCCGCTATTTGGTGTTATGTGCTGGCATGTTAGAGAGAGATTGATCAATTCAGGGCCACCACCCACCTTCCCCCAAGAAAAAAAAAGATTCACGTTTCATGTAGTAAAAACACACAATCTCTCCCTCTGAATAGAATTAATCGCGTTATCTAGTATTCCTCTTTTAGAAAAATTGTAAGGGTACTCTTTCAGAAGTTTACCAGATTCTGTTCGAACCCTCATTCATCATGTGGTCCTCTCACTTTCGCCCTCGCCCTTCAATGATCCACATTGAGCAGTAGTATATCATTAATGTAGATATACAACCACTATCACGTTGTTATCCTCTAGATTGCTTTAGGTTGGCGGCTGAGCCGAAAGAAAAACGATTTGCATAGGATTCCCACGCCAATCCTTTTCGCACAAAGAGAAACGCCTTTTCTTCATTCTATCACAGCCAAACAATAATGCCATAGAATATCTAAATTAAAGAGAAGAGCGAGCCACCGATAACTGCTGGACAAAGATCATATGCTCTTGTTGTTGTTGTTGTTGTTGTTGTTATTGCTATCCTTGTTAGAATCTCTTTTTTGACAATTGGGTTCTATAAACAAAACGGAGGCGGTTGCCGAACAGCAAGAGACAACAAACCTTTCTACATTACGATACTATGCAGCAATCCACAAGATTGATTCGCTGCTGCATCAATATGCGTGTATGACAACGTGTGAGTGAGCGAGCTCGCTTATTGGTACTTTTTTCTTTTTCGCCATTTTGTCCATATTCAGTATTCTTCGTCAGTAAATGAATACAGTAGTGTAGCAGCAGCATGCATTATCCAAAAGAAAACACTGCTGTGATCTCGAGAGCTTTTGTTTGCTCCTCTTGGTTGTTTTAGCGATATGACGATGATGCGTGAGATTCTTCTTTGTTCTACTTTACCGCCTATTACGATCTTCTATATTATTCAAAGTGACTCTCTTCGCTTTTTTTTCATGCAGCCACATGCAAAAAGTTAATCTCAAACTTTCTTTTTGGGTAGTTCGTTTAATCACGATTGGTTTATTACATTTCTTCTTAGCCAGAAGAGCCTCGTGATACAAATAAAAGAAAATTGGGTGGTCCACTGCTACGCCATGAGCATACATACCATTTTTATGTGGCCCAACGGTTATACTTGTGAATACACCGGCACTGCTACTGCTACTCTTGGCGAAGCAGTTCTTTTCCCTATAACTCGAATTCGCGTCCTACCTCAAACCACATCGACAAGTATTTGCGTGCCAGCCCCATGTTACTAATGAATTTTAGATATATTATACCCTGCTAAAGCAAAGGGCATGGATGATAAAGAAATGCTTAGGGATATGCCCTCGATTTGATGGTTATTGTGACTCGCTGCTATTCGCAATGGCATATAGGCGAAAAATGCTGCTGCTCAGGAAAATACCGAACCTGTCAACAAAAGAAATAAGCAATCGCAAACCATCAAGACCATCATTTACCTTTGCCATCGTCAGGACTATGCAAACCCTTCCCCAGCAAGTTGGCGATCTAAAAGGGTGGAAATCCGACGTTGATTCTGTTGATAGCAACCATCCTCGTCGGCCGATCCAAAAGTAGTCCTTGCAAGTTGGATGCGGTGCCTTGTTATCATTCAAGATTGACGTTGAAGATCCAACAATTGCTCGAGTACAAAGGCCAGCACACTGGGCGTGTACCCGGCACAGTTGAAATTGTTCAGTACCTTCCTGCATTTGACGACGAGTTCAAGGAGAAGATTGCGCAAAGGGTACAACGTCCGTGGAATACATACCCACTTACAACGCACGCTTGGGCATCTTGATGCAAACCAACGGGATTCCTACGTCAATTCTGTTGATGTTTATAATATATTTTATAAGTATCGACAGGAGCACTGCACCAAAGATACCGATGACTTTGCACCAGTTGAAGAATGGTTGGCTTCCCTATAATGTTTGGATTGACACCAATGGAGCTGGTCTACGCCTTCTTTCTGCTCAACGGTTCACCTTTGGCTTCTTTGCTCCTTGGCAGAAAGCATTGTTGCTTAGCAGAAGTGGCGGCTTCATATGTCTGGATGCGACCCATGATGTGTCGCAATACGCAAACGGTGTGCTATACACGATGGTTATCCGCCATCCTCTTACGGGTCGTGGCGTTCCTGTCGCTTATCTCATAACTGATGAGAAATTATCTCTCCCCCTTCTTGGTTGCTTCCGTTTCCTTGCTTTTCTTGGTTTGAATCCACAGCGTATAACGATCGATCGTGACCTCGCAGAGGATAATGCAATTACTAAGGTGTGGCCAACTTGCAGCACAGCACTGCCTTTGGCACGTTATACGTGCTTGGACAAAGAATGTCCGTGGACGGTTGCATGCTCTTATGTATGAACCAAGCCAGGCGCTCTCTAGAGACCTACTGGAAGACTTTCTTGGTTACACTCGGCGCAACCATCGCCTATTCCACGATTATTTCAACCAGTATTGGATCAGGGCCTTAAATGGAGCAGCTGTCGAACGTTGGGCCAGTTGCTATCAGCCAGAAATATACACCAATATGCAAACGAACAACTATGTCGAGTCTTGGCACAACCATTTAAAGACACTGTATTTGAAGCGCAAGAGGATGCATCGTCTCGATATGCTCGTCCAAATTCTCTCCTCTGACATCGCATTTGACGTTCAATCCGAAATAAGACGCTTAACGGCAAACGTTGGCCGCATGAGTGCCCATGAGCACTCTTTACGAAAAGAGGAAATCAAGGCTGAGAAGAAACGGAAGATGATTGCGCGAATGGTAACTACAGTGCTGTCAGAAGCGCAATACATTGTTGCATCGTTTACAGGCAACAGTTTTTTCGTATTATGTAATAAAACCATTCCATTTATCTCCTGTATGCTATTCCTCATGCGGTGCTGTCATCGTTTTTTTATATGTGGCTCACTGCTGAGAACAAGTGGATTACCTTTACCTGCCTAAATTCTTTTTAACTTTGTTCCCTTGTAAGCACATGTTTTTTGGTAGAGCATCATGTCAAAGTGTTACTGTGCGTCCTTCCTTGGAGATCCTGCAGCAATGGGCTCAACAGACTGCCATAAGGCCATCTTCATTATCAACACTCGAAGGTCAAAAACTCCAGGACCAAGGCGAAGTGCAGCAATTAGAGCAGGCTATTTTAGCACTCACAAAGAAACGTTGATTAAAACGACTCTATACGGTATACAACGCCTTCGGCCTTGAAAGATACAGACTTTGAACTTTGATTGTGTCTATTCACTGGCTAATAACTTATTTCTATTGAAACATCGAATGGTCTAGAGCAAAGATATTCTTTTCTTCTCCCTCGATTTCTTAATACTTTGGCAATGTAAAAGAAGTGTCTCAAATAACATGAGGAACACATCGAGTTTATGATGAGAGCCGTTTTGGCTAACCGTACATGAGCGCTCTTACACCTTGGCAGTGACATGGAAATGGTGAGTTTAATATACCAAATGTATATAAATTTTAAATGAGAGATGGAGTAGGAGTAGGAGCGGCAATATATGCCATGCATTCTTATTTGTAAATCTCTTCAATGTCATCCTTATAATCCTTTTCGATATCCTTTCGCTTCAACTTTCCACTGTTAGAAAGGTACTTTTCGCTCCACTCGACGTCTTTGGTGATGAGAATATCCTTGATGATTTCGGCTCGGTTACAATCCGCTTTGCGCGCTGTATCCTGCAACTCCTTCAAAAGCGACTCCTTGTCTGCATTCTTGTCCGTTGGCTCGACGACTGCAATGATATAGTCCTTGTCGCTGTCAGCCTGGATACAAATGTTCTTGATGCTGTTGTTGTTTCTGTAAGTCGATTCCAAACTCTCGAGGGCAATGTACTCGCCGTGAGCCAACTTGACCAGGTTCTTTGCTCGGTCTGTGATAGCAAATGAGCCATCCTCACGGAGCCGTGCAACGTCACCGGTCTTGAACCATCCGTCTTTGTCAAATGCTTCCTTGTTCAGGTCTGGTCGCTGAAAATATCCATGCATCAGTGAGGGTCCACGTACGAGCAATTCGCCAATTCCGTGTTCGGCCTTATAGTCGGTCTCAGGCACGTCAACAAGCTTGAATTCGATCGAGGGAGATGGAGGACCAATAGAGCCGGTAATCATGCCTAGAGCTGGGACAGTAATAGCTGCCAATCCCGTGCATTCTGTCAAACTGCAATTATGTGTACAGAGTAAGAAGCCAAAAATACATCTTCAGAAGAAAAAAAGTGGTCTAAACGTTACCCATAACCCTGCAAGAGGAAACAAAGCGTGCTTGCCACAAACTTGTGTGTATTGAGTGAAAGTGGAGCGCCGCCCGATATACCATACATAAGCCGACCACCAAGCTTGGCACGAACAGGAGCAAATAGTGTGGCGTCGAATGCTCGAGTCAACATGTTTTCTTGACCAAAGAAACAGAGCATTTGCCATTTCAGCTCGACTGCTGCTTCAAATGCTTTTCTAAGTGTCCAGTGCTGCTTCTCCAACTCGGTCAATACGCCGTTTCGGATCTTTTCCCAAATAGCAGGTACACCGGCCATAATGGTAGGCGCAAGAGTTTCCAGGTCGCCTTTACCCTTGCCTTGGCCGTCTTTACCGCATACAGAATCGCTCATCAAGGTACGCGGAGTGGCATAACCAATAGGAATACCCTGGATAGGTAATGATTCAAACTAAGTGTGCGAAAAGAACAAATGTGGGGTGGAGTGGGGTGATATATGAGGACGAAAAAGCATAACGTACCGTAGAAATTGCAATGAACTCAATAATGAACTCCAGTACATGTGCTAAAGGAAGGAACCCAATGTAACAGTGCTGGCCGTGATTAAGAATATCCATCACCAAATGCTCAGCTGCTCCCATGGCAGCTACAACGTTACCATGCGTCAGCTCAATACCTTTGGGAGCACCCGTAGTTCCGGATCTACAAGTATACCTTAAAGTTTAATTTACAAATTGCAGTGCCAGATAGCCAGAAGAAACACGTACGTATACATGATCATTGCAATATCATCTGGCTTTGGGATTGTTTGCTGATGTTTCTTTTTCTGTTGCTTGATATCGTCTCCGTTGATGATATCGTTCCAGTGAGAAATTTTAACGTTTTTGTTTTGGGTCTTGAAGGTCTTTAATTGGTCTGCGCCCTCAAACTCTTCACCAGCATAAATGAAATACGATGGCTCGTGCTTTCCCGGGACCTTTTCTTTAGCCTTGTTCAATGTTCCCATCAGTGATATCTGGTAAAAAAGCAGCAGCATTAGTGATGAGGCGCGCATATAAAAGATGATAATCATAGGGACCATGCTCTACCTCTGTCAAAACAGCTTTGGGCTGCGTTTCTTGCATGATATGAGCAACGGCCTCGGGAGGCATACTGTCGTATGCTGTGCTGATAACGATTCCTGCCGAACAGCATGCTAGAAGTAGTAATGGTAATGTAAATATGACATTCATATTTGTTTGTAGCACAAAAATATAATAAAAAACCGCATTATATGTGTCTCTTACCTAGAGCCATCTGGATCCATTCTGGTCTGGTTTTTGCATAAATCAGCATTCGGTCACCTGCTTTCAGACCCTGTTGATCGAGCCATTCCGCCAACCGATCGGTGGATTCCTTGGCTTCGCCATATGTCTTCCAGCGGTAATCTTCGAGTTCATACATGTTCCATTTTTTCGTCTCTCCCTTATTGTTTTTCTTCTCTTGTGAATGGATCTACACACATCATCAATGTCATTGTTAAGATTATGGGAAGCTATATGCGGATCATGAGAGATGGGAAGAAAAACCCTTGTGTCGTTATCACTACCTTGATAAGTTTACGATGACCAAATGCTGGTTTGTGGGCATTGGCACCAGAAACTTCGTTCCACACATGATAAATAGTACACTCGTCGTCTTTAAGGCGCGGAAAGATGGGCGATTTTACGAGTCCATTGCGCGCGTCTCGATGGCGATAAACATGGTCGCCAGTCTCAACGGTTGGGTTGGGTTGTCTCGGTAGGAATAGGTTGTTGATATACTGCATCGCGCTTGCTGTAGCAGAGTGCAAAAAGGAAAGAAATAAGCGGTGGGGAAAAGGAAGATAAACCTTGGGAGAAACTGACAGCTGAGAAGGGAAAAGCAAACATTTACCACTGTTTGCTTATCCGGTGATCTCTGACGAAAACATGACAACATTGGGCCTAACTCTGCCATCGCCTGTTTCTCTTTATAATCCCGACCATGTTTCCATGGCTATCTATTTTGTGACGAAATGTCACTTGCAGGCGCCGCTCGCATACAAGGCCCGTATCCACTTTTTCTATTTCTTTTATCACAATTTCAAGTTTAGAATGAACACAAATGACTCTCCCAACGCATCCTCACCTCAGCCATCTAGATTAAAGCACCCTGACGATCAGTCAAGTGCACCTCACGCCGACGAAGAAAACACATCAGGTTCGGATAAAGCACAAGTTGATGCATCTGGGTCTGACGCTGATCGATCTAGCCAGTCGAAACAAGCAACGGCGAGCAACAGCAGCACCAATAACGACGACGACGAAAACAAGATTACAGACGTTGATCAAGCATGGACAGCTACTTGGGATGCAAACAACCAGGCATATTACTGGTGGAATATGGTGACATACGAAACGACCTGGGAGAACCCACTTATTAAAAACCCAGGCGACGGCAAAACTGAAGGCAGCAATGACAAAGTAATAAAGGGAGAAAAAGAAGGAAGCCGAGAACTTTCGGGCTCTCCAGCATTGAGTAGTGAAAACAACTACGTTGCTGGCACGGACAGTACTACTGCTGCCACTTTGACAGATCATACAACATACCCACAGTATCCAGGACAAGATTATTCATACTCGGTCCAAGCGTATTTCAATTCACGGACGGGCAAGTTCCAAGCAGCGAGTGAAATGGAACGTCTTAACCCGGAACATTTATCGATAGAAAGTCGAGCGACGCGACAAATGAAGTATTACTTTGATGTCGATGATTATACCGAACAACGCAATCGTGACCGATCTTTAGGCGTTAGCAGCGGCTCTAAACAGCGGCTGTCAAAGAAGGATGTCAATCGATACAAGAGGGCCAAACAAGATAAAAAGTTGAAACGAGCTCGGGAATGGCTTCGTGATTAAGTAAATTGAAGTTTCTACGGTTACTATTAAAAAAACTCTTCGTGGTGGTTTTCTTTAATAATATCAGTAGTGGTATATCTTGACAAACAACCGGAGGTGCTTTTCTTGTGTATCTGAGGTGGGGATTTACAATGCTTAGACACGTTTACCTTGAAGAGTGGAACGTTACTTTAGTTAGGAACGGATCAACGGATATGCTGTGTACAAAAGGAAATTGCAGATTATCATGGCAGAAATGTTTTATACATCCCAAATGACTAATCTACCAGTGAATATGCTCATCTAACAGCTGCAATAAAAAAGGCTTTTTCCCTGCCTCCAATATATCGAAATCTGATGATCCCGCCGCTGTAAATATCGCATGAGAATAATCATCGCTTTGTACAATACTGTATGCTATGATTTTAGGGGCTTACAGTGGGGAGAAGGGAAGAACATCTAGCTAACAGGATGAGAAGATGGTTGACAGCTGCTTAGAAGCATTAGCAATGGGCTCGATACTGTAGCAAACTAAACGAATTCTTTAATTAGCCTACTATATCTTTCCATGCTATATTGCGACATGCACACACACGAACACACGAAACTCACCAACGTCTGTTAGACATGGTTTTAAAAAGTTATGTAAACCAGGTGTAGCTTAATCTTATCAGTACCGATACAAATCATTAGAAACAGTAGAGTCGAAGCAATAGAATACCTTGTGGATGACTTAGCTATCCGATCAAATATTTTTGCCACTTGGTTCAGTTACCATCAACAGCTCTCGGTCGTGGAACAAGATAAGAAGAATGGTATGGCGACTAAGAAAAAGGACAGGTTACATATTAGGCATGTAAAGAAGACGAGGAGAAGAATCTTGATACTTCGCTAAGCTTTTCTCTATTTTGACGCGCTGTAATAAACTCTTTTTAGGGTTTAGGATGCCTCTTCAGTAAGACTAAAACCCAGTACACTTTATGATCTTGAAGCCAAGTTTGAGCAAAACATACATACAATCACTTACCCGGAAATCCTTGTAAACTATGCGTTCATAAACTATCAGACATAGGGAAGCCTATTAGCTCTCATAATTTCCCCTCACCTTGTACTTGCACCGGAATCGGGTTGCCTCACTACAAGCAGAAACAATAATGAGCAAGCAGCAGACTAAGCGGGATATCAAATTTTGTTAGTGGATGGTTCGTAAAACAAAAAAAAAAGTCGCGTCTGCGACAAAGTGCAACAAAACTCCTTTCCAAACAGCTATTGCTAAAGCCGTCAATGAGGTAAAAGGATTAATCTCTTCAGATTGAATACTACTCCACGATTTATTCCGTACAGACACTCGTACAGACACTCGTATACTGAAAACTCTTGTGGGATTATATCAGTAAAAAGCCTTTGAGATCCAAGAAAGGTAGCAACGACAGCAGCATTCCCAATTTCGTGTTCAACGCAGGAAACGTCGATTTCAATTTCACAGGCGGCAGCGCGCCATCCAGTCCTTCATCACCAGGCTTCCCCAACCAACCAATGACATTCGGAAATACTACTGGATCAGCAGCAGCATCGCCAACAACGGCAACGTTTGGCACACCAGCAGCAGCAGCCTCACAATCAACTTCGCCAGCATCACCGTTCGTCTTTGGAGCAAATCCACCAAACCCGAGTACCCCTAGTGCTACTGGCGCCGGCGCCACAGGTCAATCGCCAAAGCCCTTTGTTTTTGGAACACCTCCTTCTGGTGCTGGTGCAGCCAGTACAACAGGAATAGGCACTGGTGCTTCGCCATTCGCCTTCGGTGGTGGAGCAGCAGCAGCAGCAGGAACTCAGAACATGGGTGGTGCTTTCGGTGGTGGTATTGGAGGGTTGAGACGTGGTGCATCTGAAGTGGTGCCAAGCAGTCCTTCCGATCAGAGTATGCTGCGACGATCGACGTCTGATATCAGCTCGCCCACTTCTTCTTTCCTGTTCAATTCATCTTCTTCGTCAGATGCCACATCCACAGCTCCGGCCGCTTCAACAGCAACAACAACGGCACCGGCACCTTCTCTTTTTGGCCAAGCATCAACATCCGCAGCACCGTCGTCCACTGCTGCTCAACCTACATCTACTGCATCTACCGGATTTACATTTGGAGCGTCTCAGGGAACGGCAAAACCAAGCACGACGGGTGGATTCTCATTTGGCGCTCCAGGAGCATCCAACACCGCACCGTCCTCAACTCAATCCAAGCCAGCAGCTCCTTTTGGAGGTGGTCAAGCATCCACAGCATCGACCACACTCTCAACACCTGCAATATCCTTTGGTGCTCCTAAAACTGGTGCATCGCCTTTTGGTTCATCGCCACCTTCAGGTTCATCTCCTTTTGGCACTACCCCACCTACCAGTACAACTACAACATCTTCCGACACTACTGCTGCTGCCACGGCTCCAAAGTCTGCATTCTCCTTTGGTGGTGGCGCCGCATCGACAAGCACCTCAACGAGCACCTTGCCATCAACAAGTAGCTCATCACTATCATCAACACCTCCAGCAGCGGCGCCATCGTCTCCATTTTCATTCGGTGCAGCAGCTAAGAAAGATGATAGCAACAAACCAACATCAATTACGACCACAACTGCTGCTGCAACAAGTACCTCATCCGCCGAAGCACCAAAGCCAGCTTCAACTTTTTCATTTGGATCGCCCAAGACGACAACTGCTGCTGCTCCAACTGCTACGACGCCAGCATCTACACCTTCAACACCTACATTCTCATTTGGCACTGCTAAATCCGGTGAGCCATCACCATCTTCGACTGCCAGCACACCCAAATTCTCGTTTGCAACCCCGGGCAAAAAAGATGACAGCGCCACTGCTGCTACTACTACAATGTCAGCTCCATCATCGACAGCGGCAGCAGCGACCACAACGGCAACAAGCACATCTACAACAGCTGCTACTTCGACTGCTGGTACTACAGGATTTTCGTTTGGATCTACGCCATCGACGACGTCTTCCACAAGCTCGTTTTCACTGACTACACCGGCACCCACACAACAGTCTGCTCAACCACAGCAACCGAATGCATTCTCTTTTACAAAGATGCTTGAGGACATGGAAAAGATTGCATCACAGCCTCCAACACAAATACATGCTTCATTACTCACGCCGGCACTGCTGGGACGACAGTAAGTTCTTTACCCGGTGGATTTACTTTTGTATGTTCAGGGGGGATGATTTTCGTGTCGATTTACCAAGACCATTATCTTTACTACTATTATAGACAAAACCAGATCGTCACTTCTACGAACTTCCGAATTGACAATATCACACAAACCACGCTATTTAAAGAATTACCGGAACAAGCGCAAAAAGAACTAGACGAGCTGGATAACTACATACGTACTCAGGGCCATAAATGTGATTATATCCTCAAGCACAGTCGCCATCATGCAGATACCATCCAAAACGGCAAGGCAGAAAGGGAGGCAATGGAGCAGGTACTGTACTAGATGAGGACGGATAGAAGAGTGATTGGTTGAGACGTAAAATGAGGGAGAGAGATCTAATACGTTGTCTTGAAACTTAGCAATTGGCCGCTTTATTAAGCAGCCTAAAAGTACAAAAGCAAAAGTTGAGCGACTTGTTTGACCAAACAGCTGGCCAGTTAAGACATGCTGTAGACGCCGGCAATATCATTGAGGCCTCCAAGGATCCGGGACGTGCGTCGCGTTGGCTGTTTGGCTATGGTAGTGATGACGAGTAAGTATTTCTAATCTCCAGAACAACTCGTCTAATCTCCAGAACAAAAAAATAAGAATGAGAGTAAGGTAGAAGATGGCTTAAAATCACTCGTCTATTCTAGCTACTTTGTCAATCTTTCCCATCAGCTTGGTGAGCGGCTTGAGGAATACAAGAAGATTATTTGGGTAAGTAACTAGGTATATGCTGATATGGTAATGCTGTCGTCTGGGATTCTCATGCTTCGTGTGTTGATTTTTAGGAAATTGAACGTACAACAGTATCCTGGTCAAAACACAACGTGCGGACACCCCAAGGTAAGGATAGTGGAATTTTTATATGAAATGAGGTGGACATTAGATGTGTGGCTTACTCCGTTGTCATTGTAGATATTGTTCGGATCATGCGCGAACAAAACGAGACGTTCCTGTCACTCGCAAACCGTGCTGCAGCGTTGGATGAGCAGGTCAAGCTGCAAAAGGAGCACTATTCCCAGTACCTTAATATGTACGGTTAAGCATTGGTCTATACTTAGCTTATTATTTTTCTTACTTTTCCAGTCGATGACATATAATATAAAGTATAAAATACGTGTATACCGTGATTTGACAAGTGAGGGTTCAGGGATCACAGGGTTTGCATAATATTTATGCGAGATTTTATTTTTACGATGATTGGCTCCCAAATATGTGCTTCACGCAAAGTTATATCTTCTATTTAAAACGTTTTGTGACCGAGGTTAATGATAATTAAGACAGCTATCCCACCACTGGCTTTTCCTGTAGATCTTTGCCTGTTATCATATCCGCTCTTTATATATACACCTATGTCAGCTCTTGCTAGCACCATTCACGCTTATAACGCGGCACAAGCATCTGCATCCTTCCCTTTGTCCTCCTCTCCAGGTCGTGGTACCGAAGAGGCACCACCAGTGCTAAGCAGTAAACATGACGATGATGATGATGATGAACAACGATTATTATCAAGACTTTTGCCGGCCGACCCCAAATTAAACCAGAAAGGGCTGATGAAAAATCAAGTATGGAATATGATTGCCTAGCTGGGGATCAACATTGGTATTCCACTCGCAATCTACTATAGTATTCGGGGCGACATGGATATCATTTACGCCCTTGCAATATCTGGTATCCCGCCACCGGTCTATGTCATCTACACTATTTATCAAGAGCGGCATGTGGATATACTCGGTTGTATCATTTGTCCCTGCTTTATCTTATCTGCTGTGGTTTCTAGCATCAGAGGTAATATACATCATATATGATAAGAATTTACCAAATATTAGCGGTCCTTCCTCGCTTCGCTCGGATGAATGAGCCCCTCCGCTTCGCTCCGTGTCATTCAACGGAAACGCGTCGCAAGGGGGTTCCCCCTTGACCCCCAAGTGAGGGGCAAGCCCCCCAAACCCCCCTGTCAAGCGAGGTTGGATCAATGTTTTGGTATTAGATGCGTATTGTCTGTTTTCAAAATCAAAAGCAAGATCATTGTGCAGTGCAGTGAGAAGTAGCCTATCATAGAAAGTCGTCAAAGTAGGATACTTAACTATCTCCAGTTTAGAATGCAATGCGAAAAGAAGTCTTGACAAAGATGATGTAGTGATATTGATAAAAAGAGAATAGGCGTGAAAAAAAGAGAATAGGTGAGAAAAAAAGAGAATAGGTGATAAAAAAGAGAATAGGTGATGATAAAGAGAATAGAAGATAAAAAAGAGGATAGAAGATAAAAAGAATTATAGAAGAACTTCGTGAAAAACAACATTTCTTGTGCTTTGGCCTTGCTGACCCGCGATACGTGAGTTCTCAGGATCTAACATGATTCTGATGGATGAAGGGGTGCGGACGCGCGACATGGCTACATAGAGTAGACCATGCGTGAACGGAGGTTCAGGCAAGTAGAGGCCGACAGTGTTGAAAGTTTGACCCTGTGCCTTATTGATGGTCATAGCGAATGCCAGGCGAACAGGGAATTGGGTGCGTTTGAAGAGAATGGGCGAGCGTGTTTGCGATGGTGTGAGTGTTATGCGAGGGATCAGGACAATGTTGCCAGCATGAGGTCCAGTGGCTATTTCAGCTTCAAATACATATCGCTGGAAAGAGCGTACAATCAGCCGTGTCTCGTTGCAGAGACCACTTTGGGTGTGCAAGTTTCTCAAAAGCATGACTGGGCAACCGACTTTAAGTTTTAGCAAATGCGGAGGGAGGTCGGATGGATTCATGGAATTGAGCAGCTCTGGTGGGTACGTTATTTGCACTTCAAGATCATCCACGGTATCTACGCTCTGGAATTCGTGGATAGTGCCTGGGAAATGGTCGAGTATTAGATCGTTGATTGCTGAAACGTCGACATTTTTTGGAGTTAGAATGGAGCGACTGATGAGGTAATCGCGATCCACGTGTGGTGCGTCAAGGCTGCCGTAAATGGCTTCGATGAGCGATTTAAGCACTGCTGTACGATCTGCGAGCGCGACGCATTTGGTATCACTGGAAGGACCTGTTACCATATACTTTACTGTGAGTACTACCGCTTAATAGTAAAAAACATGCAAAGTAGAAGAGAGGATACAATGTTGAGTACCTGGCAAAAGTCAACACCAAGGACCATAATTTTTCCATCAAATGGAACATCGGCAAGCGCGGGATCGCCATGTCTCATGAGATTTTGGATACTCTTGTATACGTTGATACTTGTATTGATACTTGTGTCCAGCGTGTTTAAAGCGATGACACTTCTCATATGATGAAGGACGTGAAGTGAGCTTCATCTCGTGTTAATGAAAGTTATCCCCTTAAGTCTTTCCTCGATGCGATACCCGTCTACTCACATAGTCATACATTCATGTAGAACAAATTTCCTGATCTGGAGGAGCCACACATTTCGGCGCGTCATAAACGTGAGAGAGCAATCTGATTGGATAGATTGAACTGGCTCAAATGCCGTGTTCATTACTACTATATAACCGCGCGGCCGCAGCAATCATGGGGCTCTTCTTCCTCTTCGTCAACGTTTGTAAACCAAAGCTATTCAATGTGAGTATCATTGGAACGGATTAGAGGATCGAAGAGTGTATGTTTATGGTGGTGAGTGAGAAGAGCGTATGCAACCGGTTGCGAGTATCACAAGATCCGTTTATCTCACTTTCTTTCTTTTTGACACAAACCTTCTTCTCGTCTTAACCTGGTCCATCTCCCCCTCACGTTGGCTTTCAAAGCGTAGATGCAAGAGTAAGTACAATATGGAAAGTGTGAAGTGTACTTTGAGGTTTTGCATGTGGATGTGATATACGAAAGAAGATATGAATTTCGACGTGTCTAAAGAAGTGTGTGTACAGCATACAGTCGCTAATGTTATCCTCCTTTCTTCTCTGCTACTACTATAGGATTCTGACTTTTTGAAATGGTTGGTTCGGTTTGTTGTTTGCATCCCACCCTTAAACATAAGCAACAACTGTAAGTACGGTAGGGAATGAAATGTGAGGATGAGTTGGAGAGAAGTCGAGTGTCTGTTGGAGGTGCTGATGCCATGACGTGTTAGGAATAGTTGCCTATTAAGAACAGCCTGCTCATGATCTTTCTTCTTTTCATTCTACTTCAGGTTTCGCTTTATGCTGGTTGGGTTAATTGTGTCCTGCGGACAAATAACAGATAGTAAGTATAAGCAAAAGGGGACTTGAACATTGGTATGATAGGTGAGTAGGATGACATGGGTGTTGGGGATGACGCGTCAAAGGTGTGCAGTGTGTACAGCAGCGTGACGGGAAAGGGCTCCTGACCATGACGTATGCAATATGGCAGTCTCTCAAAAAAGTTTTCTTTCTCTCCTCCCCTTTCTTCTCTTATTCTTTTTTCAGAATTGGTCATCCCCTTCTTGCTTTTCCTCTCTCTAACTCAAGGCTCTCTTCCTCCAAGCCAAGGATGTCATAATAGTAAGTATCGCTGTGCTTGTGTTTGTCTTTGCGTGTTTGAAGAACCAGGAAGATGTCTGCCGTGACATGTCAAAAAGTGTATGCAGCTGCTCATAGATGTCTTCTTTTTCCTATTAGAGGATGGCTCTGCGATGATCTGTTTGGACTTGGATTGGCTTAGACCCCATCTCTCTCTGTCTATAACTTTGCTGTAAAACGACAAAACAAATGTAAGTCAGCTTGGGATGGAGGAGGATGGTAATGCCGTGTCAAAAATAAAGATAGCACAGTGGGTGCAGCCCTCTAATAATCTTTTTTTTTATCCAGCTAGAAGAAGTGTTTCTGTTCTGGCTGCGATTCTCTGCTCTACACTGGCTGGGTGTTCGGTTCTCCTGTGTCTCATCGTAGAAGTATAGGTAAGTATAGCACGATAGAATCTTGTGATGGTGGTTTGACAGTTTCCCATTAACTGTTCATCTCTTTCGTTTCTCGGAATGGCGATAGTGCACAGACACCTCCATGCTAGTCAAGATTGATGCTCCACTGTCATCCCGCTCCTAGAAGCCGACCTGTCAAGTAGTCCATCGGCAGTGGTCAAGATCTATCCATCCATCTGGACGGTGGCGTGTGCTTTTTGCTTTGACTTGGACCTGAGGAAGTCCTTAAAAGCCTCATATTCTTCTTTGCGTTCTTTGTATAATTTATCCCCCCCTCCCCTTCCCCTTGCTCTGACCCAGGAAGTCGTTAAAAGCGTCTATTGCGTTTTTCATATAGTTTATCCCCCTCCCCTTCTCCTCCCCCTTTGCTTTTCTCTCGCAGTTCCTAGTAGCCTCTGTCTCGACCCATCTTCGGATGTTGCATCGTTTCACGCGAACGGCTGTTTTTTTACCCAGGCAGCCTCCGGGCGTAAGTCCTGCTTCTTTCAAAATTCCCCGTGCCCACGGGTAAAAAGTGCGGCCGAGGTCCCCCATGAATTTGGGGAATGCTTTGCGTAAGTATTTACTTTCTCTTTTTCTGTCTGTGAATTTACATGGATGAGAGTTTCCTTTTTTGGTTTTCTTTGTTCTATTTCTGCTTCTTCTCCTTCTCTCACACTCAGCAATCTTCCTTGCATATATAAAACATGGGAGATCCACGGATCATTCTGCTGCGTGATGTCATTGTTACAGCATTCATGGGGTTTCTATTCTTGGCCACATTGATACCACTGGAAACGCGTTGGTTTACGATGCGACCTACGGTACTGCTTGTGGGCCGACAACTCTTTCGTCCCTCTCAAATATCGTTGGACCGATCGAGAGGGTCAGAGACAAGAAATGCTCGTATCCGAATGGTTATGACTGGATTTCGATGGTCCATGTACGGTCTGACAGCTTCATGGGGTGTGTTGCTTATTTTGGAATGTGTCGCTACCCTGATCATGGTCTATGCTGCCCCCAGTCTGTCGGTAAACACTATTGTCGTGTACAATAATAAGTTTATTAATGGTGTGGTTATTTGGGTTATGATAATTGCTTATGTACTATTATTTATCTTGTATTCATTCGGCGTGCCGAGATGCGCGTTGGATGGAAATGGGCAGAAGAAAACGATTACACGGACAAGAATTGATGGAAAAAAAGGGTTGTTGAATATGTCTCTCGTATAACTTAGTAAGGAGAACTTATACCACATGATAGATGAGGATTAAAGCTATGTTGATCGTTACTGAACAGTGAATTCTTTGGAATATCCATGATGCGGTTCGATTTTACTATAATTTATTAGGGCAAAAATTAGTACACATTGGTCTACTCTATCTTCTAGTATAAACAAAGCTGAATTTACCCGCTTAGAATGATTTTGTGGTGACCAAAGTAACCAATCCGATAGATTCCAGCTACAATAAACGTTGAATTCGTGTAAGAGTCACCCCAATTACTACTCAAATCCATATAGAACGTTATACATACCCTCCACAATCTCACTCAAGATCCATTCAATGGTTGCTTGTGACAAACCGAGAATTTTGGCTTTGTATTCCCAATGGAATCGAGTATCATAGTCATCGTCCGTTCGGACCACTTTCCACGACCCATCCTCCTGCTTTTTTTCAACCGTCAAGAATGTGCCATCTAACATGACATTGTTGCGTGGATTGCCAGAAACAAACCGCACTGACACCGTAGGTTTTTGTGCTCGATTAAACGACTCTGCGCCCACATCACGAAGTACATCGCCAAAATGTCGACCCAAAGGTGCTGTATCAGCACCATACCCAGGCGTCAAGTTGTACGTTTTACTGGTGCTATCGGGTAGTTTCTCAGAAGCAACGGATCCACCCTCAGCCATGGATACCACAAGCTCTTCAAAGACTTGCTGGTAGGCTTCCAATGTATGAGGACCATACGGTGTCTATTTTTCATATAAAAGAGTGTTAATGTGATACAAGAAATTGATCGTCGTTCAATCCCACAAATATATTAGTGACGCCATCCACACGTTTAATATATCTCATTAAACCCTTACTGAAGCTCCTTCATAGCGCTGCATTTGGTATTCCTCGTATGTGGCACAATACGACTAAATTTAGTGGCAACACAGTTAAAAGTAAAGATATTGTGCTGATGTTACTATTATGATAAACAAAAAGATTGTAGTTACCGCATATCCGTTCGCAGGACCTGATTGAATCACGATAGTATCGTCGTCACCGAGACCGTTCTTGATCAATGCTTGCTTAATTGTATTTCTGAGACGGCGACCTGACATTGTTGTCATTTCGGAAGGAACAGCAGCAATGTACAAGTTACCAATACGAAATAGTTGCACGTCAATGATTCTTGGCTGCCATTCGTCCGGGGCATGCATCTCCCCGGTGTCTATTAGGATAGGTTTTGGTGCCTGACACTCTTTCTGTTCTCTGCTCGCAGGATGAAGTATCGATGATATTATTTCCCTAAACGGATTTTCATGCGTCGTATTCTAACAACAATTCCCAGATACAGTACGCATACCACGCGCCACAAAGAGGAAAAAAAGAGTTGGTGCATATTCTTTTTGTTTTAAGTTCATAGAATGAATACTTCCATACCTGGTAAAACCCATTCAATGCAGGACCGTCGGTTGTACCAGCAGCTACATTTCGAAATTAGTGATATGTGTGTGAAAGAAGAGTATACTGATAACATGTGGAGTTAAACGTGGAAGACCTACCAAAGGCATATCCCTACAAATGGAAGTTAGACATAAGCATTGAATCATTTTCCATGCTGCTAAGTCTAATAAAACTGTATGCAATTTGTGATAACAAACTCACCATGGCAGGTACACACGTTTCAGCACTTGTGCCATCAGTACGGCGCACAACGACTGAGCTAATATTCCAATACTTCTGACGATAGTCAATAGGGCCACTCAAAGCCATGATCCTTAAGGATTCATCGCTAAACATTTCGATCGCCTTATCCGCTTGCTTTTGTCCGATTATACGATTAGATTCAAGATCACTGACTTTCCAGCCGGGTCCTCTATATATCCACAAATCATAGTAAACAAGAAGAACTGCGTGCAAGAGACAGGTAGAATAGCAACAAGGACCTTACCTTCCATTACAGGTGGATTTTCCAGGGCACTGTGTTTCTTTTGTCCCGTCACAAGGAGTATCAGTTCCAGTACAATATGCTCCAAGGGTGTTAGGGCTTGAGTCGCCTACGTTCGCTTGTGCAAAGGCAGCAACAAATGGACCTTTTCCAGGCAGGCTGTCAGGATTAAAGTGTTTCTCAGTCGCATAAGCAGCATAGCCCTTGTTGTCACCATTGATAAGGCGGTTAGTATTATTGACTGACACGCCATGAACAGCAAACCTTTAATTTAAAAAATTATAAATTAACTTCGAAGTCTCCCCATACTGCATGAAATAGGAGAAGACAGTCCCATCCGGCTACACATGACTTCCTTGTTGTTCTTCTTCAGGTTTATTGCCAGTAAATAGCCATACATACCAGCTAAACAGTCCAAGACCGTCACCGCTGGTATCGAAAAAGCTCAACATGGTCATATCCTTATCAACGTCATACTTGTACTGCGCTCGTTCCTCTTTAGGATTCAATAGATAAGCAGCTGCTGATCGGCTAATGTTGGTATCCAACAACTCGCTACGACTAACGACCACAGTGCCTTTTTGCAACTTGTCGTGCGCTCGAACAATGGCTCGTACAATACCCTCGACCATAGGTTTGTTGGTTTCCTCGATCCAGCCATAAACAGAAGTTTCGTATAGCACTAAAGCAACACAAGTAGCACAAGGTCGATAAACGCCAACGGCAAGTGCGCCGATAAAAATGAACTAAATTAGGTTAAATAATATACGTATGCGTGTGGTGTCTTGCAGGTTGTCTTCTTCTGTACTACGTACCATGCTCCAAATATCCTCCCATGCTACTGTGGGAATGCGTGCTCGAGAGCATTACATTTTTTTCGGTGTAAAGCGTATTTCCGTACAGATCTTGTAATTCCTTGACTACTCGTTCCTTGATGATGTCTCCCATAGATTGTGTCTCAGTATTGACAAAACATACACGTTCCTTGTCATCTTCAGAAGCAACGATAAAAGCTCGTGCATAGATCCGTTGAAGTAGCCCTTTTCCCGTTTGTCCGGTCTGTTATATGGTGTGTGGGTGTGGTTTGTCATTAAAGAAAAAAGAGATGAACTAAGCAGGTATTTTGCAAGTTCGGATCTTTACTTTAGCATAGCCCATCATTTGCACTTCGGCCACCGGTCCAGTGATATCTGCGACGCCCGTGCCAATGCGATACTTTTGCCCTTGTTGTTTCTCTTGTCGTGCATAGGAGCCAAGAACAAGAGCTGTGGCAATGAAAAGCAACAAAACCTGCTGTTTAATAAACACTAACATGATCGATCCAGTCACTCAGGGGTAAGACAGGGTTTCGAGACGAGAAAAAGAAGCGAAAGAAAGAAAGAAAAAGAAGCCCGTATACGGCGTACATTTTTGTATACTCATTGAAACACCTCTCCCTTTATTCATCTGACCCCCCTTACATATCTTATTACTACTTCATGCATCTAATTTTTGCTTTTCTGCCATCAGCCATCCTAGTGCTAAGGAAGCAGTTATGGGATTATTGAACTGTCTGTTCATAAAAAATTGGTGTATTCATGCTGCACAGCTACACATACGGCCCTATTGATCGATAATTCTCAAGTCAATTTTAGAATAAATGCTTCTTATGTATATTCGTTTTGCAGAAAGCGTTAATGAAAGTCTTTCCAGTGCCTTGAACTTTTTTATACGAAATGGTACTGGAAAAAACAAATTCTTTGAGTTGATTGCTATATGACAACTGTATAAATTTGGACGAGCAGTATAGTAGTACTGCATACAAGCTTTCTTGCTTCATCCAAGCGACATGAGAAGAAGAAAACGAAAGGAAAAATAGGTTGTATATAGTTTGACGGTCGATGGTCCGGCACTTCAGAAGTTGAGGAGCTGCACGCCAAGGATTCAAGAACATATGTTGATGGATTCGAAAATTAGCTGCTTCCATTTCTGGGATTCTTTTTTCGAAAATCAAGCGTTTGATATACTCAAGGTATGAATGTATCGGTGATGCATACCACCATATATGTCTTTCACCGTATTTGCGGAAGATCGGATTACATAATATAATATGTGGACATCGTGATGGTCCAAAAATTCATCAGCAAGCAACAACATGCGACTTCTAACCTGCGTATTAATCATTTCATTTCTCTCTCTGGGACGTCTGTTAATCCTGACATGTGCTTCTTTTCTACTTACCTATCATGATTTAAAGATGTATAATCCAGATGCCTCACCACGAGAAGTCATATGGAGCTACTAACAACGTAGAAACCGGACAAATAGGTAAGTGCAAGAAAAGGATGGATGAGGAGGATGTCAGCAAGATTAAACGATAGTAGTAATGATGATGTAGTAAGGAAAGGAAGAAGAGAGAAGGAAAGAGAATGATGTTTGATGAGCTGCTACGGATGAATGGATCGAGCATCAAAGAGTTCGTTTAAGTATTAATACCAAACTTCTTTTGTTTTCATATATCTGAACTGTTATCCATTTTGCACTCGCACACACACACACACACAAAACAGCCAAAATGAATAGTTTTTTCTGTCCGTGGCTACCTCCACAATGCGCTGCTTCGCCGGCTTTTTCCATCCGAAAATGACAAACAAAGACAAAAACGAGCAAACCGGATGCTTAGGATGGCAAAGCTATCGCTTACGACAATTCGAGCTTAAACAGCGAACTCATTTCACTGGCCATCCCATCCTTCTTACCGAAGAATTGGCCCTTTTGATATCAGCCATGATAAGCCGTATTCAGTTCGACATTATTTGTTTCCTTTCGAGCATTACAAGTACTATACTATATGCTGCTGCAAGTGATATATAATTGAAGAAGAAAATTATTATATAAAGGTGTATCAATTTACAATTAAATTATGTTCCATTTTATTCAAAATTGTCAAACTAAGCCCAACGTGGAGGGGGGTTTAGAAAGAGAGAAGTCAATAGACGAGCCCTACCATGTAATTGCTGCTGTTGTTGACATTGTTAATGATGCGCGCTGTGAGTCAACTCAAATTCTTCGTGGTCTGCAGGAACAGCAAACAATCGCTGTTCCTCTTCGATGCCGTCTCGATGCCTTGATCGTCGGTTGCTACTGTTATCGCTATTTCCGGTACTGCTGTTACCCCCAACATTTTGCGCACTGGTGTGCTTGTATTCAAGTGACGTGTATTCACTGCTGCTTGTACTATGACGGTGATGAATATTGTTGGGATCCGGGATATGGTACACCGTCGAATTCCTATGTTCAAATAGTTGTTTTGTTTTTGGTTTTCATTTTTTTTAGCCAGAAAGACTTTCAGTATGGAACTGATACTTACCGTGTTGCTTTCAGGGCTTCAACAACAAGCTGTCCACTTGTCAATGCAACTACCTAACATGGTATAGCATACCAACAGTTAGCTTTTTTTGTTCTGGTATATACACACAGTATTATATGTGACGAAACACGGACTTACCACCACAATGAAAAATCCAATGTTGAAGTACATGGTAACCAGCATGTACCACAATCTTAAGGTGGTTGCCACGCCATAAAGGACCGTGCGTAAGATGATATCCTTCCATTGGCGGCTTCGTCCACCTTCTGTGCCTGATCCTTCCCCTGGCTTGGGCCTGTCCAGATAATAAGTTACCGCGCGTTCTGACCAGCACATCGCGACAATAAACACGTAGCCAAAGAAGAGTGACACGCCGCTCTCAATGACGAATGATTCAAAGAGTAAATGTGTGCCTTGTGCTTCTACAAGAAAGAATCGTGAACGTGTTCAGTTTATTCAGGGTAAAAGCAGGATAGTGGTTTCCCCACAACCTGTAATTGTGACACCTCTGCCAGTAGTGGCAGTCATCTCCTCTGTCAATTCTTATAAATTAGTGAAGCGGCAGTGTAATTTGCCTACCATAGTGAAACCACCAATTCATTGGTTTCGGGGAATCCATGTGGGGTTTCCGTCTCAAGAAAAAAAAAATGCGGAGAGACAGGAATATGTAGAGCGTATCTTCTTAATGGCAATATTTCATTTCCAGCGTCAGTCTTGGCGTTAACAGATTACCGAGTAATTTGTCACTTTGAGAGACTTTTGCTGCTTTATCAATATCTTTTCTCCACTTTAATTTCACACCGGCATCGCCGCTTCTCAATCTCTAAATCGTTGACTTGATGTATCGTCCTGTTGCTGCCATAATCGTCACGCGCAGACCAACGACTGCTGCTGCTGTCAGTGCCGCGAATAATAATAATAATAACACGGGTAATGTCCAGGCACTCACGCGAAAGCTCAGCGAACCACTCTATTTGTTTGTCAAAAAACCCCGGCGACATAACGCATGGCAGTTCCCGCAAGGCGGTATCGATGACGGTGAAACAGTGAGCCAAGCTGTACTACGTGAATTGGCCGAAGAATGTGGAACGGATATCAAGGTCAAGCTGATCGACCAAGAACAACCTTGTTGCACGTACCAATATCGCTTTCCACCAGATTTCGTACGACATAAACGCAGCAACTTTGTTGGTGCCAAAGTCGAATTTATCAGGGCAGAGTGGATTGAGGGTCAGTGCCAGCCCGATGGACACGAGATTGTGGATTTTGCTTGGTTAACTCGGCATGAACTCGATGATCATATTCTGAACCCAGAATACAAAAGCCTTATCAGCCGTTACATGGAGTAAAAGTAGTATCTTCCCAGCTTCTACCTTTAGTGTACACCATCTGTAAATGATACATCAATTGTAAATATATTGGCATTTCACCTCCTCTACATACAGTGACATGACAAATGACCAACAATCCAGCTTGCTTCATAGTGTTACACTGTCCATTACGTGGAACTGCTGTCGTAGCCCCTATCCGGCGATGGCTTTCCATTTTGAGCGAACAAAAGAAGCTTTTTTGCATAAAAGAAATATGCAGTTGCCTCGGTGTCGAATCACTTTTAATAATCCTACCTTTTCCATTGAGAGCACAACCATCATCTTCACGTAATGCGCGTACAAGGAAATCTTTTTTTGGTTACTGGAGCGTAAGTCATGCTTCAATTTTCTTCTGTATCTTTACTCTCTCAAACTTACTTAATTTCTGCTTGATGCTTCTCATGACTTAAAGTGCGAGTGGACTGGGAGAACAAGTGGCAAAATCTATTGTTGAGCAAGGTGGTTATGTTGTGGTAAGAAACAGTATGCATTTTTTGTTTTGGCGACACATTTATCAGAAGAGCCGATGCTCAAACAGAGTGTACCGTGAGTATAGGCTGTCGATATCAACGCAGCTGGCTTAGAAGATGTCGTTCGTTCGCTTGGATTGAATAGAGTATACAGTCCAGGGTCGGTGGATGTTACGTCAGAGGTACTTTATCTACTTTTCAATCCTTGGACGAGGTTTGTGATTACAATAAGAAGCGAAAAAGGGGTAACATCTCACGTATTTCATAAAAAATTGGCTTTAGAATCAAGTTCAGGAAGCAATCAAGAAGGGTTTAAACCACTTTAAAGAATCACCGTTGGCAGGAGCCGTCATATGTAGCGGCATTGTATGGCCTCCACAAAGTATCAAGGGCTATGGTCAGGATGAGCGCTTGACGAGCTATTCACAGTTCAAGCATATTGTTACTGTTAACTTGCTGGGTGCTTATAATGTAGCTCAACAGGTGGCACAAACCATCATGGATCACAAACCCATGAACGAAGATGGTAAATACATACGCATGACACCCATAGAAAGTTGACTTCTCCATTGATGTTGCTAGTGTTTTCTGTATCACGGAATGAATTAATCTAGGAGAACGAGGTGTAATTATCACGACCTCTTCTATGTTGGGACTGGATGGTACTTTGGTCGGTTACGGAACTTCAAAAGGTAGAAGCAATATATTTTCATCCGTTTTAATATAACCAAGAAGTATACAACTGCTTATAACTGCCATCGGAAAACAATTTTAATATATAGCTGGTGTCGCGGGTATGACACTTCCTCTTGCGAAAGAACTCTCCGAGTTTGGTATCAGAGTCATGAGTATTGCCCCAGGACCTTTTGGTAAAACAAACAGTTTTCTTATTCTCGAGGTTATCTCTCAGTAATAGTCTAAGTAAGATACCGCCACCATATTAGAGACGCCTCTTGTACGAGCCGTGCCTGGTGTTGAAGCACCCGTGTCCCTGTTCCCCAAGCGGTATGGTTACCCAAATGAATTCAGCGACCTTGTGCTCCATATCATTGGCAATCCCATGTTGAATGGCTCAGTTATCCGTCTTGATGGTGGCCTGAGAGGTTAAAAAAAGCACAAGTCTAGTGCTTTGCTATTGTGTATCACACTACTACTGTTAAATAAAGTGTGGGGGCTAAAACAGAATCACTAACCCTGAAGGATGAATATAAGGCGCGTTCGCTCCGCTTGGATCATTTTCGCGTTTCTTTTATTCTTAATTTGGTATATCCCTGCACTTCTCTTCCACCCTCCTCCAACAGACCTGTACACATATAAAGCGAAATGGATCAAACCGAAATTAATCGCATGGCTGCTCAAGTACAAGAATTATGCAGCGATAGACGATTGTCTGATATTCGTGTTGATTTACAAAAGACTCGCAGTGCTGAAATTACCATAAATCGTATCCTTAACGGTGGTGTGCGTTTTGTTTTTTGTCTTCCATTCACACTTTATTTCAGGGCGCCCTCTTTCATTTATTTATAAGTTTCAAATCTTGATTAGTTTCTAGAAGGAACTGACCGCGATCCGTCACGATTAGCACACATTATTCTCGATTCCGAAGACGAGGAGGACACCAACAACAACAACGAAAATGAGCAACCAATATCACAGCGCGAACGGCGACAGTCTTCTCCTGCAGTAGAGCTTTCTTCATCACCATTAGCACCACGGATATCGACTCCTCCACGCTCTGCTGTACAAAGACAGTAAGTCAATATTATACTGCAAGGATACGATACAGAAAAGACAACTTGACAACGTTTTTTGAAACTGTTGTTGCTAGGATATCCATACATTCTTCACCAGATCAACCTCGAACAAAAACTACTCTTCAAAACACTCATCATAGCAACCATGACAACGATCATGACAACGATGATGATGATAACAACTCGCTTCCATCACTAGACGCACTCATCACGAAAATGACGGATAAAGAAGAACGACAGATTGATACCATCGAACTAGACGAGACACCGCCACGGAAATACGATGCTTTGGCTCTTTTGGATGCACGAGACGAAACAGAAGCGTCGTTACCAAGGAGACAATCTCTGGGTGATCTGTTGAAAGAATGGGAAGATGATCTAGAAGAGGATGAAGCAAATCAACCACAACAAGAACAAAAGAAGCGGTCAAGTAACAGCAAGAGAAGTCGTAGCAGCAGTAACAGCAATCCAGGAAAACAGAAGCCCAAGAAAAGAAAATCACCGTCAGCAGAAATTGATTACCTTAAACCATGGAGTTCCAGCAGTGATAATAGTGATAAGGACGAGGAGCAAGAAGAAGAGGGGCAAAGCTCACACTCTCGTGAAGAAACCACACAAGAAAAGCGCGAACGGCTCAAGAAGGAAATAGCGCTGCAGCGCAAAGAGCAGCAGAAGGCTAGAAAAGAGGCTAAAAAGGTATGTGGAGCTTAGGACTGTGGTGATATGCATACAGCTGATTTTGACATTGTGTGGGCTTTCTTATAGGCGGAACGAGAACGGGCTAAACAAGAGAAAAAGGTTAGACAAATTGCTTTTATTGTTCAAAAGTGTATATAAAAGTGCGGGCAACTACTAAACATATTTTATCGCCTCTGTAAAAGGCTGAAAAGGAGCGGAAAAGGATTTTCGAACAAGCAAACAAGCTACGAACCAATCGTCATGAGCTGCTAGCCGAAATGATTCTTGATGTCCAGCCACTATTTAACTGTTCTACACGTGGCGAGCTTTTAAAAGAAGTCATTGAGTCCAAGGAAGCTCAAGTACATGTTGCGGATACTGGATTACATACCATTGGCTGGCGACGGAAAACACAAGCGACGTGGGACGAAGAGCAAGGGACCTTTATCCCACACCCTGACAATCAAGTCCATATCATCGAAGAGCCCTTTGTCTTGGTGTTTATGGACATGCAACAACTATGTACATTGGTTAAATCGACTGATATGGACACTCAGATCGACAGGATCCAAAACCGCGCTGGCGCTTCTCGAAAGATCATGTTAATGATTGAAGGATTGGAGACCTATTACAAAAGGAAAACATTGCTTATCCAACGTGACTTCAATAGTGCTGTGTTGGTGAATCTTGGTCAGGCTGATGCCGGTGCCAGTGGTAGTAGAAGAAAACGAGCATCCACGGCGAAAAGTGATACGATTATGGAAGCGGCTCGGACAGGACCGACGAAAGCCGAAATGGAAGAAAAGCTTACGTATTTGCAAATGATGAAAAGTGTGCGGCTGGTACCGACGGTAGATCAAGCGGATTCGGTGGACTGGATCGTAGCATTGACAGCAGATATTGCCAATGCTATGTACAAGTAAGTCCTGCGTTTCATCTACGTATGTGAGTTTTTTCGAAGAGACAGCTCATACCAACGTCGGATCTCAATCAGGAACCGAAATATCAACTTTTTCAAACACCAAGGGCCAGCCAAGAGCGGCACGGATGCTGCCGATACTTGGTCCAAAATGTTGCAAGAAATCCAACTGTGCACCCCAGCCGTTGCACGAGCCATCACATCGGCTTATCCGAATCTACCGTCCTTACATCACGCATATCAGCGTACCCCCGATACCCGAGATAAACAAGAATTACTTGCCGATCTAGAGGTCGAGCGCAGTGTTCTTTCACAGCGAGACCGTACAATCAGTGTGAACATGTCTAAAAAAATCTATACCATCTTTACATGCACCGATGACCAGCATTACATTGCGTAAAAGCTTTCTTAATAATAGTAATAAAAAAGTAAATGAGGATGCTAAGATATAGGAGAAGGAAAACAATAACAAAAAAGAAAGAGAAAATCAACTATTTATACAAATTTTTATGATACGAGGGTGGGCTGGAGGGGGGAGTGAAGAAAGAGAGTATCGTTCATATAAACTCGTGAGGAAAGACGCACCATGTTGATTTGGGTGTAGTCCATAGTTTTGAGGTATGAGATGCAACTTTTAAAATTTGAGAGTATTGTACTTGTTGTTGTTGCTCTATGATAGTACTGTTATTTGCTGGTTGTTTAGAAGTCAAATTCTGCTCGAAAGACATTCAGGTTACGCTTGTCACACTGGCTAGCGAGATCTTCGCGGTTCATCCTAAAGTACACAGCATATCAGCATTCCACACTATACTGCAACAAGAATAACGGCTTCTCTCTTTCTTTCCACAAACATACATGAACATGAGCATGCGCAAGCTATCCCAGACATTGTCGCTCATGCCACCCTGTACGGGCACATTGTTGCCTTGCTCGTCCACCAATACGGATGCGCCTTGTGCTGCATCAACCGTCTGCTGTATTGCCAACGCTGTCAATAAATGCTCAGCTGCCTCACGATGTTGCCCCAAGTTGATACAGCTGATAGCCAGGTTATAGCGTGCGCGAACATAGGACGGATTAATTTCGAGTGCATTGAAATAAGCGTCGATAGCACCGGTAGGATCGCGCGAATTGGCGAGAGTGGCACCCAATTTGTTCCACAGCAAGTAATCTTGCGGTCGACTCTGCAATGCTGCCTTGAAGCAATCGATTGCCTTTGCAAATTCTTCAGACACATTAAACAGGATACCCAAACCGACTTGCACATCCGCATCCATCTCGGCACCGGGCGAGCTCCGTGCGGCTTCCAAAAATAAGTTTGTGATATATCCGTGGCGGTTGTGCTGCATGGGCGTCTTTCCAGAGCCGACAAGGTGCTTGTACTTGTCGTTGTTGGTGACCCATTGCTCCAGAGCATCATAGGCGTCCAATCGACAGTTTTCGTTGGTGTAGCTCACTGCCAGCGCGAGCCATCCATCCAATAAGCCGGGATCCATCGAAACTGCACGTCGTAAGGCTGCAATGGCTGCTCCGTCGCGTTCGTTCTCTTGCTGCTTGAAACCGAGTTCCTGCCATGCCGAGGCGTCGGATGTTGCCAGCTGAGCCTTGGCTTCGAGGGCCATGATTGAGTCGGCGAGGGTATTGTGCTGTGTTCGGTCAATCGCGGATGGATTCAGCAAATAGTGATTGTCGGTAGCAAAGTTGTACGTGTCGTACTCGGGGTTGACAGCTCGATAGCCCATGCCATTTTCCTGTGGCGTCAGCCTCTCCCAATCCTTTTGCATATTGTCCCATTCCGCATCCTGTGAATTTTTCAGATGGGCAATGTTTTGTTGGTATTGTTGAACCCAATCTTCCATCTCACTACCCCTTTCAAACACCTTTTGCATCTCTGCCTCTGTCATATTATCTTTCTCCTGCTGTTGGCCGCTGTGTTGGCTGAACTGCGCTGCCCAGCCTGCACTGCCTCCCATTGTTTGTGGTGCAGCTCCCATAGGACCCATCGGTCGCATGGCGCTACTACCACCAGCAAATTCTTCCGACCAACCACGCTCTGCCTTGGCTGCAAATTCACTACTCCACATGTTGCCACTTGATGCCTTGCCAGACATTTTGGCAAAGTCTTCAGACCACGACGAAGACGGACCATGACCAAATTCAGATGCCCAGTCTCCTCCTTGGTTGCCTTCTGTAGGCACCATCTTGTTGCCTTCAATCTGGACTTTGCGGTCTCGAAGACTTCGCATTAACGACATGAAGCTCGAATTTTTGAACTTTGGATTGTTTTCTGCATCCACCGTATCCAACAACATGCCAGCCGTCCGTGCTAATGCTTCCTTGTCGCCATCCGTGGTCACTGGCTCTGTGATACCCTCCTTTTCTGCAAACTCATTGGCCCAGGATGTCGATTCTTGAGCAGCAAACTCTTGATCCCAATTGACTTGAGCGCCCTGTTTGGCTTCATCAAAGGCTCGTTCGAATGCCTGTCGCTCGGTATGTGTCAGTTGCTGTTGATGTGGATTTTGTTGGAACCCAGCAAATTCGTCATGCCATTGGTGTGGTTGCTGTTGGGATGAACCTGTTATAGATTGTAAGGTTATATGTGTCCCGTCTATTATCAATCCCACCTTCCCTTCCCTTTTACCGATCACCGAGTATAAACAACCAAAAAGATTTACCCGCCATGCGATTCTGCTGATAAATCTTTTCGAAATCTTCAAAGTGTTGGTCAGGTGGTGGACCCATAGTATGCGATTGCCGGTTAAAGTCGGCCGCCCAGCTGTCGTGCGGTTGCTGGATCGCCTCCAGCTCTCGAGACAATCCGCCGAGTTCAAAGGCGCCAGGAGGGCGTTCCATTGGCCCCGCCATATCATCTCGCAGAAACTCTTCGGTAAACTTTAAAGTTTAAAATCCAATCGGCCCCTTTCATCTTTAGTATTTGCCACTTGTCTTGTCAAGAGTCTAAAGTCAAATAAAGGGTAGTGGTTGAAAAGGCATTTGTTTACTACACACCTGTCTATCCATAGGCATTGTCCGGTTGCCACGGCTTCGAAAAGCAGGTGCCTAAGTCATAATTGTTCCATACATAAAGCTTAATTTTTCACGCTATCTTATTTCATACATATACTCTTTCGGATTAGAAGTCTAAACTATACAGTTCACTCATTACCTTTGAGCTTTCACCTCGTTGATCCCCCATGCGATCCTAAGAAACACAAGTTTCATTTCGATAAAGGTTAAATATACGCACGTCAAAAAGACAGAGAAAGTGTGTGTTTGTGTTTTTGAGAAAAGTTGTGTCGTACTTGTTGCAAAGAGCGATCCTGTTGGAACTGCTTCATTAAGTTAGCCATGGGGTTGACAGGACCACAATCAGCTCCGCCTGCACCACCAGCAAGCTGAGGAAATGACATTGTGTGTATAAGCTATGAAAACAAGAAGAAAAAGAGGAGTGTGGAAAAGAAAAGAGAGAGAGAGAGGGGTGGGAGGTAAGCGCCGACATGACTAACCACTTTTAAGCGGGGTTTAGGGCAATCCCACTGTTTTATGTGCATCACAAGCGAAAATATATATACTGTGGAGAAGTGGAACAACATGTGAATTATTATGGATACTGTTGCCTGTATGCCCTTTCTTTCTTTTAGCCTTTTCCGAGACCATCTGATTTCTTTTTAGTAGATATGTGTAATAGATCTCCACAATGATTTGTTGTAGATGTGATAGTGGTAGTCGTAGTAGTAGTAGTACACAGTCATAGACATCCTTGGATATCTGTGGGGAATCAACAAGATGTTTCATTAGTAATCGCATTGATCCGAACCGGAAACCGGTGGTATACTTTGATGATAGCGCATAATTAACAGCTCCGCTGATGCCATAGATTTGATGCACTTCATACAGCATTGACAGTTGAGTTTGCCCACGCATCCATCAAATAAAAATGAGCCACTGAGCCACCTCTTTGAATTGGTGAAACAGAACCTGAAATCGATCATTTCAGAAACGTAAAGGGTATGCTTTTTACATGCTTCATTTATACAGGTTCGAATGTAGCTCAACCGAGGATATGAAATTTAAACGCTATTGGCGAACAAGACCTGCTAATTGCAAAAATGCAATGATGGAACATGACCTTCAGACACCATAGTTCACCTGTACTACATATTTTTTGGAAGATAAGCCGGAGTTTGTGATCATCATATCGTAGAAATGCGGTGGTATGCTTAAAGCTGTTGGTTATTGTTCATAATAGGAAGGGCTTCCTTGATGATTCGAAACCAACAACAGAAGACACATGTTAGCTCAGAAAATTCAATTAAAGGGACTTTATATGACTTTGAAAGACGATGGCGAGGAAACAAGGAGCTCTAATTCTGATGAAACTTGCTTACTTGATTGATCGAGTACACCATGCTTCGGATTGTTTGGGTGGAGGGTATCGATTGACTCCTCGTCCGTTCTCACCGGTCAAGAAAGGATGCCTTCTTATTTTTCTTCAGTATCGTGACGGTCTAGCTTTTGAGCAATGCTTTTGGTAGGCCAGATATGCCTATGTAATAATGATGGATCCATAAAAGCTTCACTAATGTTACGTTAGGACTGTGGGAGCAGAAACATTAATCGAACCAAGTTCTTAAAAACTGGCAGTCATCAATTCTATCTAGTAGAACATCACTAGTTGTCGTCCTGGGTCCTGACCGTCTGTTAACGTATTCGAGCAATATTGATTGGTGCATCTAGAAAATGTCGCAAAAATGATATGTTGCGCTTTTACGCCGATCTGTAAGAGTTTTTCGAGTTTCGCTTCTACGAATATTAGCACCCATCTGAAATATTCGAGTTTATTATTTCTGCACCAACGATGTTAGAATATACGGGAGTTATCATAACGTGCAGATTCTATATATAAGGCAAGGTATTACTACTAAATAAACACTTTGACAGCAGCGTCTCGCTCCAATGTGCTTTTTACCTATATATAAACCTAGTGAGGTCTCGCTTTACCTCTTCAGAGCTCGATTTCACTGTCATATCTATTGCGATTGCTTTAACGAACATGACTGCAGTAAGTGACGAGCAACCCAAGACTGAGAATAGAGAATTTGAAGTTGTTTGTCATGCATGTAATAGGCTTGGGTCGGTAGTTAAATATAAAGAAGATACGATTGTGTGAAAGAACTGTCCTTTATTGAATGATAGAGAAGGTTCTATACGTCTCTATATTCCGGGCTCTATCGGTAGTAATAATATGGATACCGGTGGCTATTCTTGATGATGATGATCGTGATGTTGTTATACACTATTGTGGTGTGAGTGTTGGATGTAATAATGCAGTGATTTGTCGGAGTACTAGGATTACAATGCAGTAGTAGCTGGCTTCTTCCTTTTACAGCCACGTTTTTTCTTTTCTCTAAAACCAACCAAGTATGGCTTCCGTGCAAAGACAATGCAAGGTCGTTCCTGCAGGATCGCCCATCCCAAACGCAAGAACAACAACAACAACAACGAATGACTACAACAATGAGAGCACAATTACTAAAAAGGACGACACCCATAGCAGTAACAATACAGTAACTCCCGTTTTGACAGTAACCCAACGACGTGCCGAACGCACCACAACCGTTAGGGCACCAAGAGCTCGCGTTTTATGGGAAGAGTGCGAACTTAGTGGCGTGCTTGCGTGGATTTGCAGGAACAGAGATCGGTGGCAAGCAAATAAAATAGGATCCGTTCGGGAGATTCATGACACTGTGGTCAAGAAGCCGCATTCAGTAAACTCGATTCTCTCCAAAATACGTACTATGGAAAACGAGTATGTACAATGCTTCGAATATGTCACGTATGATGGCAACGATGAGCCCATTCGCCGAGGTAAATGTCTTTGTTGGAGAGTAGGCATGATAAAACAGTGCGGTTCAAAAGATAACTGTATAAGACGTTGTTCATAATAGTTATCCCTGACCGCGCGAGAAACCACAAGCTTTTTAAGGAATGCCGGGCAGCTTTTGGGCCTCCTGTCTACGTCAAAGGAATGAACGTGAGACGCATTCCTGCACCACCACCATCATTACCCTTACAACAACAACAACAAGCACAAGCAACACTTTTACCACAAAATGACGCGTCGTCTTCAGGTTCATCTTCCGCAGCACCATTGCCCTCTCCTTCGACGCGTTGCCCAGAGTCTATCCCCGAGCCCCATACGCCACAGCCATCATCGAAACGGACTCGAACAGATTCGTCGTCCTCAGCTTCGGCAATGGAACCAGCAGTAAAGCGTCGCAACCGTGGCCACATCGTTAGCGCGCGTCAACATGACCATCAACAGACAGAACAGCTAGAGGAAGATTTAAAACAAAAGAAAGGACGAGCAGTATCAAGCTGTGAACGACGGATGATGACAGAAGATCAAGCACGAGAGATGGAGCTAAAGAACGAAGAACTGCACATGATGATCCAAGGTATTGAAACCAAGATGAAGAGAGCAGATCTACGGTTTGAGCGAAACAAGGCAAGGCATGAGAAAAGGCAAGCAAGACGGCTGCGACGGATCACAAAATATCAAGATGCCTTGGGCAAGCTGGCGCTTCCTAGCATGACTACTTTTGTGGCCCCAAAATAAGCGTCATGATCATCATCGTTTATCCCGTCTCTTTCGTCTTGTAAGCTTTTCCACCTTTTGTTGTGGTCATATCCTCTATGAGTGTATCGCGTAAAATATAGCAACAGTAAAAGGTCATCTTTCTCTCTCAGAACAAATTTCTGTGAACAACGACGACAGTGTAGTCTCAATAGTACCGATGCATCGTCAAGTAGCATAGTGTAACCGTCTGTAACTGATCAGCAAAATGACCTTCCAAATTGAGAACAGTCACTACGACACCGTATCATGTTGCGTTGGGGGGGATAGCCGTCTGCTTCTAATATCGTAATCATGGCATCGCGTTTGAAGACACTGACATTGTTCTCATCAAGCACTTGCTCATTGTGCACCACTGCCAAGGAGTCCATCCTAAAAGTTCAAAAACAGGTAATACAAAGCAATTGGTTGCATCTCGCGTTGGTGGTGGAGGTGGAATTGTTGGAGTCATTTCTGCGACATTTAGACTAGTTTTCTTATTTGTGAGATTTTTCATGTTAACGCACTCGCGTGGCAAAAAGCAACCGTTTCGACTGGTGGTGTTAGACATCCACCAAGATCAAGAATGTCCCAAGGAATTCGCGGATAAATACGTGTTTGATATCCCTGTGGTGCACCTGAACGATCAATTCTTGACCCAGCATCGTGTGCAGGAGGACAAACTCTCAGAAGCATTGAAAAAGTTTGATGCTACAGGCGTTGTTGAGAAGATTAAATAAGTTGTGTTGTGATTTCTGACAACCTTGCAGCTCGTTTTTTTTTTTTTTGATTTCTTCATTTGCTTGGGGGGTGGTTGTTGTTTGTAAGAGAGTAATTATAAGTTGCACGCAATGTCATTGGTTGGGAGTAAGAAAATATTACAACCTGCGCTGGTTACACATGGCTGACTCTGGATGTTCCGCAATGTGTTCTTTATTCCATGAATAGAAACGCAGACTATAAAGAGGTCTGCTACTCTAAGTGAGTGTAGTAGCGTTGGAGGGCTTGAGAGAGGAGTAAGAAAGAGTACTTGGTAGGTGTAGTAGTAGTAGTAGTCGTAGTAGTAATTATTTACAGAGAGGAGTTGATTGGAGCTGTTTAGATAAGTCAAAGTATGCGTGTGAGATGGAATAAGCGACGTATGGCTCGGTTGATTGTTCGAAAGCAATGTCGTGCATGTGTATATGATGTGGAGGAGGAGGAAGTTGCTGTTGCTGTTGTTATACTTGTTGGTTGTTCGATTGAGAGAGCGGATATATCATAGTGAGAGTTAAGAAATAAAAGGAGGAGAAGGAGACGACAGGCGTGCACCTTTCGTATTTGCTTTTGCTTTTTGCTTTAGCTTTTACATCACCGTGCAGCATCCACTTCCCGAAGTAGGTGCGAACGGATCATCCTTTTTGTCGATCGGTCCCCATACAGAGGGCACCATGGGATCTCTGGTGTTTTTGCAGTGATCAATCATCCTACGAAGGTTCATAAGTTACTAGTGAGTTTCCGGGTCTTTCGATGCGTGAATGCAGGGAGAGTTACCGTGTGGATGCTTCGGATACCGTGGTTCTGGGGATATCAAGGAGCTCCCGTAAGCGCTGGTTGTATTCAAGAAGACGGTTGAGTTTGGCTTCGGAAAGGTTCTGTGTCCGTCGTGCGTTCATCATGTGGAGCAAAAAACGAGAGGGGGGGTATGTAGCGTGTATAAAAAGTCAAGTGAGTAGTGAAAAAAGAAGCAACAAGAAAAAAGGGCAAGCCCGTTCGTTCGTGGTAAGAAAAAAAGAAAGAAGCAAAAGAAGTGCCTGTGTGTCCGTTGCGTGGACACGATAAGCCGAGCAAAAGTGTGACTGAGCTTGGTGGTAGCTCTCCGCTGACTGCTTTGTACTTTAACAGCAGTAGCAGTAGTGTGTGTGAAGCTCCTTCCATAAAGGGCTGCGATCAGCGGAAACCAGATAGATAATCTCTTGAAACACCACCTTGCTGCTGATTTGTTTTCCCTTTCCTTCTTTCTTTCTTTTCTTACTCTTTGCCACACAAACGTACAACTCCCCACTCTTCCTCTTTCTCTTTCTCTTGCCCTTGAACCATGCTTGTAACCATATCGACCAAGGCCATCCTACGACGCTCAGCAACGCCCGGTCGAGTGGTGTCGAGCGCTTTGTGCCGTCGGACTTTTGCATCTTCCTCAACTGATGTCACTGACACACAGAACTTGGTCGAAAAGATCGTTCAGAAGTATGCCCTTGATTTGCCTGATGGCTACAAAGTCAAGAGCGGTGACTATGTCTCCATCCGCCCTCACCACATCTTGACCCACGACAACACGGGTGCCGTTATTCCCAAGTACGTCTTTACTACTTCATGCTTCCGCACCCACACGGCACACGGGGCTGTGTCTGAGATATATGCTGACAAAAACATCATCTTCTCTTTGACAGATTCAAATCTATCGGTGCCACCAAGTTCTACAACCCCAAGCAACCTGTCTTTGCCCTTGATCACGATGTGCAGAACAAGACGGATAAGAACCTGAAGAAGTATGCCAACATTGAAAAGTTCGCCACGGAACATGGCGTCGACTTTTACCCTGCTGGACGAGGCATTGGCCATCAGATCATGATTGAGGAAGGCTATGCCTTCCCACACACGTTGACCGTCGCCTCTGACTCGCACTCGAACGTCTATGGTGGCATTGGTGCAGTAGGTACACCCATTGTGCGCACTGACGCTGCTGCCATCTGGGCGACCGGCCAGACCTGGTGGCAGATCCCACCCGTGGTCAAGGTTGAGCTGCAAGGCAAACTTCAACCTGGTGTCACTGGCAAGGATGTGATTGTGAGCTTGTGTGGTTTGTTTAACCAGGACCAAGTGTTGAACACGGCTATTGAGTTCCATGGCGGTGAAGCTTTGTCTGTGGAAGATCGTTTGGCCATTTCCAACATGACCACGGAATGGGGTGCCTTGGCCGGTGTGTTCCCTGTCGATGACTTGACCATTGAATACCTCCGCAAGCGTATGCGTCGGATCGAATTGACCCATTTTGAAAACAAGAACTTGCCTCCTACACCCAAGGGAGAAAAGTTTGTCCACCCACGCATCAATGACACCACGATCCAAGCTTTGATGGATAACCCGATCTCGCCTTCGCCTAACGCTACCTATGCAAAGAAGCTCACCTTGGATCTGTCGACTTTGAATCCATTCGTCTCTGGTCCCAACTCGGTCAAGCTCGCTACCCCGCTCGCCGAATTGGAGGCCAAAGATATCAAGATTAACAAGGCTTACCTGGTCTCGTGCGTTAACTCGCGTGCTAGTGATTTGAGACAGGCTGCGGAGGTCGTCAAGGGTAAACAGATCAAGGAAGGTGTCGAGTTCTATGTCGCTGCAGCTAGTTCTGAAGTCCAAAAGGAAGTTGAGGAGACTGGTGATTGGCAGACATTGTTGGCAGCTGGCGCCAAACCTCTTCCTGCTGGTTGCGGTCCCTGCATTGGTAAGTCTTATAAGTAAAGAGTGTGTAGGCACAAAAACATTGCATAATTAACCGGTACTATCATAGGTTTGGGTACCGGTTTGCTCAAGGACAACGAAGTCGGTATCTCGGCTACCAACCGTAACTTCAAGGGCCGTATGGGCTCGCCATCATCGTTGGCTTACTTGGCTTCGCCTGGTATGTAATCACTTGTCTACTTTTGTATATGGATCTTGTAATCTAATCCCACCAAATCTGACATAGCTGTCGTGGCTGCTTCCGCTCTTGCTGGCAAGATCGCCTCCCCTAGCGGTTCCTTGGACCCTAGCGCCCCACTTCCCAAATTCACCATTGAAACCGCTCAATCGAATGGTGGTGACGACGTCGCAGCTGCCGGCGAACCCGAAGTTTTGCCCAACTTCCCTGCCGTGATCAAGGGCGAGCTTTTGTTCTGCCATGCCGACAACTTGAACACCGACGGTATCTACCCCGGTAAATACACCTACAACGACGACATGACCATCGACGATATGCGCAAGGTCGTCATGGAGAACTACGATCCCGAATTTGTCAACATTGTCAAGCCCGGTGACGTTCTTGTCGGTGGTTTCAATTTCGGCACTGGTTCTTCGCGTGAACAGGCTGCCACTGCCATCAAGTCGCGCAATATCCAGATCATGATCGCCGGCTCGTACTCGGATATTTTCAAGCGCAACTCGATCAACAATGCTTTGCTTTTGATTGATTCGCCCGAGTTGTCGCAGGATTTGAAGAACGAATTTGGTACTGAGTCGTTGACCAAGCGTACGTCGTGGAACGTCGCCATCCATGTTGCTGAAGGTCGTGTCGAGGTCAAGAAGAGTGATGGCTCTGAAAAGACGTACAAGGTCGGTGGTTTGGGCAAGAGTGTCCAAGAAATTTGGCTGGACAACGGTCTTGAAGGATGGGTCAAGGAACGCTTGTAAAAAAAAAAAAGTACATACTACTACCATTTTAGACCATATATAGTACACACATACACATACTACACATATCTCGAGCATATATACACAATCCATCCCGTCATACTCAAAAATGAAGTTAGTGGCTCACAAGACAAGTTACAAGACGCACAATCCCGAAAATTTGATGTACATAGAGTTAAAAAAAAACTTAGTCATGTTATGAACTAATATAACAGTTACTTTTGCCATGCAACCATTTTTTCCTGTTCATACAATGTGTATATGCAGAGTATATCATCAATGCTAATGCTAATGGAATCCAATGTTGAAAAATCTCATAAGGACAAAAACTCTGCTACGCTCATTACTCGTTGGCAACTTTTCAGGGACTTGTCAAATTTATCAACGACCATTACCCTAACAAACTTTATCGTTATCGACACAGTTGCTATGTATCTGGAAGCGACATTTTCCGTTGTCCTGTTTTATCAGAGTGTCAATCCGTGGCTATGTCAGGTAATATCTCTGCTGAAGTATCTTGCCAACGACGTGATGCAAAGCTTGGCGCAAGCACCGACAATATCGATAGTACTCAAGATAGCTCAATCCTATGTCTAAGAAAAGAAGTACAGGGAGGCAGGAAACGAGAAAGGAGGGGATGTCTCTTTTACGCTGAATGATACTTTAGACATTTAGTCTAGCTTAGAAGAGGTGGGAAGTATGAAGGCTTCTATTTATTGGTTGCATGATGTCCATGGTTACTTTAACATATCGAAGGTGCATAATCACCAATTTGGTTCTCTTTGCTGCTCTTTGGTCTATACTCGCTGACGCTAGCTTTCTTCTTTCTTTTTTGCATCAATCCGATGCTAACTTTCAATATATACAGGCCACCACCTGTTTTTAATAAACTAGAATACATGTGATGTGAAACCAGATCAGTCAACTGTCAAGTCTGATATTCGTTGTTCGTATACATGCAAACTGCCGTCGCAAAAACGAACACAACATCAAATGAGAAAGTGTTAACTATCGATGATCGACAGCTTGGCTGTTCTTGATGAAAACGCATACACAAAAAGGGATGAAACGTTCCCACATCAAAACGAGTAAGAGACGCGTCTCAGAAAACGTTGCTGTTATGGAACTCATTACTTTCCCGAATATCACAGCGATTGGAAAACAAGGCCGGTGCTAGTTCATTGAGAATTTTATCCTTATAAAAAAGCTGTTGTACTAAGTTATGCTAGTTTAGTTTCTACGGAGGGAAGCGGTTTTTGGTATTTTGCAGCAACTTTGGCATGCGTCTCTTCATCTGTGACAACGGATTACAATGTTTGGATGAAAAGCAGCAAAGAAGAAGATGACGACGAAGAATTCCGCTTCTCATCCTCTTCATCAAAGAAAAATTTGTGCAGCACAAGAAAACAAAAGATAAAATCATGAACGAACTAAAATACAAAGACTCGTATGTCGTTGGAGCAGCTGGGAGTCGAACACAGTACCTCTCGCATGCGAAGCGAGCGCTCTACCAAATGAGCTACAGCCCCAAATCTACAAAAAAATATGAAACATATAAAATATTGTGTTGTTAAATAATTTTCATTTATACTTTGTAGTGCTCGTCATCATTTTCTAGTCAACTCTACAGAAAGCTTATCATAAGAATCAAGTAAAAATAGAGCATCATGTATGTACATGGTCTGAGGTGATACTTTATATCTCAGAGAGTTCTCTTGAATTTATTTAGTGCATTTAAAATAATTTTTCATACAATTTATGGATATCAAGTTTATTCAAAGAGCGAACAGGTTCTCTATTTAAAGGGGGATAGGATATGACAGTGGCAAAAGGAAGAAAGAGGCCCACAACTTATACTAATATAGACTCAAAGAAATGAGGTAGACTGTTGAAGAAAGAAGCAACTGGAGTGCCAGTTATATAGTATACTATACTATGATAGTTAGTAACTAAAGGACTGTCTCTGCATTTTCATCGAAGCTCCTTCCGTTCCGGGTTCCGGTTCTCCGCTTCAACTTCTTATGGGACCTTCCTTTACTTGGTGCTTCGCTCAACCCTCTCTTTTCTTCAAACCAATTCGCTTCAGAAATTCAGCGCCATAAGCGACAATAGAAATGGAGGAGAAATCGACCAAAACGCACGTGGCTTTGAAAAAAGATGAGCTCCTTTACACATCGTGCTATTGTGAAGAAAACGTGTACATGATGTGTAAAACCATGTCCGAGCTGAATCGAAAAGAAGAAGACCACTCAATGCTTGATCACTGCACTGTGGTGTTCATAAGCAACCCAAGCAAAAGTGTAATTTTATAAAAACAACCGGCGGTTTGTCCTGAACAACTATACGTTGGGTTTCTCACAAAAAGATGATCGAAATGCATTATGTGTGTAGATACCAATTTGGAAGCAAAAAAATTCACCAGATGGCCCTGTTGTATGGGTAATTGGATTGTTATCGTAGAAACAAGCAACAACAATAACGCTTACGCTGTTCATCCTTGCCGTACATGATAATTAGGACTACCATGTCATACTTTATTACCATAACTATGACACGAAAGAGTGAGTGTTTGAAAAAGCAATGATAAGGGAAACGTTTGTGGTCTAATACATGCAGCCAAACGATAGATTTTACGTATACGATATGGATACTGTATTACCCTTTCCTTGCGATGCTACCGAATATGTAATGCTAGCATTTCATCCCGAACTGCAATTGCAGGAGCGATTTAAGCGGTGAGTTTAATTTACATATCAGTTGTTCAATGAAGACGAAGATAATAGTATACCGCATTCTCATATCAAGCCTATCGAATGTTCCAGATGCTTTCGTTTAGTGCCTGGATCTGTGTTCTTGAGAGAATTTGCCTCGGATAGAAGTCATATGGTTAGTAGCCGCTCATTGTGATCAGTAGTATACTTTCTATGAATATCAGCTAATAATAACTACTGCTATTGAGCAGTTGGAAGAAAACGGCGAATACATGAAGCCTCCTCCTGAATATCCTGCAATAGCATCAACCGGTAAGCTAGCAGTAAACAAACTATTCAAAAAAAAGCTCATCCTTTTGTGTACACTCGCCGCTAAATATATAAAACCATGGTAGATGATGTCATGAACCTTCCACGATATATCGACATGACAGAAAACACAGTTTCACCAGAGAAATTTGGCGTGGTGATTGATGAACAACAATTCTTTACAACTGTGCTGGCGCATGTCCAGATGAACGTGGCAGCATCTTAACAATAGTTGCGGAGATCGCCCAATTACAGACTGGTTACAGACAGTTGCGAGAACCCTTATTTCTTTACTTTCTCCCTCCTTTTTTTTTTGTTTTTTTTTGCTGCTCTTCCCTCCTTGTACATATACACGCGAATAACACACAGGCACAATGGCGAAACAGGGTTCAATGTTTCTACGGTTCCGTCAATTCGATGCCTATGCAAAAACACTAGACGATTTCCGCGTCAAGACAACGGCCGGTGCTGCTGGTAATGCAATAATGCCCTTTTCTTATAACCTTCCCCCTCTATTTGTCAATCGCTCTGAACAATAAACAACAAAATTCATTCCTTCTTATCAATATCTTTAAAAAAGTTACGGTAATCAGCGCGTTAATTATTATATACCTGGTCTTATCTGAACTTGTGGCATATCGCACGCCCATATGGGATCCTGAGCTGGTGGTTGACAAAGGAAGAAAAGAAAAGATGAACATTCAGTTCAACGTTACATTTCCCAAAATGCCTTGCCACAGTAAGCTCTTTTTTACCAACTCGTTACCTAGCATTGTAACTCGCGAAATATTTTTAGATATGCTCTAATCCGTTTGTGACAAGTGCTTAGTATAGATATTATGGATGACAGTGGAGAACATATAACCGGATATACGCATGATGTCTATAAAGTACGCCTTGATCCAATGGGTGTCAAGATCGATACCGAAAAAGCAAAGAGTAATTCATCACCGTCATTTTTTTTTGAACCAGGAAAAGGTGTTGCAACAAGCCAACACATGGCTAACATTTTTCTGTGGGTAATAAGAGCTAGGTGACAATACTAAGGGTGCCGAATTAGCACTACAAAAGCAAGGCGAAAACGAATGTGGCAGCTGCTTTGGTGCGAAACCGCTACGCGAAGACGGATGCTGTAATTCGTGCGACGATATCAGACAAGCCTACGCTGGTATGGGATGGGGAATGGGCGACATGGACCGCTTTGAACAATGTGTTCGAGAAAACTGGCGCGAAAAGATCGATACGCAAGCAAACGAGGGCTGTAATCTACATGGACAACTACAAGTCAACAAAGTGCGTGGCAACTTCCATATTGCCCCAGGCAAGTCGTTCCAACATGCCAATATGCATCTTCACAATCTGCAATCCTATGTGCAAGGTGCATCAGATGGTCATCGATATGATATGTCGCATGAAATCCATCATTTGAAATTCGGTCCCGATCCAACAACGAGTTTCCAAATTACTAATGTGGCTGCTACTGCAGCTGTCACCAATGCATTGGCGGGCACCAGAAAAATGACAAACAAAGGTGCGCTTATGTAGTTTTTGGATACCTGGTGCGTGTAATACTTACAGCTTGCTAACTGCTCTTATTTCTGCTAGCCTATACGGTGTATCAATACTTTTTGAAAATCGTCTCGACCCAATTGCAGCCTCTTAGTGGAAACTCTATCTACACTAACCAATACTCAGTGACTCAAAGCGAACGCACTCTGGCTGATCAAGGGGGTGGCCTACCAGGTATAGTTGTTGGAAGGGAAAACGAGTCACATATGCAAATCAATGAATGGGATACTAAGTAGACATTGACTAGGTGTGTTCTTTATCATGGATATATCGCCTATGCTCATCATTTATCGGGAGGATCGACGGTCTTTTGCAAGTTTCCTTACAGGTGTGTGCGCTATCGTGGGAGGCATCTTTACAGTAGCTGGCCTGTTTGATCGAGTTGTATACCGTGCCGAGCGCGCACTCAAGAAAAAGCGAGACCTGGGAAAAACTCTCTAAAGAGGAAGGGCAACATCGCTTTTCACAAATTATAATTTACATATCCAAACACATTACATACTTTTACTGTGTTTCATTTTGCATGTGCGTGATCTTCTGTATGCACAACAGGAATAAATATTTGTAGTTGTTTTTTCTTTCAATCCGGTCAAACAGAGATTGTTGTCAAATCTTGGAGGTATTGCATCTACATAGAGATTGCTGCTCAAAGATACTATGATGGGTCTTTCATGTTTTATAACAGGCAGACGAGAAGTAGGCAGACGAAAGAGGAGGATCAGTGTATATCACAGACGACCTCATCCTTAAAACATACTACAGGAGTTCACGCACTCGACAGTTATCGTTTTTAAAAAAGTTGATCGTGGTAGTAACTCTCTGTAAAGTTGTCGTCAACATCTATCTTTAAACATTCTCTTACTACTTCCAAACAAGGGGCATCTCTGCTACATGCCCGTTTATAACATCCTCCTCAGCCGTTCTCGCACGGTCCATTTTTCATGTGGAGAGACGCCACTCCCTGAGTTCATTACTTTCCTTTCCCCCGATTAAGCTGTCCATGAAAAAAAAAGAGAGTTGGCATTCGTTTTCATTCGTCGCGGGAACCGGGTAAACTAGGTCTCCTCAATGGTCATGAGTCACCAGTATTAACGCCGAGAATCTCGGTTTCAGATACACAATATATCTTTCTTCCTGTTCACTCGTTAAAAAAAGATGTATCGGTGGATCCTCTCGCTTCTCGTTGCAAGCGTGTTGGTTGTCACATCCCATGCCGCCGAAGCCTTTTGGTACTTTCAAAACCCGTTGACGAAAGGCTTTTTTTCAGGAGCACAAGAAGCAGAAGAACAATATCATGGAAAATCTTACCTAGAGCAAGCCAACAAGCTCTTGAAGAAGCATCCTTTGACTGACACGCACAATGACTGGCCACTGTAAGTGGATTAACTGCTATTAATGTCATATATTTATATTTCGAGGCTATTGATCAAAAACCACTTGCGGGTGATATGATAGGTGGTTGGCATTCTTGAAGAAGGGCAGGATCAATGATCTCGACATGGAGCATTTGGAGGGAAGCCACACCGACATTGCGAAACTAGCCGCTGGTCATGTAGGCCTTGAGTTCTGGTCCATATACTATCCTTGTGAAGTTAAAGAAGAGAACCAGCTGTTGTGGGCCATGCGCTCGATCGACATAATTAAGCGCGCCATTGCCAAATACCCAGACACGTTCGAGTATGTCACAAACACACACGACTATCTCAAGGCAAAACGTCACGGGAAGGTCGCAAGCGCTCTCGGCTTGGAAGGCGGCCAGTATATTTACGATTCTGTTGCTGTGCTACGAAACCTGTATGATCTCGGTATCCGATACATGACGTTGACCCACAACTGCAACACAAACTGGTCGATTAGTTGCTGCGATCCCAATCCACCACCGTTTAATAAGGAGCTTGGGCTGACCGAGTTTGGGAAAAATGTTGTCAGGGAAATGAACCGATTAGGTATCATGGTGGATATCTCGCACGTAGCTCACTCGACCATGCATGCAGTGCTGAATATCACAAGAGCACCTGTCTTGTTTTCTCACTCGTCGAGTCATACGCTTTGCCAGTTCAAAGAACGTAACGTGCCTGACAATGTGTTGGAACGACTCGATGAAACAGATGGCGTCGTGATGATCAACTTTTACAACTATTTCGTACAATGCGATTACCCCAACACGCCAGCAACGCTCCAGGATGTCGCCGACCATATTGATTACATTGCAAGTATCGCTGGCAAGCATCGCGTTGGCTTGGGTGCCGACTACAATGGCATTGAAGTGACTCCTGAAGGACTTGAGGATGTGAGCAAATATCCTGACTTGTTTGCAGAACTCATCCGCCGTGGTTGGACCAAGAAGGAACTGAAGGCCCTGGCAAGCGATAACTTGTTGCGTGTCTGGAAACGCGTCGAAGAGGTCAGCAAGGAATTGAAAGACGAGCTTCCATTCGAAGAAGACTACCACGTCGATGAAAGTTGGATGATGGTCTAACATGTTTTAACCAATAATAAGATAAAATAAATTTTCACATCCTTTCTCTCTTTTGCGACCCCTACACTATCTACCATAACGGGCTTTTTTTCTTCTTGTCTTTCCCAAACCAAAATGCCAGCAAACGATAATGACGATAAAAATAAGTACGACACAGTTAAAGTTCCACTGGTAATACGCAATTGGATGAACTGCAATGAAAACATGTGCATCAAAGTATGCAAAAGGCCACACAATGAACGACCGGATGACAACAACAATACCAACAATACCGATCCACCGCCGCAGCCTTTAAAATGCGACATTGTTTGTCTGGTACGAGCAACAGAACCAACGCCAAGGCAGTGGAATCCTCTACGTAATTATGCCATTTCCGTGAAAAGCGCTGGTATGTTTAATAGTCTGAAAAAAAATCAACCGAGCGTAGTGCTAAGAAGCAAGTTTCGATATAGATTCACCGAGGCAAGTTTCTGTGTAATAATTACTGTTTCCTTAAATTCGCAAATACAAAAACTAAGCAACATCTGGGAAAACGAAAAAAAGGCCCGAGTCAGATTATCAAGTCGATCTCGGTGAACAGTTGGATCGTGTGAAAAGACAAGCAGGCCATGTTGCTCAAGTATCCTATGAGGCATCGAAAGGCTACATTGACTCATGGAAGGATGGAACACAGGCTTCATTTTTCCGACGAGTATATGAAATCGGCACAGACAAGGATCAGTTGCAGATGTTGCGTGATCACGCAAAGAAAACGATTGATATCTTTTGGAATGGAGGGGATGGAAGCAAGAAAAAGAAGGACAACGATAACAATAATGAAAAAGATGATAAAAATGACAAAGATAACAAAGATAACTAGCCTACTACTGCTACTGCTGCTGCTGCTGCTATTACTATTACTACTATTAGTATTGTCGTACTATGGGTATTTTTGGTCGTGTATGTGTATGTGTGTAAAGTCTTTTTATGATTGGGCAGCAATAGCACAAGAGGGTGTTGGTGTGGCTGGCTCGACCTTGCCGTCGGGATCTTCGACAAGTATGCTAGGGACTGAGGATGGTGGCGTCGTCGTCGTCGTAGTCGTCGTCGTTGAGGTGCCGGTAGATGATGTAGAGGATGAACGGTTTTTCTTTTGACGGAGCTCGCGCATACAATCTTGCCGCACGGCCTGAAACGCATTCAGGTACGTGACAAGCATGTGATCCTCAAGACAAGTCTTGGATATCAGCAGCTCTTCGGATATCATTGGTGAGCTCTTATGCAAGGTAAATGCGGTTGTTGTTGTTTCAGATGATGATAATGTGGATGATGACGATGTTGTTGTTGTTGTAGAGCCAGATCGTTTTCGAAGAGCTGGCTCAGAATGACTGGTCGGAAAGGCAGCGTTGGAAGACAAATGTTCGCTTTTGCGTCGTCGCTGGTGATCAAAGGATGAGGAGGAGAATCGAGGTTTTGTTGTGTCATTGCTGCTGTTCTTTGTTGCAGAAGAAGAAGAGTCTTGTGGTCGTCGACGAAACTGATATACTTGACCAGGAACATAGAGTAAAGGGTAACGTGGCTCGGTCGTGTTGAAGATTTCTTGTCGTCGTGCTTCAATGATATCAAAGCAAGCCTTACGCGCCTCTTTATCTGAGTTGAGCTTGCTACTGCCGCCCATGCCATCGACGGCAATCATAGCGTCCATAATGAGCTCCTTGGCGCAGCTGGCTGTACCGTACGAAAGTCGCGCGACCAAATCGTCGTGGCATACAAAGCTGTCAATATGGTCTGCGTATTTCTCGCTGAGGTTCATGGAAACGGACGCAACAGGAGCATAGCTGTAGCAATGTACTTGGAAATTTGGATTATCTGCCAGACGACGCAATTCAGGCAAGTGATCCAATACCATCATGGTCAACAAGGCGGCTGTTCCTGCGCCCAGGGAATGGCCAGTGATGATGAAGGATGAAATGGGCCGGGTTACGGATTTGCACTGTTCGTGAACATAATGGAAGATCTGTGGTATGATCCGTGTGAAAAACCACTGTGCAGATGCAAGCATCCCTGCATGTACTAGTCCCCCCTTCCAAGGGCGATACTCGCACACCAGATCCGTGATGCAGTCGTACAAGCTCCAGGTTCCCCGGATACCGAGAACAATGGCCTCATAGCCACGGTCAATGGACACAAAATAGCTGGGCTGGAACACAGCGCCCTTGCGCAGGCCGTATTCGTAGCCCAACAGGTCTTCAGTTGGGATCTTGAGATAGCGGACGATGGCCTCCTTGTTGTTACGCGTTTTCATGACATCTGGTGAAGTGGGAGAAGGTGAGACAAGGAGCGGATTTCTCTCACTCTCGTGTTTGTTTTGTTGATGAGGTGTCACAAACCTTTCAGATATTTTGCATAATCTCCAAGGTAGGACAAGCCGCGCCAGCCCTATTAATTTGGCTATACTTATTAGAACAGGCCCCGACAAATTACCTCTTTAACTTGAAACACCTACATAAGCAATGATCGCATGTCCTAAGAAATAATTCGCCTTATCGAGGAAACGAAGATCCGTTATCTTTTCAGCGGGTGGTGACCTGTACAAGTACATGATATCCTTTTTTTCGGTTGGCGTTACTTTTTCCTTTTTATCATGTTGGTGGGAGCATCACTAATACAACCAGACAGCTATACTAACCGGGGAATGTCGACATAGAAGTTTTGCAAGAATGAAAGACATGACAGCAGCTGCAATCCCGTGATTCTGAACCCCTGGCCCTAATATAACACGTACTTCTTGTGAGGAAAATAGACGGGATGTAAAACTGGATGGTAATTTGAAACACATACAAAGCCTGTAAAGATCTTTACTACTGCACGGACAAGGATGCGAGTCTGGGGACTGACAACAAAGCCGATCATGCGGTCCAGACTCGGGTGTGCCAAGGCAACTTCTTCAAACGACTCATTGATCCAGCGAAATGCGAAATTTTTATCACCGAAATTGTTGCTTTGTATACTCGATTCCGAGTTCTTTCTTCGCACAGTGCGGCTCCTGTTTTCCATGTCCGAACGCGAAAACCCAAACCCACCGTCGTCGTTACTAATGTGGGTCCTGCTGCTGCTGTTGCTAGGTTCCGTTTTCATCCGCCGCGTGCTTTCTGTTCTGCGGGCCAGTTTGTTCTGGAGCTGCTCGACAAAGACTCGATCCACGATCGATTGGCTGGCTACTGTTGGATTTGCTTTGGGTGTCGTCAGTGAAGGAGGTACTTGCGCAAGATCGTCAATGTATACAAGTTTCGGCTCGACTGCGTCATGGAATTCGTCTAGACGATGGTTGTTGCCGCTGTTGCTGCGAGGTCGACGGCGTTCTCTACTCGTAGTGTTGTCACCATTGTCATTATCAACATCGTCGTTGTTGTCGTCGCTGGTTTCGTCTCGAGTACTACTATGATCGGTGTTGTGTCCGCTACCCCTGCTGACGGTGGTATTGGTAGTCGTGACGCTGCTGAGAGTGACCTGGCTGTTAGCGCTGCCTTTGCTCTTGCCGCTATGAGAGGATGCGAGCGTGCTCCGATCCATGTAGCTGCTAACGAAACTGTGGGTATCAGAAGAATCTTTGTAGACGGGGGATAGCATTTCGTGCGAGAAAGCGTCGGGCGGCGTTTGATAGTCATAGCGGACGCGGACTTGGATAGAACCAATAAGTGGAGTCATGGAATGTTTGCGGTGGCTAGGATGCTGTTCCTGATACGGTGTCTGCTCCTGTGTCCGGAAGCGAGGCATGTGCGTCTTCAAAAACGTGTGTGGCAGTGGGATATGGGCCGGCAAATAGCGCCGGGTATGGTATTCGTACATGGGTAGAAAACTACATAGAAGGGGGGGGGAGCGGCAGATAATTGGATCAATGTATTGATGCATGAGCATGTATGTCCACATATTGTGTGATTAAACTGATCGTCTTACGTGAGAAAGACTTCTGGGCGTCCGTTGAGTGATGATATTCGTAGCTTGGCTTTTCCGATATGACGAGTCTTGGAGCGCCATCCTTTACGTTTATCAAACAAGTCCAGCTTGTTGTTTTGAACAGAAAAGTGTCAGAGCTTTGCATGATTGTTTTGGCTGGTAGCTTCTACATCTCACCTCAATCGTGTCAAAAAGCTGGTTATGGAAGGAGATGGTGAATAGGAACCCCTCGTTCCAGTTTCCGCTCGTCTGCTTCGAGCGTGTTGAGAAATATCGTTGTGGACCCATTCGAAGTCGTATGAACGGGCGTTTGACAGTGACATCGGATCGTACATTGAGCAAATCGATCTGATAGAGTAATAATAACACCATGTGCCCAATTAAATTTCACATTCATTTTCATAGTAGAGGGTTTATCTGAAACACACTACTGTTCTTTCTTTTGCTGCTTTACCTGCAGCTTTCCTGGAGGAAGCGTGTTGACCTGCAACACTTCACGACGGTCCCATTCTTGCCTCAATTCCGTTAGATCGGGTAATGACAGTCGTCGTGAAGGTAATGTGATTTTAGGATGGACATGCACCCCTGAGGTATCCGAATGGGATCGTTCGCAGCCTGCACGGGGTAGTGGCGGTTTCAGGTGTTGTTGTTGTTGTTGTTGTTGCTGTTGTTGCTTTTGTAAAACAGTGGCCGATCGTGTAGGCGCAAATGACTCAGGGAGGACCATGGTGGTGTAGTGTTGTCGTGGTCGTCGTTGTTGCCAAAGGCGGTTGCTTTCCTTTATGTTATTGTTGTCTTTCTTTCTTTCTCCAAGCGCCCGTTCAAATATCTATGAAGAGAAGGCCAGACCACAACCCCCCTCAAGTAGGCAGCTGATCAAACAAGTAAAGAGAGAGTGAGAGAGAGAGAGAGTAAAGAGAGGAGACGGGGTTTGGGAGAAAGAGGGAAACAAGAAAAAAGGCAAAAGAAGTTGCACCCTGATGGATCCCCTAAAAGGATATCCGCACGTGTCCCTTTGATTTGGATCGGCATCGCTCTCCGAGAGGGAGAGACAGACAAAGAGCCAAAGCGAGGGAGGGAAAGTTCAACCCAACGTGCGGATCAATGACGTTGTTTATGCGATCCAAAGTAGACATGCTTCTTCTATTATTACACGTGAAGAGATTCACTCATCCTCTCTACTATGCATCCATATTACTAATGGCCACTAAACATAGGCTTTCATTCTCTGCGGATATTCGGCACAACTTGACTATGATGATTCCAAGCCATGCATGGATTTCCTACAACCTTCTGTGAGGAGGACACAGTAGTAGTCGTCGTAGCCACTCTACTACAACTAGCTCTCGCTGCTGCTGTCAATTAGGATCGTTGACCTGTCTGTTTCCTGGTTTTAAAACAAAAGCCTATGTTTGTTGTGATCCAGACACTTGATAGACTAGGAGTGTTAGCCCCGGTTGAGGTCGAAAAAAGAGATTAGAGACGAGCGTAAACTGGAATTGATTGAATATATATCAACAGATCAGGCAAAGTGCCCTTTTTTTCTGCTCCATCGTTTCATATTACCAACAACGAGTATGTGACGGAGAGACAAAAAGCAAACACTCTTTACATATATGTAAAGGGGCTCCCTCGGTAAAGGAAATCGTGTGTTATTTGTATTTAAAAGATTAGCCCGGATGCTATTTTACAATACGCCTAGCGTACTATACAATAATAGCGACAGCAGTATGACATGTAGCAACAGTAGCAGTTGAGAGTGATTTCTACAGCTCAGATACTAGTCGTTAGTGAATGACAAAAGTCTAGTCGTTGTACGAGTCCTGTTACTGCTATAGCTAAAACCGGTAGCAAACTTGGGGCAATAATAACACAGACTGTTATGACCAAAGTCTCACGCAATTTGAGAACAAAAGAACAAGATGTGTAATGAAACAGTTGTATATCATGTGCCAACCCCTTTGCGGCGGACAAAGCTGTTGTTGTGACCGACTTCATACACTCTTTTTCTCTGGCCGTCTTGGTTTCGTTCCGCCGACGACCACCAAAACGTTTGATAACATCAACTTGATTCAAGGAAGCCAAGTGACACGAAAGTAGCAACAGCGCAAGCAGGTTGCATTATAGTTTCTCACGATCTATAGGCGTCTCGGATTCGCTATTTCGGCTAAGCCCAATGAACATGCTGCAAAAGTGGGATACCCTTGGCTATAAATAAAGTAATATGTTTGTTATTGCAGGATTGAATCTCGCTCCCAATTATATAGCTATTTAGCTATTCTCGTTCCGCTTAAAAAGAAGTTTGTATACATATCATCAACGGGAAGGATTTTAACAATACGCACCTAATCTGACGAGAACCTCCCTGCTGTTGCGACTTTCGTACATACCCAAAAGTTGTGGTGGTCATCTAAGCGAAAAGGGTGTATTACTTCATCACGGCCAAAAAGTTCAGCTCATTTATGCAAACCTTAATGAAAACATGCTGCCAAAGTCTAGTCATGCGGGCGTATACAAAAAACGTGTCCATTAGCACCAAATCGTGCATACTTTTAGTGCATGTAGTTATCCACGCTTGCACACTTTTCGTAGTAAGCGTTTATATGTGCGATATAGTAATGCAGGATGCACGTAATCTTGTGTTTGCTATTTTCTGTCAGCAGCGATATATTATTGTGGTGAATTAATATAGCTGGTGTCTGAATCGGTGAAGGTTCATCAATCATTTGTAATGCTGCTGATGGTTGACGTCAAAAAGCGTGCCATCTTGCAACTCATAGACAGACACATGAAAATAAAAACCCCACAAACCCAGCCTTGAGCCTTTCAAAACACTGTGCATTGCCCATTACACTCGAATAATAACTGTTTCGACTCGATCACGAATAGTATTTCATTTATTTACAACATGAGGATAGGACGGCGTACATTGCACGAGATATATATTATAATATTTACAAAATGTTGACGTTGCCCAAGTCCTTGCATGCCTGTTGGACACGCGCAATCATGGTCTTTTCGGACTCACGAACCCAGACTCTGTTGAGAACAAATTGAGAATGTTAGGCATACATAATTTTCACATAGATCATAATGACCAGCACAGAAAGAAAAAGAAGGTATAAAGAGATGTTACCTAGGATCGTAGACCTTCTTGTTAGGCTTGTTGGCGCCTTCGGGGTTACCGACCTGGGTCTGGAGGTAATCCTTCTTGGCTTCGTAGAAGTCACGGAGACCGATCCAGTAAGCCCACTGGGTATCAGTGTCAACGTTCATCTTGACAACGCCGTTGTTGACAGCAGTAGCAATTTCCTGCTCAGACGAGCCAGAGCCACCGTGGAAGACAAAGAAGACGGGCTTGGGGTTCTCGCTCTTGAGCTGTTCAGTGACATAAGCCTGGTGCTTCTCCAACAATTCGGGGTGAAGTTTGACGTTGCCAGGGGCATAGACACCGTGAACGTTACCGAAAGCAGCGGCAATGGAGAACAAGTCAGTGACCTCGCTGAAGGCCTTGTAGATGTCCCAGATATCTTCGGGTTGGGTGTAAAGGGAAGCGTTATCGACATCTTCGTTGTTGACACCGTCTTCCTCACCACCAGTGATACCAATCTCCATCTCCAACAAGCAGCCCATGGGTGCCATGCGCTTCAAGTACTTCAAGCAGATTTCAATGTTCTCCTCCTTGGGCTCTTCGGAAAGATCCAACATGTGCGACGAGAAGAGAGGCTCGCCGTTGGCCTTGAAGTATTCTTCATCGGCGGCAACCATGCCGTCGAACCAAGGAATGAGCTTCTTGGCACAGTGGTCAGAGTGGATGATGACGGGAATGCCATAGGCCTTGGCAACAGTGCGGACGTACTAAATATACAATGTTTTTTAGGGATCAGGGTTAGAAAACAACAAAGGTTGAGCTTATTCTTGAAATAAACTATTATTTTCATACCTGAGCACCAGCAACGGCACCAATGATGGAAGCTTCCTGGTTCTTGTTGCTCAAGCCCTTGCCAGCAATGAAAGCAGAGCCACCGTTGGAGAACTGGATGATGATGGGCGACTTGAGGTCACGAGCGGCTTCAAGAGCAGCATTGATGGTGCTAATGATAAACAAATAAAAGTCAGACAAAATTCCGGCGCGCGCGCGTGTGTATGTGTGTGCATGTCATATGCCGTGTTGGTGAAGGGGATTTTGATAGAGGGGGCGGGCAAGAAGAGTTTTTTTTCCAAAACGATCAAACAATCAACGGAGTGTTCGGTATTTTTCCCGTTAATCTCCCGCGTTTTCCCTTTTTTCCATTCCATGCTTGTTCCTTCTTTGCATATATCACAACCTTGTGCTGCTAATGCACAAAAACATGCTTCTTACCTGGTCGAAGTGCAGTTGATGGCGGGAATAGCGAACTTGTGCTCGCGGGCTAGGTATATGCAGGTGGATTAGTTTCGAGCACATCTTACAGATACAGAAGTTGAGGTGTATTGCAACCCGTACCGTATTCAAAAAGCTTGCGAAGGTTATCGCCAGTAACGACACCAGCAGGAACAACGTCGAGGAGACCCATGATTTTATAGAAGAAAAAAGTACGTGGAAGAGAAAGTAAAGGGAAAAAAAAGAAGAAAGGAAAAAAGAAAGGATCCCATGGTGGCCGGTCCTTTTATATTAGATAATGTGGCGGTGGTGCATGGTACCCAAACAAACAACAACAGCAGCAACAACAACAACCAGGACTGACTGTCGCGTTGTGAAATTCAATGATATTGCATCATTCCCCCACTGTCACTTGAGATGCCGAAAGGCCCACTCCGATTTCTAAAGATCAAATAGATGGGGGTAGGCACGGCACTGATGGTTGAGCGATAAACCCTCTCTCTCTCTCTCTGAGTATAAGGATTGGTCCCATCGTACCCATATCACTATACTTTATCAACACTGTTGTCTGCTGGTTTTTATTTTCTACTGATCTCTCGGTGATACGTTGATATGCGATATCCGGAACACCTGGAGCTTATTTCTGGATATTGTGTCACTTTGGCCTTCTTCCTGCGTTTTTCCGTTGCCACGTTTGTTGTTGTTGTTGTTGTTGTTGTCATGGAGATCATCTTTTTGTCTCTCTATGGTTACTATGTCCTAATTTTTTTATAGCTAGGCAATAACACTTGAATTATGCTGATAATATGATAACAAGTTTATTATTTAGATTCAACATCTCCATTATAGATACAGATTTAACTATCCTTTAAGATGCGAAACTTTGGACTGGGTCCATCGTGAAGGCTTTAGAGTAGGATTTGCTGGTGACATGAAGAAGAGTGGATCCTGAATTCCCATTTTTGGACAAGGTATAAGATCCCTCGCCGGTTTTTGGCTGGGAAGTGCGGGCAGAGGTGAAAATTTAAATCACGCAATTTTTTAAACAAACCGTGAAGAGTTGAGGATAAAACAATCAACCACTACCCACAACGCATGCTGTGCTTCCGGAAACATTGTCTAGATGGGCTACAAAAGACAGTTGTGTACTCGTTAATATGCTTCGGAACAAACAATCGAAGGTTCTCTAGCGAATATTCTTTAGCAAACAATTGATTCATCAATCTTCGGCGAGGCATATTTTTTTTCGTGATAAATCATTACACCGAAAATCTTGGAAATCTGCAGGCCAATCTATTGATATTATTTATACTCCATGCAACGTATCTCTTTCTGGATTGCCAAAGGTCAAATTCAGTGACACTGCCGAACAGGAACGACAAGTGGTCATTTTCAAACTCATACTGGTTGTCATACAAAGTGCGTAGAGCACATACAGTAATAGCCAGACACGAACGAGGCTCCCTTTCTCTTTTTTACTCTCCTACTTCCAATGTATAAATGGATGGCCCAGTGGCTCATCAATTTCAGAGCCCAGACTACCAGTATAACATCAACAGTCCACCATGGCGAAAACTTCTATGGGTAAAACAAAACTATCCAGACAACTATGTCGACAGTACCTTTCTCGACGAGCTGCAGAAGAACGGTATAGATGACCACGTATTTTTATTTTATGCAAACCAGAAAGTGGAGAAGGAGAGAAATCGCGAATGATGAAAGAAAGCTGAATTTGCTGTTGTCATTATAGTTAATGTTCATACGTACGATTATTGGAAAATGGTGTATGAGTCAGGCGTTATTACACAACACATTAGCAGTGTGGTGATTTTTGTTGCCATATTCATCTATCTGCAAGTGGGCACGTTGGCAGTTACCCATTTAATCTGGACGGGTTCGTTATTGACTGGTGTTGGTTATGTGTTTTGCGATCTGGTCATGACGCGTCGACACCATGCTATTGAACGTAAGAACCCTTTCGTTACCTCAAAAATAGTGTTTATTTGTTTTACACACGTTTTATTAGAGTGTTATACTAACTACGCATCATACTAAAAGGAAAACGCGTTGTTAAGAGCGCCATATTCTTCTTTTCAACGCTCTTGGGACTATCACCGATTCTTAAAACATTGACGAGTCAAACAAGTGACGACACAATCTGGGCATTGACTGTATGCTGTTTTCTTGCCAATGTTCTTTTCCATGACTATGTCTCTCAAAGCAGAGCACGCGTAAAGTAAGTGGGTTGCGACACAAAAAAGAGAAATACTCAAACAAAAGATAGAGCAGTGGTGGCAGCAGTCAAGCTTTTGGAAAATGTTCTTAAATGCTATATCTTCTTTTAGGATACCAGGCTCATTATCGACGAATGCAGCAATTTTTGGCTCTACTCTGCTTGCATCTCGTTTTGATACCAATTTGGATGTATTTGGACTTTTATCCTTTGCTGTTGAGTGGTTTGCTTTATTTCCTATCCTTCGACGTTACCTACAGGTACAAGGAAAAATTGCGGGGTCCGCGGATAAAACGATTCGAAACCCTATAATGGCATTGGAGCCAGATGTTTGGGTGGATTGATCGGAGGAGAATGATGAGCAAAAGGAGGGGGAAATGACTTTCTTCTTACTAACCGCACGAATACATTTATGAATGTTGTTAATGTAGGAATTAAGTCCTAAAGTACAAGTAACTCTTACCATCTTAATGCTGCTCGTATCAGTTGCCATGTTTCTTCGAATATCAAGAGCGATTGTATTCCTTTACATGCTAGGCTTCTGTTTCATCACGTTTATTTGTCCTTACTGGCTTATATTTATACAAAAGTACAAAAAGTAAGTTCAGTCGGTCGCTTGATCGGTGACGGATTGGGGGCTAGGGAAGAGAGAGAGAGAGAGGCCCGTGCTTTTTCTTGTCTTTTTAGCATTTGAAACCGACGAAAATAGGTTTTTAAACTTACAAAAACTTTATTATATATTTAGTGAGATCCACGGTCCATGGGATGAAGCAAGACCTCGCCTTCAAAAGTCCAAAAGGAATTTCTTTAAAAAACGACCTGCATAAGCTGCAAGCGTAGTCAATATGTGTCTTTTTCTCGTTTTCTTTAATAATGATAGTTAATAGTAGTTAATACTGGTAATAATAGTAATGAACAATAAAACACGCTAGTTAAAAAAAAAGGTGCAACAAAAATGTCAGAAATGGATGGATGAATAAAGTTTGGCTCGATGGTATCTTGAGTGAAGAGCGAGAGAGAGAGGAGTAATGTAGAGAGGAAGAAGAAGAAAAAGACATATTGAGAATGGTGTAGCGTTTATAGCACCTCTTTTCTCCCTATTTTATGGGCTTCTGGGGTTGTGGATTGGGTTTTGGGAAAACATACTGTGAAGAAGGACAACGGATGATACAGGCTTTTTGTGAGTTATTCTTTTTGCGCGGGTATAATAATATGCACAATGCAATTGAAATAGTGTAGAGGAAGAATTGAAAGGTGGATAGACAGAGATCATAAAGAAATCACAATACAAAAAAGCAAAAAAGAGACATAATTGGGTTGGTGTAGATGTTTAACAAAAAATAGGTGGGTAGGTGCGCGTGGATACTGGAAGTAGAAGAAGGCTCGTAATACATGATACAAAGTTATTTGATCACAATGGAAAAGAACGGTTGGAAGAGGCAGCTGTTGTTGTCGTCGGCGTCGTCATTGTCGTCGCAGGGGTGAATTTTTCCGGCTTATTATAAACATGACACTAAACTCTATCTTTTAGCTCATTATACATTTACACAAAAAGAGAAAGGGCCTTAAATCTCCATGCATAGAGTATGTATCTTTACCTTGTGTGCATGCTTGTACCATAGCAGGCTGTTCTTTTGTCGCTTGCCATTGCAAATGGGTACAAAATATCCACATTGATGACAAAGACCTTCAATCACACCTTCGTTGCTTAGTCGTTGCTCCAATGGCTCGTAAAAGCGCTTTCCAGAAACAGACGAGATACCATGGTAAAACTGCTTGTGGTACCAATAAGCGCTGTTCTTGAGCTGCAGCCATCGGCCACAGGTATCACAATATCCTTCCTTGAGATGGCCAGAGAAACGGACCCATTTCGGGTTGTACTCGTCTTGTTTGTACCTAGGCTTTTGTAACCGCGGTAACGCTTCGGGGTCTTCTTCCACCAACTGCCAGTCGACTGCTGGGGCAAAAGTATCAATGTTCCACAGCTGTTGTTGCTGTAACTGTTGTTGTTCAAATACGGCGCTCATGGATTTGATGCGTTTACGTTCAGTTGGTCTGATGCTATTACTGTCGTTGAAGCGCAATGTTGAGGACGACGAGTTACTGCTTCTACTACTGCTACTGCTGCTGCTGATACCAGTATTAGAACCAGAACTTAGAGTAGGGCCACTAGCGCGCATTCCCAGGAAGGGCATAAGTGGCTCACTGAGACTGGGCGCAACCACGAGACTCTTGTTGTTGTTTGGCGAAGCATCAGGGTACATATCTTCGGGACGCGCGGTAACACGGCTGCAGCCAGAAGAAAGCATGTCGATACAGTCTTGAAGGGTATCATCAAACGTGGTCGTTGGTGCGCTATGTGCCGATGCTGGTGCGCTGTCGTGTTGCTGTTGCGTAGCAGTAACATTAGCACCAGTAAACCATGGCTCAATATCTTGCATCAAGTCTAATGTTGTAATATCATAAGTGGTACGTATTAGTTTACCCGCTGCTGCCCTTACTTTTTTATCTCTTTATTTGTGTATGCTAAGTGAATGCATATGAAAAAAATTTCACACTGCACTTGCCTTGCTTTAAAAAAGGCTGCTGTTGCTGTTGCTGTATTGCCGTTAATGGAGCTGTGGTCATGTTGCTTGCTAAGTAGACATAGTTACTGCTAACTATTGGTATTGCTGCTGTAGTAGTAGTAGCTGTGGCGTCTACTATATCTGCTGCTTGCTGCTGCTGCTGCTGCGTTGCTGCCGCTGCAAGACCGTCGTATCCAAAAATAGGCTGCACCGTGCGCGTGCATATCGAGCCCAATGCTTGTTGCTGTTGCGCGGTATATATATTCAAAGGATCAGGTGTTACTGTAGTGTTCCATTGCTCCAACTGTTGTTGTTGTTGTTGCTGCTGCTGCTGCTGCTGCTGATGGTGTTGTTGTTGTTGGGGCAAGTCTTCTACCAGTACGGGTATATTGGTAAACGGGTAGTAATAGACCTTACTACTGGTGGAGGTATTGGGGAAATGTGTAGTATCAGCAGTTGTAAAGGTAGCCATCATCAAATGTGTATGTGGTGTACTGTCAGGTAAAAAAAATGAGCAAGAAAAAAAGAAAAAGAAGAAAAAGAGAAATGGGATTACAAAATATGAAGCCTTGTAGATCGTTATATATAAGAGAACAACCTCCGCTCGAGTTGATCAACGGATATAGCGCGTAGGTCACGCGGAGATACCTAATAACCGATGATGATGCGTGCGCGGGCCAGGAGAGGGAGCGAAACGATGTGTGTAGAATGGGAGGAGAGAAGTGTGTTTGTTGTATGATGTATACCTTTAGGTTCTGCTGCTGTCAAACAAGTATTAGTTCCCGGGGGGGGGGAGAGGAGAGCAGGCGTGATGCGTGGTTTCGTGTTAATCTATAGTAAGAGTAATACGGAAGATGGGGGAGGAGAGAACGGATAGAGCGACAACAACGACGTTCGTGCCATCTTCTATAAAAAAAACCACCCCGTGGTCTTTCATAAAGTTTCGGGATTGATTCGTGTTTAGTCAAATATCACGCATGGTTGGACCAAGTAAAGGAAGCGTGTGGGGGACAGAACCGGGAAGAGCGACGCATAGCAAACACAGTGGAAAGAATCAAAGGGGAAAGGTGGGAGCGCATGCACTACCATGCTGCAGTAGTAACAGCATCATCCATCCATTCGTCCGTTCGTCCGCCCAAAAGAATAACGTTCGCGCCCTTCTGATGACAATGGACCCTGAAAGGCGACACAGAACATAAATCCAATTGCATGATCACCGCATGGATTTTACCTTCTATCGCCACCGACCGAAGTGAGGGAGTGTGAGTGCAAAGATATTTTGGGGGAGAGCATGCACGCATACTACACACCTGCCGCGACTAACGCTGTGCATACTCCACCACTGCTGCTACTAGTACGACAAAAAGTATAAGGTATCACCAACACTATATTTAGTAAGCAACAGTATCAGCCAGAAACCAGCACCAGAGTTCGTCGTTCTCTTTGCTACCACCCAACTAGACCGCCAGTAAGTGCTCAATAGCTGCGACATTGACTTAGCAATCGCCAAAATGCCAAAAAGCAAAAGTGGGCTTGGGTGGGGGGTTTAATGGGGTGCGTTTAGTAAAAGAATCGACATGGAAAAAAGTATAAGAAACTCTTTTTGCTGGTTGTGCACCATCACCCAAAAAGTTGGGTAGCACAAGTGATGAGCACGGACATGTACACAAGCGAACACAAGCGTCGCTCTCTCTCTCTCTCTCTTGTTTCTATCTGCTGCACTTGCAACATGCGACTCCCACTTGCTTACGCTGAACCGCGTGTTTTTCCTTTGCAAGAAAACAGAACAGCGTGTAGAAGCAGAACAAACGGTCTAGCCCGTGATTTCTTCCTTCGCTCTCTTTTATTGCGCTCTCCTGGTTCTCTTTTTTACTCTCTCATATGGTTTATCAGTGTTGTTTTCCTATATCTTAACAGAGAGTGTGTGCAGGGGGACCATCGATCTCGTAACTTTAATTAAAGGGACCCTTTTTGCCACCGATTGATCTTCTGTTGCATTTTACTTTCTTCACCCCGCTTTCAAATAATGCTAAACTCACCCCTTTCAAGTTTTATTACATTTTCTGGCCAACTGTTACGTATTCGAAGTACTGCTGCTTTTTTTTCTCATTTTCTTTTCTGAGTGTTTGTGTGCAAAAAAAGAAAAAAAGATTTTTAAAGTTCATCAAAAATTGTGTTCTTGTGTAAAGGTCTCTAATCCTTGAATGTTCATGATCAGCTCGTACAGCCTGCTAATTTTGGTTTGGTAGCGTTGCAGTCCCCTTTTTCTTCGCTTCAATTCGTATTATCATTATTAATATTATTGTTATTATTACAAGCCTTCTGCACCTACGCACCTTCGGTCTTGAGTCAACTTTTTTAAGGCTGGAAAGTAGTCCAAAGAATTATTAGAATAGCCTATACATATTAGTACTATACACTTGTCAGAAGGGAAAATTACTTAGGTATTAAACATACCGTGTACTGTGAAGTTAAAGTTGTATACATCTATCTGTAAAAAAGGCAGCATATTGCGTTATCAAAGCAATGTGAAGTTTTTGAAGTCATCAATAGATCTCTTGATGCATAGATAGGTATCGAATAGGTGAGGCTACCATCTTTTACTTTCATGGCGGTCTTACTGAGAAGCTGTGAATATCGCTTCTAAATGTTCTAATAATATGCGATTTGTAAATCCCATGATTCTGGATGTATAAATTTTTGTGTGTTTGATTTACAAAGAGAGCTGCTGGTTACAGCACTTATTACTACACAGCTAACAAGACAGTTAGACAGCATCTTTTGTTATATACTTGCATATAAAAGTGCACACAGCCACCCAACTTGTAGATCCATAACATAGGGCTGTATAAGTTGCGTAAGGTGATTACTTCTAAAAGAGTTTCTTTGCTACTGACAAGTGGTATACTGCTATTCCTTTTGTGCCAATAGCCGCACTTCTTAATGTAATGAAAGCCGCCATTGTCTAAGAAAGTCACCAAAGCTGCTGAAGAAATGCTAATAATTGAATACTCATATAATTAGGCAGACTTATTTATGCTCTCCAAGCGTCTTTCTGTCCGATGTTTGATCCACCAGTCTTCTGCTAAGTGTTCCCCTATATTATTGTAGCAATAATTTTCACCTTCAAAACGTTTAAAACCTTTGCTTGTATGCGTTGGCAAATCATACATACAGTAAGGAAAATGTAGCGCTTCACATCATCGATATACTTACTTCAGTTTTATAGGCAAAACTATGCCAAGTTTCAACTGAGTATCCGAATCCGTTGGTCTAAAATGGTAGCATACACTGACGCTTCTAAGTAATGTACAAACATATAATGATGGATTGCCACTTAACTGAAGTTGACACCGAAAGAAAAACATCTAAACTTTTCGCTTGATGTGTAGAGGAAGAGCTGTAGTCCCAACAAGACATTTCGTACGAGTAGCAGCTCGACGAAATTATGCGTGATAACTTCGCATCATTTCGCGTTGACAGTACCTTGCCAGGTACATCGACCATATACAATTTGCTCATAAATAATCAAGCTCGAATGTAACAACTTCAAGTCCTTTACAAATATATACGTTTTTTGTGTGCCCTTGCCAACCAAGATCTCATATTTAGAGCCATTAGCAAAATGCCAAAACAATTTAGAGGTATCATGCTACTAGTCTGGCGGCATGGTTGTGTCGAGACTAATTCTCGAGCGCTTGAAGCATATTGACAGTAGAACGCACATATTATTTTTGTAAGTGCTGGTCCTTGGACTTAGAGTATTTTTGACAGTTTCTAAGAGAAATGCACTTGCACGTGTCAATGAGCGACACGGAAGAAGCAAAAAGAGGAGTTGATTGATATATAAAGAATTATCCCTTGCTGTAGCAAAGCGACACAAAAGCACATCAACAGATCTAGACTGGCAAAGCATTGTTGCTCACCTACTCTGTTACTACTTCAGTATCGTTAACATTCTTTAGCTTGGACGATGGTATATAAACGATTGCTTTTTTTTTGTTTAATAATTAAGATAATGTTGGGGCAGAAGGAGAGAGATGATATGTACAATGCGAGTTTAGACTAAAGTACAGAGGAAAAGTATTTCTTGGTGTTCTGTTGAAAGCTGGGAAGGAGCTGTTATTAAGAAAATATAGCCGACAACAAGATATTTGGGGTGGTCAATGCAGTTGCGAAATTTTGGAGATGCTAGAGATGGGCACGTTATTTCTTCTTGTTTCTGTTGTATACTATGTGGTAAAATGAGAATATCGGTGCTACTAATAAAGATGGCATGGGAGGTATTTCTTGGATGTTGCTTGCTTGATGGGGAAATATAGTATGTACAAAAAAATCATTGGAGGTATCGAGTGTCAAGACCATCTGCAAAGTCCATTACTAGAATCTTGCAGTCTTGTCGGGTGCTAATAATATAATTACAGCTCATTAATGAATATATGAAAAAGAAAACCATTCGAAAATCGAAGAAAGGGTTGTCTATTTACCTAATGATACGATTCTTGTCGAATTGAACGTTGAAGATACGGCTAGTGGATTGAGTACTTTGAAATTCCAACAGACATTTACCAGTGCTATAATATAACGTTTTTGACCGCCGTTTTGTTAGCAATTTGGGTCCGTACGATCGCATCATGCCCGTCAATGCGCATAGTAATATGACGTTTGATATTTACCTCATATCCCATACACGGATGCTATGGTCATAACCGGCGCTCACAATCTTGTTGTTAGCGAATTGGAGTGTTCGTATGAGATCGGTATGACCTATTTAATTTAAAACAGAATGGTAGAATTAGCTCAAAAGTCTTTTTTAAATAAGGATTTGATGAAAATTGATATTTACCCATCAGTGTCATTGTATTCTTTCCAGTCTATTATTGAATAATAATAATCATGAGTTATTAGAATGATGACGTCAGCTACACATACCACAACACACATGCAAGCATAGTAATAACTACAACATACCTCTGCATCCCAGACTTTAATAGTGCGGTCATTCGACCCACTTACAATAGTTTTGCCGTCATAACGAACACAGGCCACCCCATGCATATGACCAACAAACTGGCGAATGCACGTGCCAGTCGTGATGTTCCACATACGAATGGTTGCATCTCCCGACGCAGAAATGATCTGATCGCCGTACAAACAGACGCTGTTCACAGGGCCACGGTGTCCATGGATCACTCGGACAAGCTCACCGCTGCGAATATCCCATACCCGGATAGTAGTGTCTTTAGAGCCACTTACGATATAGCGGTCATCAAAGCAAATATCCAGTACGCCACCTTCGTGTCCCTGACACATTGTCAAGAATGAGACGTGAGTTTATTACTTCGCCTTCTCCAACCCCCCTACTTTTTTGCGCGCATACAACAACTGTAGTAGTAATAGTAGTGCTTACATTGAGTTGTCGAACCATTTGTTTTGTTTGCATATCCCATACGATTAAGCTTGAATCGGATGATCCAGAAACCATCAAATCTTTGTTGTACTTTAAGCAAAGGACACTGCCCTTATGGCCCTGAAGCGTATCAAAACATTGGTAGGTTTTCAGGTCCCAGAGCTTGATCGTCCGATCCCGGCTTCCAGTAATGAGTTTGTCGTCGTCGAATTGGAGACAATAGACGCCTTGTTGATGACCCATGATAAAGTGTGATGTGACTTGGCCCATTGTCCATCGTTTTAAGAGCTGATACTTTTGCTTGTATAAGTAGTGCCAATTGATCCGCTGATCGTCCCAGGATTGTATCCCTTGGGGCAGCTGCACGCCCCAGCCTCGCTCGCTCATCATTCGTCGCCAGATATCATTGTCAAAATAGAGAGAGCGCCATCGCTGGGATACACCAGATACGGCTATCAATGATTTGAAATCCAAGAGTGACAGAATTCGATGCGAAAGCTCGTATGGCAAGCGAGCCAAGAAATCTGTAATTTGAGAAAACAACAAGTGAGTCGAGTTGAGACATTACACTTTCGTCAACAGGAGCCCCCTTCCTCTTTTTTTTTTTTTTAATTGAATATTATTTCACTTTCTTTGTCCGGGCAGAAGATTAGTTACTTACCAACTTTTTTACCATACCCAAATTTTACTGGTGGTGCAACCATCAGTTGTGGAGAAAAAACGTAGTTTTGTGGTGTATATGTCGCTGTCGAAAGCGGGCTGTCCAACGCCATAGAAGCCGGACAGGGTGAACTTGACAACGACGATGCTTCTGCCATCTCGATCTCGCAGGAATGCGGCTTTTTGCTAATGGAAGTGTGGTGGTGGTAGAGGTCGGAACTTTGATGGTAAAATGACATTGTGCTATGTGTGTGCAAGTTGTTGGAGTGAGTCTATTTTATCTGCATAAAAAAAAGAGACAAGCGTCAGAACGCAACACACACACACACACACACACCACACAATACTGCTCTTCCTTTTGCCTTTGCTTACGGTGTTGATAGAAGGCAGTAGTTGTAGTAGTAGTGATAGACTAATAAAAGTAGTAGTAGTAGTAGTAGTAGTTTCCAACAAGAACGAAGATAAAGAGGACATAAAACAATCTGTAATGTGGGGGTGCGCGAGAATAAATATCTGCTTCAAAAAATTGCCTTAATGGGAGCTCATTTGCCATAAATGTCAGCGGCAAAAGCAAACGAAGCTTTCAAGGGCAACTTTTGCCTCCTTCTGTGTCACAGCTCTACCATTTTCGCTACTCTTCATAACAAACATGCTGCAAATCACCCAAAATCTTCTCCGCCATCTTCTTTGGATTATTTACAAACGGAGTAGTCGAGTACATAGTATAGTGGTAGTAGTATAATTACAGTGTAGCGGAAGGGGTTTACTACAGAATATATATGAGACTCTATCTTTTTACTCTGCCCATGGACGTGCCATTAAAGATTTCATGCACCTGTGCCTGTCCGTCTAGATAATCCCACAGCTCTTGCTGCTGCTGCTGCTGCTGCTGCTGCTGCTGCTGGGTTACTGCTGTATCACCATAACCACTTGTGCGTATCCGTGTCAACAACTGCACTGGGTCGTCATGACAATATTCCCATGCCCAAGCTACGAAGGAACCAGTAACTCGATGGTCATACAAGGACTGCACGAGCTCAATAAATTCTGCCAAAGCCATCCGACTATAGGCAGAAAACAATGCTACTTGTGATGCGTAGACATTGTCTGACAATTGGCTTACAATCGTTGGAATAATGTGATCGTGACCTTGTTCCGGTTGTTGTTGTTGTTGTTGTTGTTCTTCAAGATTGGGTTGAGTATTGCTTGTTAAGGCAAGTTGTAACAATGAGTGGAATTGGTGATCGTCTTGTTCAACTTGTTTAGAGTTTCGCGTGGTGTGGCAACTTTTGCCTGTGAAGCAACCGGAGCACGATTGGCAGCTGCTCATTTCCTTTGTGTTTAATAAGAACGAGAAAATTCGGGTCGTTGTTTGTTACAGCAAAAAAATAAAATAAAAAATTGAGCCACGTACACCCACTCACTTACCACACCCACCACCATCACTAACCAATACTACACCGCCATGTATCTAGCACGGATGCTTGAAATACCTTTTATAGCCATGATAAGAATAAAAAGTTATCGTTCATTATTCTATAAAATTGCACAACGAACAGTGCTGTAGCATCGGAACAACATCAACAAGAGAAGGACCCAAAAACCAAAGCTTACATGGTGCTAAAGAAAGGAGTTCTACACTATACAATGATATATTTTAACAGCTCCACGAAAAAAATAATAATAATGATAATGAAGAAGAAGAGAGGATAGAAGGACCCGGAAGTAGAGACTTACACGGCGCTCCACCAAAGAAGTTGTACACTACACAATGCGAGATCCTCCAGTTCCACGAAGAGGCGAAACATGCTCACGTCAACAGGAGTCTGAAGAAAGAAGAGAAATCACAAAATGTTTGGTTTGAGGTGGCCAGCTAAATAAGTAATAAACAGAGTGAATAACCACTTAAATTTCCTCTCATGTCTTTCTCACACAAAATAGCATAACCTCAAGATTAAGCAAGACATCATGACGATATTGTATTATCACTTATTTATTCAATAACAAGCTAACAAGAGCAGCGATAGAAGCCTTTTGGTCTATATAAAAAACCACACGTTAATCACAAGCCAAGACCTCGATACCAAGAAAATATCAAGTAAATGCTGTTTATTTGTACTTGTGTAAAGGTATAGATATCTTTTTGACGGATTTTAAACCGAATTTCTTTCTGATGATAGCATTGGAATAACATGTACCACAAGATCGATATCCGAGGTTGTTAAAAAGCTCTGCGGTTCCAAAACATGTGCTGTGCTGGACTACATTCAGCACTTCAATGGCGTGAGGCGTTATTTGCTGAAGCAAAAGTAAGAGTAGAAACCACTTCAAACGGTTGGGGTGCATTTGCTTCTTCCGTCCTACATGCCGAAATTAGGATGTACAAATCAATTCATTGATACTGTTTCTGTTGAAAGCTCATGTGAGAGCGAGCAAGCTGATGTATCCAGTGGCTTTGAGTGATACAGAAAGCAGCCTAAAGCGAAGACTAAAGGAAAAGGGGGTGCGCGAATTTTTACGTACTTCCATTTTCGGCGATTGCAGGTAAAGCAGTCGCTCTGGCAGGAAAACCGGTCTCTTTTTTCTTAGCGCGTTCCTTGACTACTTACACTCACTAGTCATACAATCATACTAACACCAATTTTTACGTACATCAACCTTTACGTACCTTTAAAACATAGTGTGGGCTTTCTTGCCCTTCCGTAAAATTTGATTATATATACAAAATCTTCAAAGTAATAACAACAACATGTATGGTCCTTTTAGCGCTCAAGGTACTTAAAAATCATATACAGCAGGTACGTAAAATCGGAAGTATGTAACTCCAAAATGAGAAGTACGTAAAATTTTATAGGTTAAATATACAGCGCGAGAACTGATTTACTGTAAGGTGCGAACAGGGACAAGACAACACAAGGCCAGAAACACCGGACGAGAATGTGCTAGGTGCTTTCGGCAAGAACAGGACAAGACAAGAAGGAAGCCAGAAGGTAGGAAACCAGATAGTGAGGGAAGAAACAAGAACAAGGTATAGGGAGGAAACAAGATAACTGACTGATGTTTTATCGTTCAAAGACTATGATATATATATATATATATATATGTCTTTACTATAGAATTCAATGATGTTAATAAACGGAAAGATTGGTATTAAGGTCGATAATTCGGATGATGATTATAGATGGGGATCTAATATGTCATCAACGAGGTTGAGGATGATCACTTACTAGAGGTCGAAGAATGTTTATAACATTTATGTACTCTGGTGGCCAAGTACGTAAATTTTTGCATAAAAAGTAATGTGAAGTACGTAAAAAATTTACAGTAGCCATCGTAGCTGCGACGGTTATACAGAGTCAAAGTATGATAGGCTACATCAATGGTAGCTATTTGTATGATCAACACAAACGAGGCACAAAAAAGACAAGAAGTACGTAAAATTCCCAAATAGGAAGTACGTAAAATTTTATAGTACAAATATACAGCGTCAGAACCGATTTACGTACTTGAGTGGCTAAGGGTGTTCTCAAAAAGGGCGAACGGCCGTCTGGACGGGGTCCTGATTTAGAAGTAGGGTATTACCAAACTTGTGGTGGTCCGTACGGACATTTTGAGACCAATTTTGCAGGCATTCGGACCATGTTATTAGTATTCTCATCCATATATATCTCCAATAAGTAGTAAGAACGTTTATTCCAGTGAGATTTATCTGTACTACTGGTACTGCAGTTATAGACAGGTATGCTTTTTGCCGTTGCATGAATGTGAGACAGCAATTTTCCTTTTCGAGTTCGGACCAAGGCGTCGTCTCAACAATTTGTTGAGACTACGAATCGCTCAATTTGGAAGCTTCGACCCACCTTCATATGGAAGCCGAATGTTCGGTATTTTAAATTTATTTCTATTCGTGGGTGGGGCGAACGACCGTTCGCCCTTTTTGAGAACACCCTAAGTGCATAAAAACTTGGAGGCTAAGTACGTAAAAATCCAAAAAAGGAAGGTGAAGTACGTAAAAATTTACAGTACCCAGGAAAAGGTCTTGTATGGATGTAGATTTGCAAGAAATTATATGCAAGGGTATGTTCGCTCTTGTTGTTTGTATACTCGCTACGAATATCTTATGGCTCATATATAGGTGTTTAATTGGCGTTTGATTTTCACTGATGGGCCCTTGGATAAAAGCTTAAGATTGGAAAAAGTATTAAACGACGAGGTGAGATATGTAAGCTAGTTATTGTATCGACAGTCACGGAGGGATGCAGCAGCGACGGTCATTACCGATACCCGTTTTTATCTATGTAGCTCTTGCTTGATCAGAGTGGCATACTTTTATAACTTATGTATATCTACAGGTCAAAATGCAGTAGAAAAGTACTCATCGCGCAACACGGAATGGGTTAATAGGAAACGAAGCGACATTTTGTATTTTCCTGATTTGCATTCGCATTCTTTACCACCAATGCTGGTTGAGGTGCAAAATGTTGTCAATCGAACTTATATCCCCGAATGCAACAGTACTGCGGCAGCATCTTCCATAAAAATAATACAGATCCCATTGCTATCACGCTTTGCTTTAAATTCAAACGCACCGGGGTACGACAACGCTTTCAAAGACTAATGATATATTTATCTTTATCAACGTCTTGCCATCCAAATGCTATGCGAAGGTCAGTTACATGATGACTCCTACGACGGTCAATAGAAGCAACAGCATCCTCGAGTCAATGGTTGTACTTAAATATGTGCTTCCCATACAGAAATGTTTGATCCAAGCCCTGGAAAGACGATCCAACAGTGCAATTATTAAGTCTATTCCACAACACCGTTGCCGAAGATGAAATCAAGAAGGAAGAAGAAACCGTGGATATGCTCGCCGATGTTTGCCAAGAGACCATCAAGCAATTTAAGCAAATCCATAATATTTTAGAAGGTGCTATATTGTGAAAATCTAAAATGACAACTTTTTGATGAAAAATCCTGTAGCTACGTTCCATATTTACAACTGCGTATTCCAGCGATCTCCTTCCGAATAGTAGCGCGAAATTATGCCAATGTTGGGTCTGTTTACACAGAAGCTTGTCTACAAAATTTTGTCATTGATGCTCACTAGAAATTAAAGAAGAGAATTAGTACGCGGGCTGAAAAATCGAGACCAATCGGACTGAAAAATTCCGGCATTTTAGTAGTATTCAGCCCGCTTTGTTAATGTGAAGGGCTCGAGCACTACGCGGGCTGAAGGATCTTATATATGATGTATTGTCTTCAAGCTACACCACCTTGATATGTGATACAGATATATATCTCAATTAAAATAAGCTTATAGCTTACAGTCATGCAAAGGACAAATTTATGTGGCCAAAGCGATTCTGGTCTGGGCCACCGTAATAGCAATGAGAGCAAGCTTATAAAAAAAAGTAGTGGATGGCCAACAGTAATTCTACTTGGCCAATGTAATTTTATTAATGAGAGCAATCTTTTAATAAAGAAGCATCGCGATGACCAGCTGAATGTGACATTTGGCAGTGAATGCATCCAGTACATACTTAGCCACTGCACTTCTAACTGGAGCAATTTAATCGTATCAACAGTGATCAAGTTCATCAGAGAAAAGAAAAATGCCAATAAGATGTAATGAGCGTTTGGCGGTCGATCAAGACTTAATTGAAAAGGGACATGCGAAAGAAGAGTAATGAAGGAGACGTTAGGTGCTGGTGTATGATTACATTCGTTGATTTGAACCTACTGTGGTGTTACCCGATGCCAGTACTTTACGAGCTATCAGATTTATCTCTAAACATGCATTATTTATCTAGCGTAACATATATTGAGCGTTCTGGCTGTGCATTCCATTGAGAATTATTGAATAATAAGAGATGTACTATCAAATCAGAGTTGCTGGACATAGGACACACACTTTAAGTAAGCGTGAATAGGTGCTACATATTCTACTATTAAATATGGAATATGTCACAGAAATGGATATGAGTAGAGTACAAAACCATTCAGCCCGCGTAGTGCTCGAGCCCTTCACATTAACAAAGCGGGCTGAATACTACTAAAATGCCGGAAATTTTCAGTCCGATTGGTCTCGATTTTTCAGCCCGCGTACTAATTCTCTTAAAGAAGCTTCAAAACGTGTCTACCCTTATTTCTAAGTTCTTGTTTCGTTTATTAAATGAGAAACTTAATCCTTGCTGCTTTTTACAAAATGCGATTTGATTTATACCAATTATTTCGACATAAATCACAATATGATAACTCGTTGCATAAAAAGGTCAAAGTTATGAACATCAGTTGCTGCTTTGAAGGTCGGAGACGATAATTAGGGATGCAGAGTATTTCTCAAAGCTTTTATAGCTGTTGCCTGGAGAGGCTTAAATTGAAAAGTATTCTTTAGCAGTATGAATGTTTCAGCTATCAGTACTGCATCAAAATAATCTTGTCATTCACGTAAACATTATTCGAACATCCGTCTTTTTGTTGCAGCCTACAAAAAATCGATCAGCCAACAGATAGTCCAATCAAAGCGAGTGTTGTGCCCCTCACCAAAGTCATCCCCAGCTTGGACGTCATTTGTCATTCTATTTCGTGTGAAATTATACACATTGAACTCAGTCGTCCTATATACGCTGCCGCATTAATCCGTTTGTTCATTTGTCATATTATCAACTATTCTTGTTCTTCTTCCCCCTCGTACCCTTTTTCTTTATTTGAAGTTCGAAATCCACTCATACACAAAACAATTATGGATACAGTGTCTCGACGATTATTGAAAGAGCTTCGTGATTTCGATAAAGAAGCAGCATCACATCCCGAAATTCTCGAGCTGGCACCCGAGTCTGATCATGATTTAAGACAGTGGAAAGCACGTTTGGCTGGATTACCTGGCACACCTTATGAAGGTAAGAGGGGAACGTACGTCCACACAAATTGTATGCCCTAAACGGCTGAACCCGTGCTAAATGAATAAAATGAATGAAAAACACAATAAAACAGGCGGTGTCTTTGACCTTTCAATTCAAATTCCACGCAACTACCCAATACATCCGCCTACAATGCAATTTACTACAAAGATCTGTCACCCTAATGTTCATTTTAAGGTACAGTAGAGATAATTTTTACGCTGAGAAATACGATAAATGTACGTTTAAACTAAGCGATGTTATATGTGCTTATGTGCATGTGCCCATATAATTAATAGACAGGAGAGATTTGTTTGGATATTTTAAAGACGGAATGGTCTCCGGCGTGGACGCTTAAATCAACCGTACTTGCTGTTTCGTTATTGTTGTCCAATCCCGAGCCTTCTTCACCGCTAAACTGTGACGCAGCCAATTTGTTACGATGTGGCGACATGTTGGCGTATGAAAACTTGATCCGGATGTATACCCAACTTTACGCATTGCCAAAATAATAAAAAAGTAGAGTTGAAATGGTAATTTCGGGTTCTTGTTTGTCTTTACTTATGTGCAATTTGTTATATAGGAAAAAGAAGTGAAGAGGGCTATATGATGACCGAAGAAAAAGAAGGATGAGGGATAAAATGTACATAGAACGCAGCAGATTTGTTTTTCTTTTCTAAAATCAAGGTTTGGAGAAAAGGAAAAGGAAGAGGGACAGAGTGATTGCTGTAAAGAGAGGAAGAATATAGAGTGGTATATTTAAGTATGTTTTGCTTATTAGTGGAAGAAGAGAAAAGGTCATTATCAACAAGCGACTGCTGGGCCAGGTGGGTGTGGATGGCGCCTGTTCTTGAGGATTGTAGCGTTGTCCATGTTGAGCTCAAATGCAGCGGGCTTATGACGCTTGACTTGATCCTTCATGCGCTGCCTCTGTTGTTGTTGTTGTTGTTGCTTCTGCTGCTTCTGCTTCTGCTGCTGCTGTTGGGATGGTGGTTGCCGTATGGGCTGCTGCTCAGTCATGGGGTTGGATCGTTGCATTCCCTTATTCATGGCAATAAGCCTTTCTGCATTTTCAGCAAGTAATGCATCATCATCGTCTTCTTCGCCTTCATCAAATGCACCAGGATAGTTGTTGGGGATAGTGTTGCTGCTACCATTACCACCGCGTGAAGTACCTCTCCAAGTTCTCTCTTCGCCCATGCGCTGCACTGCATACGTAATGTCAAGTATTTCCTTGATGGATGGCACGCCTGGTGAAAACGCATCCTTCCGCCTTCCAGTTGACTGGGGCGAGTCAAAGTCACTGACTGTGGAATTGGAAGTTGCCGCAGAAACCCGGCTCTGGAAAGAAAACTCGGTTGACGAGCGACCGTTTCCAGGCATATTGCTAGGTTTGAGTGGTTTCTCGGTAACCCATGGGTGTTCCAAAAACTGTTCAATCGTATAGCGCTCGTTGGGATCGATACACAAAAGTCGAGTGATCAGATCCTTGGCAGCATCGGAAATGGGATCCCACCATGGGCTTAAGAAGGCATATTGTCCGTGGGCAACTTTGTCGGTCAGTGCATGGATCGATTCGTCATAGAATGGCGGGAAGCCACACAGCATGGTGTACAGTACACAGCCAAGGGCCCACATGTCCACCGCCTTCGAATAACGCTGATCGCGCACGATCTCGGGTGCTGTGTATCCGACCGTTCCGCAGGGCGTCCAAGTTGATGAATTGTAGATCACCTTGGACAGTCCAAAGTCGGCAAGTTTAACGTTGCCGATGCCTCCTCCACCAACATTTCTGACAAAAACTCCTTCGTCTTCCTTGTTTTCATCGAAACCATGTCCGGCTCGACGGTGTGGCGAGGATGGAATGTACGCAATTGGATCGAACAAGATGTTTTCTGGTTTGATATCGCTGTATTCGATACGTTAGACCATACCGCATCATGATAGAGAGCATAAAAAAGAAAAAGAGACTTCTTACCGGTGGACGACACCGCATTCATGGAGATGGCGAACAGCATGTGCTACCTGCGTAATGACGTGACGTGCAAGGGCTTCGCTGAAATACGTCAGTTTAACAATACGGTGGAATAGTTCGCCGCCTTCACAGAGCTCAAGGACAAGGTAGTAGTGCTCCTTGGATTCAGTGAACTGTATCAACTGAACAATATTGTCATGCTTAACATTGTGCATGATTTGGACCTCCTTGAGGATGTTTGCTCTCTGAGTATCAGAAAAAAGGCGAGTGTCGATTAATATAATGATACAGCAGTAGAATAAGCAATAAGGTATTCCAATTTTAAAGTTCGACTAGATACCTCTGTAGCTCTTGGCTTTTTCTTCATACTTGGGTGGAGATGGCTCTATATATTACCCTAAACATGAGCGTCCCGATCGTGTTTATGTGCATCAGCCATCAAGACAGTATTCTTGACTTGCCTCGTTCACATCGGGATCATGTTTGCGCACAACCTTAATCGCCACTTTCCGCCCAGTTCGGATATCGCGCGCCTTGTAGACATTCGAGAATGCGCCGCTGTTATGTTCATAAAAGTCAATAAAATCCTGGGCACTATTTGCTTGTGTAGCCGTACGGGTAAGACAAGAAAAAGGGTAAAACGCAATAATATCACTACTACTCACTCTCCCAGCTTCTTGATGATTTCGTATTGCTCCAATCCAGGATATGCGGGTAATCGAACCTTTCGTTGTCGTTCCTCTTCAACCAATCTGGATGCCATCTCTGCAGCTCGTTGGCGTTCTTCATCCACTACAGCATAGTTGACTTCCATAGCGGCAGCAGTAGACGGAGGGTTCGTCTGACGTTGCCGACGACGATGGCCACCTTGTGCAGGAGGCACAAACCCGCCACCTGTTGCCGCTGGATCGTTGTCTCCGGTTGAAGAGTAATCTCTGCTAATGCGAATCATATCGTTGTCGTATTCGATAACGTTCACTGGCTGTCTATTTCTGTTGCTGTTGGCGTTGTTTCTTCTTTCTGGTCGAGGATCCTGTTGCTTATTTCGTAGTCGAAAAAGGCTTCTAATTTGTGTCAACATTGGATTATAAGATGGGGATAGATAGTCTGAAAGAAAAAATAACACTAGAAACAAGTGGATAAAAGAAAAGCAAAAAGAGGAAGAGAGAAGGCGCACAAAATATATACAAGACAAAAAAGAGAGAGAGAGAGAGAGAAAGGGAGCTAAACAACTAACAGATAGTACAGATGATTGTTGATGATGGCGCTTGCACTTTGTGTCGGGCTGTCCATTCATTTTTGTTTCTAAAGGCGAACTTTCCTTTTCTGCAAATGACGACAGGGCTAAATGCTCACCCCACTCAACCTTCTCTTGCCCGCACTTACTGTCCGCATTGTATCACACACTCAAAAAAAGGCCGCAGCCCGCATGATTTTACCCAAACAACAACAACAGCACTACTGAACGGTTTCATCTTTTAAGCTACATTCCTCATCACCACAAATATTTGCCAGAAAAACCTTTATGGCCGGTTCCTGGAGATTTTCTCTCTTACTTTTCTGACACTATCAAGGGATTCTGTTGTTTTGTCGCTCCGTCTGTTGTGTGTTTTTATGTTTATCATTACTGTACTAGTATTATTAATGACATTATAAATTATTTTCCTCTTCAGGTCACCAGACCATGCGACAAGTTATATCAAGTGGGTCGGGGGTGGTGGCGGTGTGTGTGCGTCGAAGTAGAAGAAAAGGGGAGTGATCATCGTCATACAATATAGGGTAGCTTCAATGAGATAAAAAGCACGGACGTCTATGACATGTCAAAGAAGGGAGACAGGGCAGACAGAAATGAAGGGAAAGACTAAAAAAGAGAGGACAATATTGGTTTCGCGTGACAAAGTATGATGTTCACTAAGCTAGGATATGAAATCATAGACTACTAGTAGTACAGAGCCATAACGTTGTCACCATAATCATCATTCTAATGGCTGATGCTAAAGCTTAATTCATATACTATCCATGTCCGCTAGAGCAAGACTGAAAAAATATATATATCGGATTTAACACAGCGCCAGAGTTGCTCTAGTTATCATGCGCTACATGCTTCATATCGACAGCTTATATCAACAACTCCATTACGGGTGGAATACATATCAAGACTTTGCACTGAAGTAAAAAGAAAAGCTACTCCCATGATCTTATATTTTATTCGACAATCTTAGTTTTACCGCTAGAGCCTCATCACCTTTTATTCTCCTGTCAGAATGTACATAATAGGTCCTTTAGAAAGACCAGCACGTAGCATGTGTGTGTGCATATGGTGAGGGCTCCACAGAAACCTACAAAGTTTGCATAAGGCCAGCAGCAGCATGCACCCACCGTGAGGGGCGTGTTCCCTTTTCCATCACGTTCTACCCTGTTAAAAGAGCTGTCTATTTCGTTCGACAGCAACACAACAGGCACACCTGATCATCCTATATGGCAGGTCATCAGATAGAGAAAGAACTGAAGGGAAAAGGTATCTCGCTTTTGGCGTCACTTGCAGCACTAAACCGTAAAAATCTCTGCCGGGATCGTGATTCCGTTCGCCGTCTTTTAGGCATAGTCCTAGAATACTAGAAGTATACAGTGAATTCAACATTATCATCCGTTGGATCATTATACATATATTTAAAGAAGCTGATTGCTATATTAAATAAGCGTGTGTTGCATAGACATGTATTTGACACCGTAGTATCTATGATGCAATTATATTCTCGACTTTCTTGCTTTTTGCTACGTAGGGGAGAGTACATGTAAAAGGTCGTTTATCTCACTCTGCGATGATGTTGGGAAGGGCAGTGTCGACGAGTCCATTATTTTTAGTGTGGGAAAGAAGGAAAACTAGCCATGTTGTCTTTAATAATCAATCATCAAGGAAACTATTGAGTGTTATGTATGCAATTTACATCCATCATTCGACAAGAATCTGCTATTATAGTAGTGGCAAGATACAGAAAAAGATGCATGCGCTAACGCCGTTTAAGTAATTGTGGGATTTCATGCAATAATATGATTAAGCAAACTTTAATTATAAAAGCGTAATTATGCAGCAAAAAGAAGTTTAGTATAGACATACAGCCTAGCTCGTAAGAAAGTGTCATTCTGCGTGCACATGAGAGCTCAGTTTTCTTTTACACAAATACCCACTAAAAACGACATGTGGTATGTGCTTGATCCACTGGAAGACGATTGAGTTATGTGCATTGATCATAAATGTATCTCATGTAACATATGGCTTATCCTTTTCGTTACCACTATGTATCAATGCACCTTCCAGGGATTAGTAGTGACATGTGTAAGGTAAATTAAAGAGCATGTGTGTTTTTCGCTCTAGTCGGTATAAAGTCAATCTCATCCTCGCTTTTCAACATCACTATACATATGAGACGTAAATACCTCTTCTTTCTTCAGTAAAGTATACAGCTTCGATGGTATTTAAATCGGTAATTTACTGTATGCTGTGTACATTAGCAGCGCGAATCTTCACATAATGGCGCTTTGGCCAACGTCTGTGTATCACTTTTTGCATCATGATTAGGTGATATGTATGTAGACGAAATGGTTAGTAAAGGCTATATGTACACTGTTCTTTTAGGCCTAATAGGATTGATTCTCACGCATCAGCAGCATGTGTCCTGCCAGTTTTGGAGATATGATCATGGTGAGCAAAACTGTCGTCATTGACATTCTGTCATCGGGAAAAAGAAAACAGCTCACCGTCGCACGATCATCATTATCAGGCTCGTTCCAGCGAGAAGAAATGGGCTAAACTATCTTTAGTTGATTTTCCAACAGTATTGGTATTAAACTTTCTTATTGAATCTTTTGTCCACAGATTCATGAGCATTATCACAGAGCCAATACCTCCACACACAAGCACACGGGCCAATTTTTGGTTAAGATAAAAGCTTTAATCCAGAAGACGATATAGTGGAAATCGTATAAAAAAAACATAAAAAAGAAGAAGCATATATGGCTGTAAAAATAACAAAGAAACAACTTATTTTTTTGAGTTTTTAGATGATCGAGAAGGCACCGGCGATGCAGGCGCTGTTTTAGAGGACGATGTTGAGGACAGGTGGATATTGGTTGTGTACGTAGGAACCACAGGCTCTGGAGCTGGAGGTGCTTTGGTAAGATCACTAAGGGCTTCGACAAATCCATCGGGAGTGATGATATGTGTAGAGCCTAGTGTATAATTTTTTTTTAATTAGCAGGTCTTCCAAAATAATAATAATAACAACAGTGCTGACTTACCAATATATACGTCGCGATCAAAGGTTTGCGAAAGCTCATATGCCGATCTCATTTCGGAGTATGTCATACCGCCTGCAATAAAGATGATGACTGGCGGACCCGAAGGTGGTTTAGGTGGTGCCTAAAAGGAATATAACAAGTTTGGTTGAGTGCATAGTCTTATACCTTTCATTCTTTTTTATTTTTATCTGGTCTCACACGTAAACAGAAAGGTGAACACTTACATTCTTTGAAGTGGACTTTTTGTGCCATTGCGTCTTGTACACACGCAATTGTAAACCTTCTTTGGGTGAATGGGAAGAGTCACGGCGCAAATCTTCGGGTCTAGCTATCCGCAAAAGAGGGAATAAGCTCTGATCGATCGTTTCTTTGATATGGCCCTGTCAAGGATGTATTAGTTGTATCTACGTGAAGACATGGCCCGTATATAGTTTATCTACCTCAGTTACACGCTTCACAACAGGAACATAGCGCGACAAATCAAAAGGCACATCTTCTTGTTGATTAACAGTTACACTTTCACGCTTCTTTCGATGCCAGCGAGAAGATTTTTCACCTTGCTTGCTAGCCGATTTAGAAAGCTGTACGCCCAGATAAGACAAGTTATCAATGGCATCCTTGTACTTTTTATCAAGACGTGCGTGCGCCAATAACAATTCAAGCTCCTCTGGATCAACCTTGTCACAAGTGGCAAACCATAACATAATCAGACGTGACTTTATGGTCTGGCTTTAAGTGTGAGAGTAAATGTAAACATATTATTTTAGATGACAAAACATATATCATTGAAAATGCATCTTTTGCCCCCTTCATGATTTCAAATTTCCTCTTTTTTTTTTTACCTTGTGTATGGATCATCTAGAATTGGCAACAGCTCGTCGACCAAATGTTTCGGAACGCTCTTGTCTGGAGTTTCACCACATGCCATATTCTAAAGTGTAAAGCAACGAGTGTTTTTAGGCAAAAGTGAGGGAACAGAGAAATCAGTAACAAAGTGGCTTTTTTCTTTCTTTTGTCTTCACGAGTTTGTGTCGGCAGAAATCATAGGCAATATATTACCTGTTCAAGAAGACCGATGGCATCCAAGTTTTGCTCACGAAATTCAGACATGCAGTCGCTGGCAATAGTCATATGTGCAGAAAACTAAGCATTTCGAGTCCACGATGAGTACGTGAGTATATATGCATATGCTTATTTGTTCATCAGAACCAAAGCACTGATACAGATGTATATGTCATCTCAAGCTTGCCTTGGTCTTCATCTCTTGGAACTGCGGCAGATTTGCAATCATGTGCTTCATATCATTTAAGCTTTTAACGGATGCGTGACTAAAAATTGTATTTTCCTTTGAGTTCAGTATGTTTCTTTTTTTTTCTCTTGTCTGTGACAGAGACAAAACAAACACGCTCCTTTTTCTTGTCTCTCTTTCCCCTACTAACCCTCCAGATCCACCATCGTTTTCCGCCATAAATTTGTTGAAATCGTCAATAAGTTGCTCTGTTGTGATAGCAATATGCGTATGACGGATCGAGGTATAAACACTGTCTTGGTCGTTCAACTGAGTTTCTTGATCTTTAGTGGTGCCATCCTCTTGTGTATATTCGTAAGAGTATTTCAAACCACTTGGCGTTTCTTCCACATTAAGTAAATCGGCTACCATGGCTTGATAGGTGAACTCGTGCAAAAGCGGGGATACGGGGTCAATTGTACGGTCTAACAAAATAATTGTACCGCTTGGCATGGGTGGATCTCGTGGGGGCTATTACAGCAACATACACAATACGCGTTAATAGCCTCTTTTTTCTCCTCACTGTTTGGATTCTTTCATTTTTATTTACCGGAAACTTGGGGTTGATTTTACAGAATTCATCCAATTGTTTCTGTAAGGCTTTGGCTAAATGCCATGGGATATTTCGGTTGACAGCGCCTTGTACATCCAATGGGCGATGGTATCTGATAAGTGGGTTTTCACCTAATGATACACATACGCACAATAACTTATAGCGATATTTATCGTTCCAAACAGGTTAATACCTTCATGTGCATGTACATACAAGATATGAGCAAGAGCGAGATGCCCTCCCTTTCTTTTCTTTTCATTTCTTTCCAGAGCAATAACCTACCTGCTTTGCCACATCATCTAGGTCTCCACCAATTTTGCTCGCTGAGTTTGTCCAGTCTTCGCTGGTACCTCGGTCGCTGAACAATGTAAAGAACTTTTGTGAATCATCCAAAGCAAACACTGCGGGTTCGCGTACTATTTGCCAATGTACATTATCGTGCATTAGTTTCCCACTATATCTTTCCCGCTAATTCTCCTGCTCTTTCTTACCAATAAAATCCATATACATGTCCTTTAGGCTCTTGACAAGGTCCTGCACATTGGCCTCTTTTAATCTTCGAGAAAGATCCTTTAACAAATTCGTTTCCAAGCCTATTTATAATAAATCTAGTGCTAAGTAAATCATTTCTCTATAACGTATTCCTATCTAGATATAGTTACTGTACCTTGGATAAAAAAAACGTGAGCTGCAGCATACATTGGACCACCACTACGAGCCAAGTCATCTACCAATCGTCGACAAGAATCCTCGCACGGGGTCAAGATATATAGTGCTTCAACACTTGGATATGGTTGTCTCGACTTCTCTATATTCTCCACCACTATTGTTTTTTTAAGAAATTTTCCAAGTTTAGCATGATACGAAGGGTTCGAAAAAGATCATCAGTACTTCAACAAAGACGAATAACTTGCCAGTAACCTAGCAAAAACAAACAGTGTACACGGATACACGCAGATATGAGATTTAATATATTTGTTTTAATAGCTAGAGCACTTATTGAAAAAATATATGTATGCAAAACTTACGTTTTCCTCCAAAATATCATACATTTTACATGCTGAATTCAAGATTTTCAGGGACAAGCTATCGACCACGACTAATTTCCACCGTCCAGCCGGCTGAACGGACTTGATGATTTCCAAGAATCCTATCATTATATACGGTTCCAGTTGTAAGAAAACGTCGAGATGAAAGAGCACGTCAAATTCGAGAAGGTATATTCAGAGAAGAGATTGCATACGGGTTCTTAAAATCTGGTCGACTCCATTTCGTATAGTGACTTTTGTGGACATGGCTACTAACTTGTGAAAAGGTTTAAGAAAGCGGAAACTCCTGCAGTCGGGCCTCTTTTTGCCACTTCTGCAACACTGTCATTTTTTTCGTTGCCCGCGCCATTGGATCGAACATCTCCCCATTATTTTAAAGTTTTACATAACTTCTTGTTTTCCAGTCTGACACGCCGAGCTTCAATGGCTTTATCCTGTTGACGCACATCACAATCTTCATCAGGCTATTTTTTTATGGTCTGAGATCTTGTTGAGAGTGACTATTTCGAATAGATACATGTAAATCACACAGTGCATGGATCAGTTTACAGTGAACCCTTAATAAATCCAACCGACGATCTCTTTTATTAGAAAACGTTGTATTTGTTGAAATACGAAATCATTGAATCAGGATACATAAGAGCTCTCATACAGATTACCAATTAACATACTCAGCAGAAATAGTGATATTAAAATGAGGATTGTAATTGTAGAGGGTGGATGTATTGGGGGTCTATCGTATTTTATTATCAATATTACCGTAGGAGACAATAATACCACGGATAATAATACTATCGCCTCCGACGAGAGAATTGCACTTTTCCAAAACTATATGGACTGAAAAAGCGCTGCAGGTCTCAATTATAGACACAAGATAGAGGGAAATGAAAAAAAGAAGGCCCAGGAATCTACGATACATCTTCACGTCATCCTCGCTGACCGTACAATACCAAAGATGACATCAAAGTCGCGAAAATAACGACTTATTACAAGACTTTGAATGCATGTCGATTAGTGTCGCTGCACGCAGAGTTACATTGCTTTATTCAACTGACAAACGACGCGTTAATCAATGAACCAAAGCATACAGCAATAGCAAAGATGTATTTCCGGGTTCATCCAAAAAGACTGGTGTCGAATCAAAGCCTACTGATGAGCATACAGTTTTTGTCTTTGAAAAGATTCATGAACAGCCAACAATTAGCTGTAATGATGTCACTGACTTACTTTGTCAACATTTTAAAGAGTTGGCTATCACCAGCCGTGCTAATAACGACCATATGCGCAAGAAATGTCATTACAAACGGTAAAGTCGTCAACTTGTTGCTCGTGATGATACAACTATATACAGCGGTACGGATCTGTGTCAACCTGATTGGTAATTGGAATCATAAGTCATTGATCCAGAGCCTACAAATTCTCAACAGGCAAATACATGTTCAGGTAGTGCGTTGTTTGTTTTTTGTCGCTTGGATTTGAGTCGTTATCATCACCATTGTGGTTGTTGAGGTCATGATTGCACCTCATCAAAGAAAGCATACTCAAAAAAGACTTCGTTTTTAAGAGCAATATAAACCGATGCATATCAATACTGGTGCAGAATAAGTATGTTGTTACCACGAGCATCAAGTTTGTGTGATTTGACTAATATAATCTTTTGGGCTCGGTTCAAGATAAAAAATTAAAAGATGTGAATACAGTTATATATGCAATAGAGTGTCTGGCAAGTGTAAATGATTTAAAATTTGGATTTTTCAGCTAACTTTTAAAGATTTTAATAGTATAGATACAATGTATTGAGCGAGAACTGTTGCTGTATTTTACGCGATACACTCATAGGTTATGACTACAAAAAGTGGAAAAACTTACAAGACGAAAGAGACGGGATAAACTATATGATTATCATGACGCTTTTCTTGGGGCCACAAAAGTAGTCGTGCTAGGAAGCGCCAGCTTGCCCAAAGCATCTTGATATTTTATAATCCGTCGCTGCCGTCTTTCTTGACTTTCCTCATGCCTTGCCTTGTTTCGCTGAAACCGTAGATTTGCTCTCTTCATCTTGGTTTCTAAACCTTGAATCAACATGTGCAGTTCTTCGTTCTTTAGCTCCATCTCCCGTGCTCGATCTTCTGTCATCCTATGTCGTTCACGACTTGATACTGCTCGTCCTTTTCTTTGTTTTCCATCTTCCTCTGTCTGCTGGTGGTATTGTTGACCCGTGTTAACAGTGTAGCAGCGATCCCGAGGTCTTACTGTTGGAGTTGTTGGCGAAGCTGGTTCGGAGATAGACTTTGGGCAACGCATCGAAGAGGGCAATGGTGTTGAAGAAGAGAAACCTGAAAACGACGCGTCATTTTCTAGTAGGGGTGTTGCTTGTGCTTGTGCTTCTTGTTGTTGTTGTTGTAGTTGTGGGGGTAATGGTAATGGTAATGATGGTGGTGGTGCAGGAATGCGTCTCACGTACACTCATTTGACGTAGGCAGGAGGCCCAAAAGCTGCCCAGCATTCTTTGAAAAGCTTGTGGCTTCTCGCGCGGTCAGAGTTATCTATCATGGACAACCACATTTTATATAGTTATCTTATGAAACGCAGTATTTAACATGCCCACCCTTTCACAAAGACATTTGCCTCGGCGAATGGGCTATCGTTGCCATCATACGTGACATATTCGAAGCATTGTACAAATTCGCGTTCCATGGTACGTATTTTGGAGAAAATCGAGTTTATTAAATGCGTCTTCTTGACCACACTGTCATGACTCTCCGAACGGATTCTTTTTTATTTACTTGCCACTGTTTTTTGTATTGTAAATCCCCGCAAGCATGCCATTAGCTTCGAAAACTTGCCATAAAACGCGAGAACTTGATATCCTAACGGTTATGGTGCGTTCGGCACGTCGTTGGGTTACTGTCAAACCGGGAGTTACTGTATTGTTACTGCTATGGGTGTCGTCCTTTTTAGTAATTGTGCTCTCACTGTTGTAGTCATTCGTTGTTGTTGTTGTTGTTCTTGTTCTGGCGTTTGGGATGGGCGATCCTGCAGGAACGACGGTGCCTTGTCTTTGCACGGAAGCCATACTTGGTTATTTTTTGAAAAAAAAGAAATTCGGAAATATGAAGGAATAAAAAAAGTTTTCGATGCTCGATACAGACAAAGTAAAAAAAAGATATATACGAAGTTATATAGTAATTAGTTCGAGGTTGTTCTTCTGCATTTTGATGACGACGTTGATGCTGACGACGTTGATGAAGCTGGTAGGAAGTTCCCGGGAAGACACCAGTGATCCCCTACCATCGAGGTTATCGGCCGCGAAACGCTATCCAGCAATTCAGCCGTTTCGTCTAAAATCCTTTTCCCGTTGTATGCGAGAGTAAGGAGAGGAAGCAGCATGGAAACCAAATTGGAATCACTGTTTGGAAATTCCAATGGGTCAGTTTTTCGCACACGGGTGATATACCCAGCAGGGATGTTCACATCTAAAAGGGAAGCACGACCACCTATGAGAAACATTCCATATTATATAACTTTAAATTTATCCTTTAATTTATCTATTTTTAAAGTTTTTTGACAATTTTAAATACTAAAATATATTTATTTTTTATTAATCTTTTAATTATTATTATTGTTTTAAAGCTTTTATTAGATTTAAACCTTTTATTATCTTAAAATCTCATTTTATCTTTAAAACTTAAATTATATCTAATAAATTTAAACCCCGCAACTACTTTGAAATACCCAATGTCTATACTATGTTTCTCTATATGAACACGTCAAAAATTATTTTCAAGTTAATAGATGCTTCATATATAAACTAGCACTTTTGTCCACAAATTCGATATAAAAGTTATATATACCAGTAATGCTATATCCGATTACGTGAGATTTATGGAGCAGACTTGGAGTGTATGTTAATTGCAGTAACATATCTCTCAACACCAGAGGCATTTTCAGCAAGCAATCGCGGAACACCTTGGATTGATCCTTGGCTGCTCCAACTTCACAGCAGCCAAGTTCTCTCGCTCCATACTTGTATATGGTGTCACATCGGCGACCCATTTTTCTTTTGTTGATTGCGGTGACGGACGACAACTGGCGAGACGAGTTAATAACGTTAGCATTGGCTTCGCTTGAGTTCTCGGTACTGTAGAACGGGAAAGAAATATCAATTAGAATCCATCTTTAAACTCATGTTGCTCCGCTATTATCAACCCATCCATTTAATGTCTTACCCTCTTGCTACGATGTCGGATCCAACAAAAATGCTGTTAAAAAAGCCAAAAGCTATGTATTGCTGGTCTGTTTCGGGCATGCCAGCGATGTTAAATGAGTGCGATTCGAAAAAAAGATGAGCTATATTTTGTAGCTCTCGCGACATCCAAACTTTCAAATGTTCTATAACAGGATCATTGATTTCGATCGCTCTTGCATACTGGTAAGCGCCAACACTTGTTTTCTGCAAATAAAAGCATTTATTACTGTTCTTATCTTTATGTTGCTTGTTACTGTTGATGTTGGTGATGCTGTTTACTTTTATTGTTATATATACATACCACCCTTCTTAAACCAGCAAATTCGCGGTTAAGTTCCTCGGGCTCGTGGCACACAAGTGAACCTCCCTCTTTGTTTACTTCCTCCAGTTCATCTCTGGTGAAGACGTCGTTCCAGTTGTTATCTGTCAAATCCAGAATAAGCGACTGAGAAGGGCTAGAACGAGAAAGCAGGAAAAAATTATTCATCAACTGACAATCGACGATCACCGACTTCAATTAAAAGACACAGATTTTACTTACTAGTAGAAGTTACATGTCAAGGCGAAGTTCATAACCTTTTCTTCTACTGACAAAGGACTGGCGCCATCCATCCGTGCTTGTGCTTTGGTTGCATCAAGCACCCAGAAGTTTACTTTATTTCTTTGAGTGAATTGCTCGAATCGTTCACGCAACATCTCTTTGTCTTTCTCTGCAAGTCTTGTTGCTAGAGTAGGCAAGGAAGACGAGGAAGAGGAAGATGGTGATGATGGGTGTGAAGAAGACGATGTTGTGGATATAGGGCCAGTTGCATTGTTGCTGTTGGTGGTGACAGAAGGAGTGGTGGTATCAGAGCCTATACAGAAACATTAGCGTATGAAGCAAAAGTATGAAAAAAGTCAGACCAAGCATACAAGTAGCCTTACAAAACAATTGTTTCCAAGGAACTCGTGATTTTGTCTAAACGGTTCAAATTGAATTAATTTGTTAGTATATGATTATACATAGGGGATCTTTTAAAATAAGCCCAAGGGCCAAGGTCAAGCAGTATATTTGTAATACTAAAATAATACTAGTATATTCAAACCAGTAGAGTATCAAATACTTACCAAAGTCTGTCAATTTTTTCTGCCTCAATGCTAATCACTCTTGGCCAAAGTTTCTCAATAGATTTGTCGGGGGGGGGGGGGGGTGTTCTGCTTAATGAAGTTGGTGTGTTTTAGCACAAAATCTGCGATGGAGGGTTCTTCAGTAACCTCTAGGTATTCACGAACAACTTTGTAGTAAAAAGAGATATAGAGTTTAGTTTATTACACGTATTGATGAATATTCTTCTTTATACTACCGTTTTGAGCTTCCTGGGTCGCCATAGTAACAATCGCTGCGTTCAAAGGACAAGACGCGACAACATATCCGTAGCAACAACCCGCTGACTCAACGTTTTTGCACTCAGACAACGTTTCAAAAGCCGCCCTAGGCTTCCTACTATTAGTTGTCTAACCAATTATAATCTACTAGCTGTAATATAGATAATAAAATTGCTATGATCGGTATAACCATTAGTGGCCGAATTATTTATTTATTTACAATAAAAATAATAAAAATTAAATTTTTTTATTTATATTGGTAGCCTCCCACGAGAAAAAAAAGAGCAATCGTTAAAAGTACATAACAACAAATAAAAATGAACACAACACAACACATTGAACAACTCGATATTGAAATTAAAAATTTAATTGATAATAAATGGACTTTTCTTGATAAATCTTAGCCTGAAATGCAACATAGATTTAATCATAGAACAGCTATTAAAGATATGAAGAATAATACAATAAATGATATAAAGGATGTATTACTTGATAGATTTGGATTTATACCTGTATTTTATTTTCTTACAGTTTTATATGGAAATATTGAATATCTAGGGCTATATCGCGAGATTGAAAAAGGACTTGCATTATTATATCATATAGTATCAGGTGTATCAGGAAAGGATATGCATACTGTTATGCCATATGCAACGTTTTATGATTTATATAAGCGGTTCTGGATTACTAACTATAATGAATTGAATAAAAAGGTAAAACAAGATCTAGATAGTATGTTCTCATCACCACGTATTCGCATTCTATCGGCAATAATAAACAATCCAGATGGTTTTAAGAATGTTACACTATTTATTGATGGAAATGATAGTAAAATAAAGTATTATAAACCAAATGAGTCACATTCACAGTTATATTCATATAAATTAAAAGGGCCAGCTGTACATACACAAGTTATACAGGATATGAATGAAATAATTACACATGTTTCAGTATCTGAAAAATGTGCTATTGGAAATGATGGTACTATGTTTATTAATATGAAATTATATAAAAAAATAAGTGAGGCAGATTGTTTAGGGATGGATGGTGGATATAATTTATTTATACAAAAGTTCAAAGATAATGCGACAGATGCTGGATATAGTTTTTATGATCGTAATTTTTTACATCCCATAAGAAAAGAACCAGGACAAAAGTTAACAATCAATGAGACATACTTTAATAACAAGTTTGGATCATTTCGTTCAGCAATAGAAGCACAGTTTTCTATGTTAGGCTCTAAATTTGAACGATTTAATAATAATCGTGCAGCATTGCAAATATCTGATATAAGATATTATAATATTCAGTTTCGTGTTGCTTGTATTCTTACTAATATATGGCGATTTGTAAATAAGTATAATATAGAGGTACAACTACATCATAAATTATGGTATGGAAAAGACTTTGAATTCCCAAGTAAGAAAAACAAACTTGACTTAGTATTTTCAAATGAGCAAAAAGTAAATACTGAATATAACGAAATGGTTGACATGCAGCAGAAATTTCTACAGCTTAATGTTAATCAATCAATAGATATGGCTATAGATAGTGAGGAAGAAACTGAAAATAATACATCTAAACGCAAGAGAAAAAATCAAAGAGAACAGAGAAATAGAGAACATGGTAATTCATATGAAATTGAGAAGATTGTAGGACATGTGTATACTGATAACAAGTACATATTTGAGGTTAAGTGGGTTGGATATAGTGTAAAGGATAATAGCTGGTTAACAGTTAATAAGTTTAATTCCCGGGAAATGCTACATGAATATATGGCCACACATGGTATTCAGCTCTAAATTAATTTCTTATTTATTTGCTTATTAAAAAATCTCATATTGAAACTGATCACATCAACATTTCGTTTACTTGCCCAATTATATTTATGTTTTATGCATTCATTAGTTATACTTGTACTTATATTAGTACCTGTTGATTTATTTTTGACGTCAGTTTCTTTTGTTATATCTATATCATCTATTATAGCCTGTTTTATATCCTTATGCTTTTTAAAATATTCTTTTGGGTTTATTTCTTCTACTACTTTCTTGTTTCTCCATTTATTTTTATTTTGTCTTTTTTTCTTTTTACGTTTTGGTATAGTATTAGTTATATCACAGTCACTGCTTTGCTCTGATTCAGATGTACTGACATCTATATATTTATGTTTCTCTGTATCTTGTGGTGGGTTCTCCCAATCAATGTTATCAGTTATAACTTCATCACATTTTATATCATTTAATACATCCTCCCAATGTCTACAATCTTCTGGTAGGGGTGCCTTTACATTTAACCATCCTCTGTTTACTTGTTGAGCTGGTTCATATTGATTGTTACTCTGTATATTGTTACTATGTATTTTTCCTCTTCATTTTTCATATATTCTTCTGTATCAGCTAGTTCTTGTAGTTCTTCTACAGTTTTATTCATTGGCTGGTATTTTTTTATCCTATCTTCACCACTATTATTTGCATATCAGATAAATGTATATTGATCTTGATATTCATTTTCGAATTCCTCTTTATATAGTTCCTCATACATATCCACATTTTCATAATACATGAACTTATCTTCATAATCCTTAGCAGTCATTGTATAAGGATTCCATATAATATGACCTTTGCGATTCTTATCAACATAAATTATATATAAACGGTTGAGTGTTGGCTCTAATTCATATACTGATTTATTTTTATAAAGCATATGAGGCATATAATTACTGTTTAATAGTATTGGCATATTCTTTTTTTTAGTAATTGATTTAGTAAACTTACCATTAAGTTTTAGCCGTGTTCCTTCTAACATTTGGTTTAAGAATGTTAGTTTGAAATCAGAACCAGTTTCTTCATTATACATAAAGTCATAATCATCATCTTTATAATCTGACCAATCATTTTCTTTACTCATTAGATATGCCCTATGTCCACCTTGTTCTAACATATCAATATTATATGTTTTTCCAACATTTGATGGACCTACAATCCAGTATTGTGGTATCTTATTTTTACACTAAACATTGTTTCAATACCAAACATTGACCACATGTATAACTGATTTCTAGGGGTATTTTCCATGTCGGCATCATGGAAATAGCTATTAAGATTAGACTTTACTGTATCATATTTCCATAATAATTCTGGATATATTTCTGTTGCCTTTCTCATAGTAAGTTGCTTATTAATTAATTGGTAGCCAAGCAGCTGTTGGTGCATTTTTCTAGTTTTAATTTCATAATTTGGATCCATATTATATGTGATATAGTCCTTTCCCTTAATACAGTAGCTAATAGACTTCTATGGATTACCTCCTGGTTTTATATTTGGAGTAACGCCATCAATAGTAAATAATTTACGTGCTGTTTTTGTACAAACCGTTCATCTAATTGTATCCATATATGTACATGTTTCTCACCAGTTTCTGGTGCAATTTCATCACATGCAATTGCCTTATCAATTCTATAGCCAATGCGGTCATGTTTAGTAAACCATTCTAATACCTGCTCCTTTGTTAAATGAAAATCCTTACAAATATATGTGAATAGTCCTTTGGTATTTTGAAAGCGGAATTCTTTCTCACCCTGTGAGGTAGCCGCACTGGAAGTGTTATTTTCTAACATTGCATCGGAAAATTGAGGATTTGAGGATTTGAGGAATTTTGCAAAAGCCCTAATCCGTCCCATTATTGTAGTACGGTTCTCGTCCCATACTTCTTTTGTTATGTTAGCCTTTTTGAGGTCCTTTTCGAGTTCGACCCTCAGCTGGTCAGCAATGGTTTTTTCACTAACATCTTGATGATGTTCAGTAAGATGCTTTGCTCTTTCTATTAAGAGCGTCAATGTTATTCCTAAAATAGGAACAAATTCAGCCATAATGGCAATAAATGTGAGGAGGTTCATTTGGTCCATATTGTGTTTTTGTTGGGGGTAGTTTTGTTGGAGTGCTAAAAAATATAAAAATATATTTTGTTTTATATTCTGTGGTGTTATTTTTATATTAAAAAAAAATTCAATTTTTATTTTTTTTCAAAAATTTAAATGTATGTATACCAAGACATTCGTGCATAAATTATTTCAATGAAAATTAGTTTGGCTATCCTGACATATTTCAGCTAATTAGTCATTTAGGGTTACTAGACTGCATTAAAATCATCATAACCATAGCGGGTCCTCGTGGGTGAAAAGAAAGAGTTTTAATCTATAACAATTAAATCTACTGTAAACAGTGATTTAATTTTAGTTAAGGATTTTACAATCAAGTTAGGCGTTGTCCAGGTTTCCTAGCCTAAAGGAGGGGGGTGCTCACTACCGTTCCGCTACCATAAGTAGTGGTTTAAACATAAAAGAATTTCATTGTTTAAACTGTTTAAACAGGTTTATACAAAACCTAAACATATTTTAAGAATTAAAAAAAATATAAAAATATCTT